CACACACACCCTTCAACTCCATGGTCGCAATGATTGACGTGTTTGGTGATAAAGTTGTTGTTGAAGGCCTCTGGCCAGCTCATTTCCCAGCCTTCACACTGTGTGGTATTTAATTATGGGGTAGCTTGAAATACAAAAGTGTTCAAAAGAAATTCCTACACATTACATGAACTTGAAGAAAATATTTGGGATCCCCCCAGCCAAGATGTAATATGTGAACCAGTGTGTGTTCTTGTGCTGCATTGCATGTTTATGAGCACAAGAGGAACATTATCAACACCACCTCTGGATCAGTAAGTTTGGCTTAAAGCTGGTTTTATTTTATTATATATGGCTCAGTTTGTGGAAAGGTACTTGGTGCATATCAGTGCGCTACGCAGTTATATAAAAAAAATTGATAGTAGCAAAAATGTGTTGGACAAAAGAACAATAAAATTTATAAATGTGGATGTGTAAGTACTACAGCAGCCTGATTGAAGATGTTATTTCCTTTTATGTAAGTTTTTAATATTGTACAAACTTCCTGTTATTCCTGTACTCTCAGCCCAGTTATGCATCTTTTAAGTTCATTCTATGTAAATAATAGTAACCTTGCTATATTGAAGACGGCATACTTGTACTAAAAGCAGTGTGAGTACATTGAGCTCCCTCTGCTACATTGATGCCATACAATTTCATCTTAATCAGTAGTGAAGTTCTTCTAGTTTCTTTCATTCACAAAAAGGAAACAGATTATTTTAAAATATCCTAAGAACCCTTCCACCCATTTGTATCCAGCCTGCCTAGTATTCCTTGGCCATGAAATGCTATTGAGATATTTTTATGTGAATGTCATATCAAAATTAAATTTTTTCTGTTAAAAAATGTTGCAACACCTTTCAGTTTTGAAACTGGATGTTATGAACAAATAAATTTTTCTGTGGATGTCAGTGTTTACTTAGCATCACCACTACAGCTTTAAAATGTAACCCTTTGAAGCCAAAGCTCATCCAAATTATATTTAAGCACTGTTTAGGAAATATTGCTGTTTATTCTGAGAGTTATATGAAACCCATACAGACATACTGTGGGCAAAATGCAGAGTTATAGATTGTTAAATCAGATTAGTACAGTTTACACCAAGCTTTAAAATGTCAGCTGCAGTTGAGATTGTGATATTAAAATCAGTCTCAAATTCTGCCAGAATTCAGTGCTTCTGGGTTAATTATCATAGTAATAATATTTTAGCTCTGGGGGTTTGTTCTATTTATTTATTTTAGTTAAAGCACTTTGTATTTAGAAAGAATGTAGTTAAAGGTTCTGGCTGTTTGTTATGTGTTTTACATATATGCATTTGACATATGGGGACGTGTTTTATTCATTGTTATATTTCAAGAATTAAAAGCTTTGAATGTGAAAAGTTACCGTTCTTAAAAGGATATGTTTTAAAACTGAGGCCATGTTGTAGGTGTGTATAATAGTTAAAATATTGTGATGTAGGAAGTATGAATTTAAAAGTTTCAGTACATATGTGGATGTGTGACACATGCGTATTTTAGTATCTGAACAGATTGTGGGTCATATTTTGGAAAATGGATGTGTAAAAGATTTACAATGGGTCCATTTGTGGATACTATAGGGGGAAAGGTTTTTCATAACCAGTGGTAGAAAGTGCCTTTAAAATTTACGTTTTGCCATAATGTTTTTGATGAAGGTATATCATTAAACTGATGCATATTCTTGGACATTTTCCATGGGGATGGGGCATGTGGCACACACAGGAGTGACAAGAAATTTATACAAAACTTTAATTGGAAAATCTCAATGCAGTTAAGTGATTAATATAAAAATGGGTCTGTGGAAATCTTGATTGAATTGGACTGGCTAGTGGGTTTCTATGAATAGATTGATGAAACTTTTCATTTCATAAAAACAAGAAGTTGATTGACTAGCTGATGGTCAAATGACAATACTGTGGAGTTAAAAAAATAATTTTAGATAAAAACATTATGCATGGTAACAAAAACACTGATTTTTCGTTTTGTTAATTTCATTGCTTCAGAAATGCATGTTTAGTATGATGATGGCTTATGATGTTCAACACAGATTCGAGTTTAGTTCCCATTTTTCCTCTAGTAAAAGTAACTTACTACATCTAAAAACTCTTATGTAGCTAGAAACTACAGTGCTTTTCTTAAAACTGATTGATATTACATGTTCAAATTAAATTGTTAATTGCCTTGCTGATTAGATCGCTATACTGCAGATTTATTATATATATTCTGCTCTGCTGTTTGCATTCATAGTACTTGTAATGAGTTCAGTCTGCATAAAAATTATTTTTGCGACACAAAGCAAGCAAAGCAAAGCAAAAACTGATGTTAGTTGTTTTTGCTATATTTCAGGTGCCACAGATAGAACTTGAGCAGGTGTAATGGAATTCTGAAGGCTGTTCGGCACACAGTGTTTTAGTATGATATTTTAGGCTCTGCTGTGTGTCATCTTATAATGTTTCATGTCTTTCAAACACACATCCTTTTAAGCTTCAATATAGAAAGCATGCTAGTAATGAAAAGTAGAAAGTGTACTTGCATTGTAGGGAAGTGGAGGAAGCCTGAGAGAAACGTTGGTGATATTTTGTTAATCCTGATCATGTAAAGATAATGGACCAAGAAAGTGAAGAAAATTGTTTGAATTCCTAATTTCCGTCATCTTTTTGGATGGTTACAACGCAACTTGAATACAGTTTTTATTTTGCAACATTTGCACACACAAATGCCGAAGTGATTTTCCAGTATAGGCAACAAACATCTACATATACGCATTTCATTACATGTAGCAAGGCCCCCTGGTTGTCCATAACAGCAGTGATAGTAGTGTCACGTCCAGAAGAAAATTATAAGTTATTTTACAGTGCACATGTTTTGGAAATGAACCATTTATTTATTCTTGGTCAGTGTGAGATTATCTTGTTCCTTAAAAATTGTCATTGTGGACAAATAAAAATGGTTCCACTTGTAGGAACAGTATTTTGAATAAAAAGTGTATTTTTATAACAAAAAGAAATGAGTGAAAATTATTCTGCTAAGGTTTTTACTTTGCAGCATGATCTCAAGTTCCTATTAATGTTGTTTGAAAATGTAGCTCTTAAGCAAATGGCCAGTCCTAGTTGTATTTCATCTGTAATTTAGAAAATTTGGGTGTAGAAATCAAATTGCTTAGAACATTTTAAAATATACCCCAGGCTTTCTATTGAAGATATATCAGTATTTTAAGTCTAGTTATTATGTAAGTGATGAAGTAAAATGGGTTTGAAAAGCACAAAATTAAGTGAAAATTATTCTGCCAAGTTTTTCACTAAGCAACTTAGTATATCTTAAATTTTAGTTTGTATGCAATTGGCCAACTACAGTCCTATTTCATACGTAATTTAGAAAGTTTGGGTCTGAATATTAAAATGCTTGAATTATAAAATTAATCCAAAATTTCCATTGATTATTTTAGTGCCTTTAAGTATCTGTATATGTCAAGGATAAGTTATATCAATTTTTAAATCTACGTTTCCTGGTATATCTGTAAGTTGTACATAAAACTGAAATTAGATTTAAATTAGTATTATCAGTATCATTGTATTTTGAGTTTTGAGTCTTTGGAATGCCATAGCTATGGTAATTAAAGATATTGTTTGCAAGCAGCAAAGCCCATAAATACATTTCTTGCACGGTGAATATAATTTAGCACTTGTAAAAAAATTGTCCATGAACAAAATCACATCCTTACTGAACAAATTTACCAAAAACTATGAAGAAAAAAAAAACAATGTGTATGAACAACATTGCTTCATCTGTATGAAAAGTTCCCAGCCTGTAAAGTATACAGATGTGCCAATGGGTGGAATTACTTCAACCTACAGAAGTTAGATCCTGTGTAACCTTAGGTCATTACCGTTGCAGGATGATGGTATTCTGTCATGATCTGTGTCAAGTAAACCAATAATACAGTTTCATGTATTCAGTGTTATGCTTTCTATGCATAATATGAATATGTGATGAGGATTTCATTTGATTTCAGTGCAGTTTTTTATTGCAGGTTACACTGAAAGTTCTGAAGAAAATCTAATATTGGCCTGTATTGATCCACAGTAACCCTTAATTTACATGAATTGAAACAATATTAACAAATTTATAGAAAATGGCCTATCATAGAAAAAATTAGTGCATAACATGTACCGTAGATTTCATTAAAATCAGTAACATTAAAATTCAAGTAAAAATAACTATTTATATTTCTATGTAGTGTATTATCTATATTGTTGATTAGTTAACAATAGCTTTGTGTGAATAAATAAATGCACATAAGTATGAATGAAGGATGCAAAGTAACAAAGAATATGTTTCAATAATACTTCAAATTGGTGTACAACTCTTCCTCATATTTTTTTAATATTTAAGGTATGTGTTGTTTCTGGCATATAGTTTTAATACAAGCTATTTTAAAGCACTGATATTCTGCATTGCAAAAATTGGTACTATGTTCAAACTACCAGAGTTCAAAGCCTAAAGAATTTGATTTGGAGACATGGCACTGTTCCATACCTTCCTTATATATCCATATCCTGACCCAGTTGTAAACTGACACATCGTGTTTTTGTTTTGTTGCCCTCTTCTCCAGGCTCCATAAGTAGCTACGCTGGAATATTGAAAGGCTGCTCTTCAGGCTCCATTTCAGGTACTGTTGGTATGTCTGGAGCATAATGTCACCTGTGCAACTTAAAAATGATGTAGTAACATGCACATTAAATTGATTTCCTTTGGATTTTCACAAGTGAAAATACATAATAAAGTAGGCTGAGCAATTGGAAAAATGCCGGTGAAAATTTGAGCATTTACATTTGTATTTAAATAAGTTTCGAAGAGAAAGTCGTGTTCAGCATCAAGATTGACAGTAACTATGAAACTGAGAAATCTCTGTATTTGTTTGTAACTGGGCTATAATTTTTGGAGTTCTTACAGTAGAAAATACATGCAATTCTAAATTTCTTATACTTATTCTTGTATGTTATTACATTATTTAATATTTTACATTGTAGTAGTATTTATACTTTCTAATATACCTTTCTTTCCTTTATGATAGTTGCATAATTATATATGCTTTTATGTGCATGGTTATAAGTGATACGAAGATTTATATTATCAGTAATAGCTTTTCTACCTGCTTCTATATAATTTAATTATTGCACTGCTGCAAAAACGTTATGCACATTGATTATTCTTACAGTTCTATTAATAACTTACTTGATGGATACAGACTCTGCATAATTACAGGGTTGTGGATTTAGTCCTACAATAAGGGCATTGAACAGGCTGGTATTAAACACTATAGAAAACATTAACCTGTATAAAGTGTCAACTACGAACCACAGAGACGAAACATTTAAACACAGAAATGTGTAGGAATAAAATATTTCATGGTCCTGAATTGCCAAAATAAAGTTTTTGCATACAAAGCAGTTTGCTTGTCATACACACATATTTTGAGACTTCAGATGATTTGTTAGAGTAGTGTTTTTTTATTTGTGATTTCTTAGAATCCTTGAGTTTTCTGCAGGTTTTTGTTACATGAATAAAATTTTTGCACATAACAGCAGATGTTTTTTTAAAGAATGTGGAAAGCAAGTATTTGATTAATATACAACATACTGTGTCATTTTTGCTTTATTTCGAAACATTTAAACACAGAAATGTGTAGGAATAAAATATTTCATGGTCCTGAATTGCCAAAATAAAGTTTTTGCATACAAAGCAGTTTGCTTGTCATACACACATATTTTGAGACTTCAGATGATTTGTTAGAGTAGTGTTTTTTTATTTGTGATTTCTTAGAATCCTTGAGTTTTCTGCAGGTTTTTGTTACATGAATAAAATTTTTGCACATAACAGCAGATGTTTTTTTAAAGAATGTGGAAAGCAAGTATTTGATTAATATACAACATACTGTGTCATTTTTGCTTTATTTATATTTTATACAACATTATAGTTTTGTTGTAGGGTAGATTTTAAAGTTTATTTCATCTTTGAAGTCTCAGTAGTTTTAATCCAGATTCACTAATAATCACTTTATTCAAGATCTGTATGGAAATTGCACTTGTCATAGCAGGGTTAAAGTAGTTAATTAATTTGACAACTTCTGCTTCAACATTTTTTTTACTTGTTTATGAAAACAAATGCTTGTCATTAACAAACTAAGTTTAAAAATGCTTTTTGCAGTTTTCTTTTTATAATAATCTTTTGTTAGAGTGAATGAAGCTATACATTAGGAATTTGTGTATCATAATTACTGAATTAATTGGTGATAATATTCAATGGTAATTTAAAAGCAAGGTGATTATGTGCTTTGTGACTGAAAGTCAAAAGTGAATTTTACTATGGTGTTGGAAGTTAATTTTGACAAATGAATATTGTGTTTGTGTATTCCTGTAGGTACTTAATCCCCCCCCTCCTCAAAAGTTAATGAAAGCAGTGCATTTCATACTTCCCTACAATATAGAATGTACAAAACTAATCCTTTGACCAACCCCCTGAGCAGCTCCGAAAGGAGCACTCTGCTCTAGTCTTTTTCTTGATAAACTTGAACATTACATTGATGAATAAGGTTTTTTATTTCAGCAGTAAGGAATTTAATGTAATTAATAGCCTGAAGTTGTCTTTTATCTGTCATCATTGGGTAAGCTAAGTATATGATTTTATGAATTTCTTTTCCATAATTTTTTACACTCTGATAATAACTCAGTTGTAATTGTTAAAGAAATAAAGATGCAAAGAATTTTGTGTAACCTTCCTATTCATCTTTTTTTAGGAATCATTAAAAGATATTTCTTTTGTATTTTAGTAAAGTTTGAGGTAATTATTTATATGCTACTTTTATGTAGACTTAGTGCATTTTCTTCGTTGGTGTTGTTTCTAGAGTCAGAGCTATTGCATGAGATGGCAGCGGCGGCAGAGTCCCCACCAAAGGGAGGATTCCAATTTGATGATGACACCGAGTTTCCACCTGTCACACAGAAAACAGAGTGAAACAAGACATTAAAATGAATGTCTTGCATATCACATTCAGGATAAAAAGGCATTTTTTATTTGTACAGTGCTTTGTTTGAAAGCAGGTAAAATAAGATGCAAACAGCTCTGTATGCCAGAGCACGTGGAGATATTTTTTTTCCTCAGTTTATTTTTTCTCCTAATAGATAACGTATGGTTTAAGAGTTAACCTCAGTTGCGAATGTCAGAAAATCTTTTTTTATTTAAAATTAAAATGCATTGCAATACTTGGTTTGTTTTCGAATGAAATGGAAACATAAAGTTTGTGTTAAAGGAACAATGTAAGTGATAGTGGGTTTTTTTTTCCGTTTTTGTGTGTCTGTGAGTGTGAGTAAAAGTGAACATTTGTGATACACAGATAACCGACATGGTTTTGTGATTTTTAGTTATATGCTCTGAATGAAGTAAATATTGACAGATGGTGTTGTATTTCTGATATAACAGTGTCAGTGTATGCTGCAGATGCTGAACTGTTAACATACTCATGGATCAAGAATAAGGATTTGGAAATATGTTGCCTGTAAGCAAGACATGTAATTGCTGTACTGTTTGCAAAGGTGTATTTACATTTATTTTTCTTTGCAATATTCTGTATTGCTACTAGATTTATTGTTTTCCTCTTACATCATCGTTCTGAAATGGAGTTACCCGTGTATTATAGTTAAAATTATAAAGCATTGAACAGTAAGGAAGAAAGTAGCATGGAATTTTGTCACAACACAGATTTTGTCAGGATAAATATAACTATATGATTATGCATTTTATTTAATTTAATTAAAGGGGTACATGTACCAAAATAAATTTTTCACTCACAGACTTTGTGAGAAATGTGTTTTATTTATATTTTTTGTGAAATGATGTATACTTTTATCAAACATGAATATTGTATGTTGATAAATATTTTTAATTCTTTGGCTGTAGGGCATAATAAGAACAGTTTTCTTGCAACCAAAGAAAACTATTTCATGTTATTTGTTTGTGTCATGAAATATGCTACTTCAGTTTATAATCCAATGCCGAAGTTGAGCCCTGCATGACTAAACTCTTGTTTTCTCCTTCCCATTCACTGAGGATAGACTAAACATTAAAATCATGTTTTAAGGCTGATTCTGTAATGGGAAAACTACAACCATCTGTTCTCCTGACAGACTGTGGCTAGGTTCATAGCACAATATATGAACACCTGTGGCTACCTGTTTTCTTCACTGCAAAATTTCAACATGATACAATTTTATTTTCAGCTACTTGACTACAGATTTGTTTAATCCATCAGCCACATTAGAACCCTCTCCACAACTACGTTAGCATGTATTTTGTTATTTTTCAAGACAGTGTACCTAAGAAGTGGTCACTGGGATATATCAACAAACCAGTATGATTAAAATACATTTTTAGAAATTCATCTGTAACATAGACTGTGTTATATTTATAAATAAGAGTCAATCTACACAATATGCAAATTATGAGCAGTTATCACTTGATGTTAATGGATTTATATCCCTATGGATAATATTTATGATTACATGTGTTGGCTACTTTAGATTTTCCCATCATTCTTGACAAGCAATTTACCACTAATACATGAATGATATTAATAAATTTGTTGATTACTAAATGTGCATTCCTCACATCATACAGAAAATCCCTTGGGAATTTGGTTGCCTAATTATTTTGATTTATTATCACCCTGATGATGAGGGCAGCAAGGACATCTTAAACGTTGGTAAACTTCAACTGGACTATAATGACTTATCGGGCTTCCAGCCGGGTTAAGTGATTTAATGGAGAAAACACCAGAATCATTTTCGTCCTCGTCCACACGGTTTCTGTAGTTGTTGGCTGTACGTTAAACAATAGGGCTTCGCGTGCGGAGTGACGTACTCCCTACTTTTTGCTCAGCTTTCCGATTAGATAACATGTTCATCACCGAGCACCAGGTCCGAATCCAGCAGAAGCCCCCGTCTCTGCGGCGGTACTGGTGAAGTCAATGCGGTGTCCAGTGTTTATGCTGTGCTCCGCAACCGCAGACTTCTCTAGCTGCTCGAGACGTAAATATAAACATTAACCCTATTATTAGCCTATTTCCATAAAACCGGAGACGACACTGCAAATGTGTATTATCACTAACAGTGTGGAGGTCTACGTATTTCAGGTTTGTGACGTCAATCAGACTAATCACGCCTAAAGACATGAGTTGGCATGGTAGAATTTAATGCTTAAAACTGTAAAAAATATTGAAATGTCTCTTTAGAGAGTATAACGTATACAGAATTGCTAGAAATAAGGAATTATTTTCTTTGGCGGTCTTATATCGTGAAACGATAGTAATAGCTGTTGCCACAATAACAGGAGAGACATATATTCAATCCTACTCTGTTTATGATAAATTAACATAAATAACATACGCTTTGGTTTATTCCAATCGTAAGTATTATAACTTATTCCCCTATAAGGGAATTTCTGCGTTAAAAGGCAGTTTTCAACGATATTAGTTAAAAGTATAAATGTTTCTGGTGTCGTTTAAGTTGGTGTTGATTGTTTTACATTTCATTGAACGTACACAACTTTGCTTCCGTAATGTTACCTATCGAGGATAAGACGGAACTATCTTCGTCTAATAGACAAACTGTACTTGTGACCGTCACCATCCATTTCCAAATATTTCTGCTCTGAAGATGGAGACAGTACGTTTCTCTGAAAGGATGTTTTTATCCTACGAGTCCACACAGCGTCACAATCCGGAAGAACGTAATGAACTGCAGCCAACGAACATTTCCAGTACTAAAGTGGACAAGCTAAACTTATGAACAGCTGCACAAATCTACTTCATACTAACAAGCTGAAGATAAGAATCCACCATTCTCAGGAATTCAAGTGGGTGTATGAAATATTTAAAGTAATTTCTATAAATACTTCTTTGGACATAAACAAAAGACATTTGTAGTTTTTTATATCTGAAACAAAATGAAATAGTAAATTTTAAAATGCTGAAATTCTTCCTAGGCATGCATAAAGATTTCAGTTGAAATTAAGGTAACAAATATGTCAAAATTAAGAACAGAACAAGCATTAAAGTCAATAAATTTTTATACCTGTAAACATATTTTATTGCAGAATTAATTTATCACATTTGTATTGTATAAGAGAGGTATAGGAATAAAAATGTGATGAAAAATGAATGCTGTAATTTTTATATAAGTACATGTCAAGCACTTTATGAAATATGAACAAAGTACCAGCGTCTGATATTTCTTTCACACGTATGTTCTTCATAAAAAAAATGGCGTGCATATTGCTTCAGTGTCAAGATGACTCTCCAGAACACTTAAGAAATGCCATGTAATAGATTCAAAATGTACAGCAATTAAATTGCATTTATTATGTCTTTAGAGTAGCAACTCAAACTAAGAAGTTGATTATTATGAGTGAAGCCAAGTACCTGTATGTGAAGATTTGAAATTGACCTTTATATATGTAGTACCTTAGAAATCATTTTTGCTTTCTCAGATGGATGTGATACAGCATGCAACCTCTAGCAACATGTTGATTAGGAAGTCTGATTCTGTTCTGAGAAGAAAAACAATTTTCATCAGTTGCCCAAACTGCAAGCATCATAAGTTACAGAGGCTATGAAATGCCACATGCTTTGATACTGATAGGAAACAGTTACATGTCCTGTACAGTGTAAAAATAACTGATGCAATGCAATGTGAGGCTCGGTGGCTGTTCTGATATTTTGCTCAACAAATGAACAAAGAAGCAGTACTGATATTGCATCTGCGGAAGACAATAAAGTCAACTGCCTCATGACAGACAAGCAGGGGTGTCTGGGACAATGACTCAGATGATATTGTCGACTTCAACCATGGGAGGACAAATAACAGATGCGACAAACAGGAGTGCCTTATCTACGCAGGATTTGAGGTTTTCACGGTGGTGACTATACGGATGGTTGTTTTCTGAGTTGTAGTATGGTAGAAGTTCACCAACATTTCAGAGGTGCTTGCTTTTCTGTTATTGCCCTGATGATGGAGGCACTACAACCCATAACGCAGCCAGCGACATGTAGAAGTGCACTTCTTGGTGTCTGGAGGAATGACAAGCGCGGAACATCGAACGCTGGCTGCCAAGTATGGACAGAACTGTTTTTCCACACTGAAGAGGATCAAAATGTTTCAAAGCAGCCAAACCAATGTAGCTCATGCAAACATGTAAGGATGCACATCCACATATTAACAAAACAGACACCATACTCTAACAATAATTGTTGGAAACTGCAGGGTAACTATTGCAAAAATTTCTATGTGACTGGGCATCAGTGTTGTTCATCCTTGGTGCAAACCTCTAGTCCAGTAATCATCTTTATACCACACTCACACAAATGGTTAACTAAACAAAACTTTTGATATGCCACAGTCTCACCCTGAGCTACAAAACAACCAGACCTCAACAATGTTGAAGATTTCTGTCTTCTGGGTTGTTGCGCTGTGTAGTATGGACTATAAACTGCAATGCTTTGCTGAGGACTGTAAGCTTCTGACACCTGTTTGAGAGAGGTTATACTAATTTCTCAGCTTGTTTTTTTAGTCTTTCTCAGTCTGTTATATTTATTTTCTGTGACCGTCACAAATTACAACAGATTTTAAACCAAGCCAGCGAACAAAGACGTCTTGTAGAAAGTGGGCTCTACTGTTGTTGTACGGCACCGATTATATAACAATTTCAGAATCTGACCTCATTCTCTGACGGCAATAACACTAGCACTGATTCTAAACTTCAACACGAGAGTGGCACAAGTGAAGCTTAACCAGTCACAACAATTTCTGTTGGCAAAGGCTAGGAAAGGAGGTGGATGATGGAAATTAATTTCTGTGGAGAAATACATGGACTGCAACCATAAATTACTTTACCTTCTGACCAAAAGTGGCAAACATGAAAGGATTTTATTCTGAGAGGTAAGATACTCATTCTGGCAGTGTTTCTAGGCCCTCTGAGCATCACTCGTGAAAGGATTAGGGATAAATAATTTAAATTAGTTCACTAATAAATAATAACATATACACAATACACTGAAATGCTGCAACCAAACAATTTAACATGCAATATTAAATGATAAAAGAACTGAAATATTTTGTTCTGAACTCATCTGATGGCAACAAAATGTTCAGAAAAATTAAACAATTCTCATAAATCACAGTTAGAAGAAGCATGTAACATTGCAATGATTAAGTGCATTCATTGCATACCTGTAATATTTCAATTTCTATCACCATGGTATCTGAAATGAACAAAAAAGCTTTACAAACAGAATCTAAAGCTCAAAACATTTATATTTTAAGTACACAGCAAAAACATAATTTCAACCTGTGCATTTAAAATTAATTATATATTAATAAAATGCACCATTCTGAGCAATGTCTGTGGTATGTAACTGAAAACAATAATTCGTGATGACCTCACTATGTAAATAACTCCCATACATAACACTTAAAAATGGTAAAACACCAAACAGTAGAATCACTTATTGAACAAGAAATCTTGCTTAACAATTTCTTGTCACAGGATGTTCATGAATCCAACAAAGGAATATTGATCATTTTGCAGTGTTCTGGTACATAAATAGGGAAAACTGAAAGAAAAAAAGTTTCATGCAGTCAAGGAATATTTATGACTAATCAACATTCATAATCGTGCCAGATCTAAAACGAGGCAGTTCTTTTACTTATTACAATATCATCTGCAGTAATTTGTAGTACAGTATTTAATGTTGTATACAAGACTGTTGTGATATTACAGGACGTATGTTAAACAGCGTAAGCACATTATTACTCTCCTTCACTTACCCATATGCATGGGGAGTGAAGTGGTCAATATATGGTAGTTAGAAGCGATATAAATATCAACAAAACATTATGGGGGTGGAAGGGGATATTTGTACTGTTCCTTCTTCTGTCTTCATATAATGTGTGTGTGTGTGTGTGTGTGTGTATTGTTTTTGACAACGTTACAGTCATCAGCTTTCCTATTTTCCAACACATGAATAACGCGGACCCCTTCAATTAGAAAAAAAAGCCAAGGGACATCCGGTGTAGTACATCCTTGATTTATGTATAAAAGCATTTCATGAGAATAAAATATCTCAAATGAATATCCATAAATCAACTCACCTGGACTCAAAATGGTTTTGTGTTAATACACTACATTTTAAGCCTAGTAAATTGCATAGAGATCAATAACTGTGCTAACCAAAGACATACTGCATTCACTCATGTGTACCAAACACTCAATTAAATTTTGTATCTCGGTTTTCTGACCTGAATGATCTTTCTTGTGATTATTTTTGAAATGTAACTGCAGTGCTACATAATTCTGCAGATGTTCATTAGAATGTCTGAAAATAAAATATGAGTATTCTGCAACTTTTATTATAATAAAATAATTAGGACAAGAGTGAATACACACAACTGAATACAATATTTTACCCAAATTTCCCTGTCAGTGAGACTTACAGATGACAAAGTCTATCTTGGAAGGCTACACATCTCACAGCTGACAAGTTCAGGCGAATTAAGGTATGTGCAGTGTGGGCAGGTCCAGAGTGGGCCAGGGCCTGCCTGGCTTGTGACTTGGTCATTTCCTCTGACCAGCCCATTTTCACTGCTGTCTGTTCCAAGTTCCACCCCACCACCTACCGCACCCATTCCAGCAAATGCCACACTGTGTGGGCGTGACTGTGGTGGAGATGATAAACTTGCTGAAATCAGCTGCTCAACTGTGGCCCAATGTTCCGAACGGGACCAATCCCGTGCTTGCTCTGAGTTTCGAGTTCTAACAGCTTCCAAAACGGGGCCCATATAATCCTACAAGAAAACAAATTTAATCTGATTTATATTGTGTAAAGGTAATTACCAAATCTGTTCTACATGAACAAACTGAATTTTGGAAAGTATAAGTACTTCAAGAACTACCAGATAACCATAATTCAACACTAAATCTAAAAGATTCCCTTCCAAAAACAAGTACCATTGTTGCCTGATTTTGCCCCCGAATGATTTATTCTTGATCACAAAACTAAATATCTCGTTGAAAGAGCCTCATTTTGAAACACTTGAAAACCTGACAACAATATTAAGCACATGCAGCAAACGTTTTCCAATAATGTTTTCATGTATGCAAGAAATATTTTTATGCGTATAAAATCATATGATGAGTACCTTGAGGGTGATTATGCTTACTATAGGCTAGTGTCAATAAATTTTTACGCTCATTCAATTGTCAGACCTCGGATGTAATTATTATTTATCCCACTAACCTTCATGGGCAACATATCCATTGATGAGATATAGAGAAGAAAGTGAAAATCAGACACAGCCTTCAGAAAACAGTCAGGGGTGAACTGCTGCATATATGAACTTAAAGCACTGAAATCCTGAATATGGCCATCAACCATCCTGAAATTATACAATGATAAAGATAATTATTATATATAAAATATCCAATAATACAGTGACTATTAACCTGAAAATATTGTAAAAATAGAAAATGTATTCACAGTTCCCAATGAGCAATTGACATTTACAGTTTCAGGTCAGACTTTGTAAATATCTAGTTTTAATGAATTGTTTGGTTTTCCTCATGGACACTGCTTTATTAGCTACAAAGTTTGCCATTCTGCTATTACAATAATTTTTTTTTCATGACCTGTCAAGGGGTTCACAAACGACAAACACGTTTGAGAACAGCCGTTCTATGACACAATCACAAAACGAAATTTAATAAAATCCCAATGAATTGTTCTTTCTGGGAGGAGGGGGGGGAGTTGTAGTCTGCAGGGCTACCAATAGATAGCAGCATGATCTTGGGTAAAAATCACAGCAGACGTAAATGTGTCCATGATATGTTTTTCGCTTACGCAAAAGCATAAAGAATACCTAAAAGATATCTGAGTAAAACACTGATGAACAAATATGTACTTTTTTACTCTCAGAAACACGAGTGACGTAGGCCTACATGTTGGATCTGCGAAAACTTTCTTACACCACGTGATATTTTATCTCAAATCTACTGGCATGTTACCTGTTCTCTACTGGGAATGGTCTCACATTAGCGTCTGCACAAAACGTGAACAGTGGGTTGAGAGGCGTAGAGACTGGAATATCAACAAGCAAATACTCAACAGGTAGAGGCCTGGCTAACCTGGGGACTTCATTACCATAGCCATCTTTTTCCTGGAACAAAAATAACACACATACAAAATTAGCTATAAACTATGTATTTTATTTCTGTACGGAATTTAGCAATTTATTACAACACTATATAAACCAATGCGTACTGTCACTGTAAATACTATTGCAATATAAAACTTTTCGAATAACCGCGGTTAAATCGTCTGCTTTAAGATGGCGTCTGCGCGATATTATTGGAAACGCGCGGACAGATGGCGCAGGTTCCGTAAAGCAACATCGTCCGCCATGCCAAGTGGTTCAGTGTTAACATCATGATGTGGCATAATGTTGTAAGTTAGTGCCGTATAGAAGCCGGCAACGGCAGTTTTTCGTTATGTAAAATATAAATGCCGCTTCCTCGTTCATCGACAGTTTCGTATAACCGTAGAGACGCACCGATACGTGCGTTTTCGTCGTCGTAGCTCGTTCGCTACATTACGTATTTTCATCGTACCGACTTTTGTTTTTTTTTCGCTGTGGCAACAACGCGATAAACACGGTAAGGAAATTACTTTAATTGTTGGGGCATTTTGTTACTAATAATTCCTGCAGTACTAACTAACATTGAAGATTTGGTACGTGTACTTATATCATTTTCACAATCTCAATTGTGGCATGTTGCTAGTGTTCTGTATACGAATGCCGCACAGCATAAGGCATCCGTGGGGAACGAAACTTCTATTTCGTGATCCACGGCGGGAGTACACACGGAGCAAAATGCACTGACATGACTTTAGATTAATGCTCTTTTATCTTTTAGTCAATAGTTGGCCACAAATGTAGAGTTTATATGGCTGTCATTAAAGTAGATCTAATTATAGCATTATATACGACCTTTCAGGAACAGGTAGTACAGTATAAACCCGATGTGAATGTGTTTTTGTAGTCAGACTTTCATAATATTTCGAGTACAGTGTCAAGCATAAGATGCACATCTATAAACATGCAATAGCTGCTTTTTGATAAATAAATTAGCTAATTTATGTATCAGTACTTGTTAAATCTATAATCTAACTTTACAGATGATGGAACCAGGAGTACTACCAGAACTTGAGGAATTGACCCTCTGCAGTTTTTGCAAGCAGAAGTTCAATGACTCGGATCTTTGCCCAAAGTTCCTAAGTTGCAAACACTACTTCTGCCTCAAATGTATCCAAACTGCACTAATGAAAGGCCGCGAGTTGTACTGTGTTCACTGCTGGAAGCGTACCGAGCTCGGTGAACAAGGGGCAGACACTCTGCAAACGTACAGTGCAGTTCTGACGCTTGCAAAGAACTTCACAGCCCTGAAGATTGGTCCAGGAGCTGGTGGAGGGAACAAACCTCCAGACAAAGACCGCAAGGTAGCCAACATTTCAACTGAACAAAATCCTGCTATACTTAGTAGGCTAATCTGTGGTTCAAGCATGTGTACAGAGTCAGTCAGTGTTACAACTCATTTTTACTATTTTGTAGCACTGTTGGTAACTTGTATATTATGACAATATAGAATTGAAAATTATAAAATGTACTGCTTTGTTTTATGTTCTTTTCATCTTTGAACTAAACTGAAGTATGTCTGAACTATTCTGATAGGCTGAGGAAATTGTCATTCACATGACTGAAGGGAACTGAACCTTGCGAATCCAAGAACTAACATTGTCATGGATGTCACTGCACTAAATGCTCTAGCAGGGGTACTCTCTTCACCTATGGGCAGTAGTGTTGAGATCTGAAAATATATATTATGATCGCCATACCTGATGCTTATGTACAGGGGTAATTTCTACATTAACAATCTCTGCTAAATATTTGAAAACTTTTCTGGCTGGAATCAAAACTGTATCTTGGCTATAAATATGAACTGTGACTGAGACAACATGCACGTATGTCAGTCACAGAGTTAGGAGTTTCTTATTGTGTGAAACTTGGTCTCTCACATTAAGGGAAGAATACAGATTGAAAGCATTTGAGAACAGGGACTTGATGATATTGGGCCTAAGATGGATAAGGTGACAGAAAGGAGAAAATTGCATTGTGAGTGGAGTCATGGGGGTGACAAGAAACACAAAACTTTGGTTAAGTCTGAATGGAAGAGACTACTGAGAAGACCTATTTGTAGATGGGAGGATAATGTTATAGTGGATCTTACAGAAATACTGGATTCATCTGGCTTTGGATTGGGACTAGTGGTGGGATGCTGTGAACACGGTAATTAATCTTTGGGTTCTGTAAAAGGCAAATAATTTGATCAGCTTTCGAACTACCAGCTTATGGACTTTGCCACAGAGGAAATTTAATTTAATTTTGTTCTGTAACTTTATCTTCTATCTCAACAGATTTTGTGTTTGTAATTTTTTCTGACAAGTTTCAGCCATATGGGCTGATCATTAGCCAATATGAAATCATTTAGTTCCTAATTACTGTGTGACTATCACAATGACCCTATAGGGCTGAAATGTGCATGTTAGAATAAGTGACAAAGGTGAATGAAAGGAAATTAATTTAAGAGGGCATAAGATAGTTATTTTTGTAGCCAAGACATCTACTATTCACTTATACGATGGATTACTGCAGTGAAATATAGTTTGTTGGATACAATAGTATACTAAACCCCTGTTACTAACAAGAAATGCATAAAATTAACAAAACAATTACAAAATGAATCTGCATGTATGTAATTGAACCAAGCAAATTTACAGTGGACACATGGGTTCCTTAGAGGACTGAAAAATATTACAGAAAAATTTATCTTCACTATCACACTGGCACATTTGTGATTTGTGTCAAGATCATAACAGTATTCGTAATTAAATTCTACCATGCTACCAAACGTGTTACTGTAATTCAATTTACTGTTCTACCAACTGTGTTTTAATTACATTTTACCATACCTCCAAGCGTGTTACTATGATTGTTAATATATATTTGTTAGTACACATAAGTTGAAAGCACAAGTAACATACTCATGCTACCAAAACCATTATTGAAGCATTGGGATGACTTTCATTCCTACTTAATCTAAATTATTTATAAACAGCAAATACACATGTAGTATTACTTATTAGTTATATAACAGTACAGTCTGATAAAATATACCTGATGTATAACATTTTGGTAGAAATTTGGGAATAAATGGATTGCCTATTTGACATATCTATAAATGTAATTTCGTTCTTTACGCATTAAATGAAATTTATTCCAAGCATGAAATCACCTACATCTAGTTTAGCTTACCACAGTTTTAATTATAGGTACAAGTTTCAAAACTGGGATTGCTACTAAAGAAATATTAAACAACCTGAATTTTAATGATACTGATTACAACTGAATATATTTTTGATGTTTGCATTTGTATTGTATGATCAGAAACTTTGGAGAATCTGTTTCAGAGGAATGGATCAAAGGTATGCAAATATATGTGAAATAACTAGGGTATGTTTGGATTGAAGTTTACATTCATACTGAGGGGTATATGAGATTAAATGCAGTTGTGAAATGCTTGACAGAAAATTCTGATCTGCATAGTTAGCTCAGAAAAGGAAGACGTAACAAGAAGAAGGGCCCGTTCAGATACTGACAGACAACACACAACCGTCCACCAATAATGTAATCATTTTCAAAGGTAGCATGCCAGCAAGATGACCAGTCTTAATTCTTTTAATAAACGTTAAAGAATGATGAGAAAACTAGTTATTCAGTTTCTTTCTGTATGTGTTTAACCTTTAACATTTTTACAGGCTTCTCTAATGCCCTGTTCTGAGTATATTTTAGTACTTCTTGTTCCCTATATTACTGTATTTTTAATGCATGATTTTATTTTTTAGTTATCCCATGAATGTAAATCTGATTATGAAGGCTGTGTTTAGTTTTTTTAATACTAATACTACTGTGATAGAATAATTCCAAGAAAATTCCTGTTGTATGACTAGTATAAAGGCTCAATATACACACATAGATAATGTGTGCATGTGTTTTATGGGTGACTGAGTAGTAAATGCTGAAATGTGCATGTTTTATAGAGTTAAGAAAATACAGGGTATCACTTTTTTGCCAGATGTTGCCAAGTGAGAACTGCCATACACATGGAATGCCATTGGCACTGTGGTGCCACACGTGTTGTGCTGCCATTTGTCGAGCGTGCGCAACACAGCAGGAGCATCCAGGTCATCAGGTGAAATCTCAGGGGGAAGCCAAAGAACAACTTGTTTCGGAGGTCTGCACTTGTCCATATAATTCTGTGAATTAAACTTCTACTTGTTTACAAAATATTCTACCCATTTTTAAACTCTTGTTTTTTGCAGATGGAACTTCTGTCTATTTTCTCTCCTGTAAACATTTGCCTTCTACATTTGAGATGAGTTTGAACCACATACAGTATTACAAGTAGTCCGGGTTCTCAGTCCATATCTTCCATGTCTAATTGACGTTGTGTAGTTCAGTAATTATATTTCCATAGTGAATGAAGTCCTATTATATTCTCACTTTTCTGAGAAGATATGGTTGTGTTATTGTTGATAGTTGCCACTCCGGATTAGATCTCACTGTGTGCTTGTGATGTTTCAGGTTCAGTTAGAGCTGGTTGCAATGAGTAAAATGCTGTCTGAAATCCAACGTTTGGCAATGCAGCAACGAGACTTCTTGCTGAAGGTCCTGGAGGCTTGTGTCACTCTCAAGACACATGTTGAGACAGATCTTCAAAATGGTTGGAGCCATGTACCAGAAGTGACAGAGGCACGTGAGACACTGAGCAAGGCTCGGGCTGGCCTTGCTGGTGTAGATGGCCCTGGTGATGCTCATGTTCTCTATTCATCTCTCTCTCTGGAAAAGCAGCGACTTCAAGGAAAGTATCAAGAGATGTACCTGCAGTGTCAGCTGGATGACCTGATCGGCAATTCTGGAGTGGTGTTTGACTTTGCCCTGCTGAAACAGGCTCTGGCTAATATCCATTCTGGAGAGCCCCCTGCACCACAGGCTGGTCCAGGTCGTCATCCCCACCATGTGGCTGCTGCTCAGAATCCTATCCTCTTCCTGGCCAACTACTGCATGTCACAGTTGTACTCACGACATGTATTGACAAAGCAGCAACATCATTTGCAGCAGAATGGAACTGTGGAATATCACCATACTCCAGTGCATCAAATGCCTCATCACCTTGTCACTCCACCACATCCTCCACCACCTCAACACATTGTTGTTGCTGCTGCTCCTGCTCCCTCATCTGTTGCCAACAAACCCCCACCTGCCCTTCCTCCTCCAGTCCATCATGCACAACCACCACCTCCTCCCCCATATGGACAAGAACCAGGAGTTGTAGCAGTCCAAGTTCAGTCTCCTCCCCAAGCAGTCATGGCCATCAATGTCCGTAGCCCTGCAAACCCATGCCCACTCTACTTCTTCAACATCGATGTCAATGGCTCACCTCATGGACGTATTGTCATTGAAGTTTGTCCCGATGCTGCTCCAAAGATGGCCAAGAACTTTGGTGTGCTCTGTACAGGTGAGATGGGTGTCAGCTACAAGGGCTGTGCTGTGTTCCAATGTTGGGAAGGAGAATCAGTCATCACAGGAGATTTTGAGCTCAACAATGGACGAGGTGGAAGATCCATCTACGAGGATGGCTACTTTATGCCCGACGACACTAAATTCCCTGCAGTGCGTGGTGCTGTGGGAATGAGGCGCACTCAGAAGCGCCATGACAACCTGGGAATGGTTGGTTCCCAATTTCGCATAATTTTGCAGGAGATGAGAGGCTTCACTGGCATCTTTGGTCATGTTGTCGAAGGCCTTGATCTGGTAGAGAAGATATCAACGTTTGGGGACCAGACGGGTAAACCGACCAAGACTATTGTCATTACAAAATGTGGCAAACTCTAAGAAAGGTTTTACAACAGTTGGACTCTAGGTTTGCTGTATTCTGGTGAAGTCACTGAAGTATCCATATTTTTTTCTTTCTTTTTCCCACGGAAGTATGGGAACACAGCATTCATACAGTTGTAATTGGGAATACGTGATGATCATGCAAAATATTTGACTGTAAAGTAATGTACTGTTGGCTAAAGTGATCTGTTAACAGTTCGTCATATACATTATAGCAATGTAAAGAGAACGGACATTTGTAAGGCCCAGAATTGGCATAACAAATAGGGCATTCATTAGCAAGCATCTTGGTTAGGTGCAAGTACAACTTACATTAGACAGATAAAAATATTCTTGTGCTGGTATAAGCAAATATGATTGTTTAATTTAGAGAGATTTGCTCTTTTACCATGATGCATAATGACATTTTTGTAAGGGATTAAAGTGTTAATAGGGATTTGTGTGTCCTCTTTGTGCATGTTTCTAGCGGTTGATCTCAAAATGTGAAATCATAAGGCCTAACTAGGTAGAAAAAATGGCTAACCAATGCATCTATATGTATGCATAAGAAAACATAGAATAACTATGTTTTTATTCGTCAGTTACATTATTTTGTTCGTTATTCTTCCCTCCAATTTTCGAAAGATTTTGGAGATCCGTTTTTGACGATCGATATCGAAGCGTAAATGTTCTCGCATCCATTCCTTCTCTTGATCGAAATAGTAATTGTGTAATGCCGAATAATCGTTCGTCCACCCGCATTCTTGATCATTAACCAGTGTTTGTTAACTTTGATCGAGTAGTCTAGAAGAAAGGTCCGGTGCATCTTTATATTGTTGCCTGGTAATCGTCGTTTCGGAATCGTTATCATAAGCATTAGTTTATTTTTAGATCGAGGGGTAGATGTGTCATGGTTTCATTAAATATGTGTGTAACATACCATTAGTGTAAGCCTTACAGTAGTCTGTTTTATAGATATCGAAATACGGAATTGTCACTGTTCGTTGGGCATCTCTTCTTTGGGACTAAGAAATGTTGCTGTAAACATTTTTCTATGAAAGCACTATTTGCAGTTGGTTCCACCATTTGTATTTTTTCTTTTGACAACTACTGTCGTAATTTATGTAAGCTTTAGTTTATTTTAGAGGGGCATAGTTTGAGGTTCCATATAAATGTGGTTCTATTTGTTGTGGAGCCTGTAAGCTTCAGTTTCTTTTACAATGACCGTTTAGTGTCATGGTTCCCCCATATAACATGTCTTCAAGTACTGTATGCACTTCAAAAATAATGTGTTCTAATGATAGAAGTTCATGTATGTGCATTGCATATTCCTTAGTTTGTGAAGTCTGGGACCGGCAACCTAATATCATTTCACTGTTTCAAAGGATGGGTGCACATCACTGCACTTTATGTTAAGTTTGATGAGGTGATACTCCGACTGCAGTATTAATAGTCTTTAAAATACTTACTGCTAAAAGAAGAGCTTTGACATTGTACTATATTTTTGATGTTCACACCAAAGTGGGATTACTTACATATATTCAAACACAAAATTAGCGACAAAGATGTGGTCGCAATGATGACTGTTTTCTTTTTATTCTTTTTAAGCAAGTCAAGACGTGTTAAGTTTTAGGATAGCATACATAATGATTGATACTGGGTTGCCTTCCTGCTATTGAAGCAAAATTGTCAGTTAAAAACAGTCGGAAAACCATCCTTGTTTGTGCCTTATAATCTTAGCTGCAAATGCTTCCCTAGTTTTATGAACGTGGTGTTAAAATGTGTAGCTCATAGCTAGTTTAAACACGAATTATAATGGTAAAAAAACAGTAAATCTTGTTAACGTCCAGAAAAGCATAAATACGTTTGTGTACCTTATGCAATTTAAAATAGTATGTATGCTGACAGTTAATCGGAAAAATGCAGTTTCATCAAGCTCCTAGTACTTAAAAATGTAGCAAGCCTTTTTTGTCCCTTTGAAACTTCTCTCTCCATCTCCCTGTGGGCATTAGATTAGGGTACCGTACACTATGCCACATGACAAATTGAAACGAGCAAATTGGCAGGGACACATTCCATTGTCGCTCCAAGCGATTGAAACGAATCTTGAGAGACAATGTTAAGCCAATACTATACTGTATTGTCGATGAATAATTTTAGAGAGAGAAAATCATTGGATCATCATCTTGCGATAATATCATTCATTGTTGCACTGAGGAAGTGCCTTAAAAATTTGTGATAAAACTCGTGTAGCGCCGTTCGATGGGAAATATATGCAAAATTAAAAAAAATGAATTTGTTTGTTTAATAATATATCTAAAACAATTCACCTGTCCTATCTTTCCTCTTGTTTGTCATCTTTATTGTTAATTATCAATATCTTACTTGACTCTCTGAAAGAATTTGTCTTTGCATACAAAAGAAATAAATTACTGTGCCTATATTTTGTCTGCAGTAGCAAAGACTTTGGAAATATGGAATTGCATCATTACAAAATGTATCTCTAAAGTGCAGTCACTAATCAAGGAGCTTCAAAAATATAAAGCTATAAATTTTGTAAATGGTATTAATGGCAACAAAAATTCAGTGATTACTGCTTTGGAAATGTATCAATACTTTGTAAATATGTTGGTCTGAAAGTACATATCTGCCATATGTCTTATAGTTTCCCAGAACTGTTACAGACTTAACTTTGATTTTGTATACATTTCTTGATTTGTGAATGAAACATTACTTTGCATCAGGTGAAAGCGATAGTTAATACTTGTGGATCCTAAGTATGAGTAAAATGGCTGAGAAACAAGAAAATTCTATGATGGTAAAACAAAAGCTTGGGTTAATTGAAAAATATGAGACTGGAGAATCAGTGACTTTAGCCATATATGGGATAGGATGAAAACCATTTGTGACAGACAACAAAATGAAGTTTGGAAGGTGTTATGATAGTGGTGCTGGACCTTCCAACTGTAGCAGTATGAAAAAGTCTTCATAAACAGAGGTGGGTTTTGCCCTTCTCCAGTGATTTAACCAGAAGTGAGCAGAAGGAACATCAGTCTCTGGTCCCATGTGTGCAAGAAACCCAAATTTCTTATGAAGCTTTGGGATTAAATGTTACTTCAATGCCTCTGTTGGATGGCTGACCACATTTAAGCAACAATATGGTATTCATGAAACTGCTGCACAGAGAGAGACTTAATGCCAATTATACTGAAGTTTGATGCTATATAGGACATATCTTGGTCAGTCTTCTATGAATCCAGTAACACTGGTTTGATTGTAGAAGAAACTTCTTCCAGACCGAAACATGATTTGAAGGGTTTTCTTAATAACGGAATCGGCAAATCTGAAATTCATATAGTGTGTCATGAGAAGTTTTAAAAATGTTGATGAAGACACTGACGAATGGCTACAAAGAGTTGCGTGTAAACTGGGCTTCCAGTGTATGGACAGTGTCAAGGGAGAAGAAGGGGGTAGATAAAAGTGAAGGAGAAAGTAGTGAGTTCATCATAGTGTGGTGCTACAGTGTCCTGAAACTCTACTAGACTACATGGGTCAGAGATGGTTTAAATACAGTGACATCACATCTACTAGTAACATTTGTATTGCCATGAGGAGTCTAAAACAGTTCACAAAAACAAGTAACCATTACAAATTACTTCCCAAAATAAATGTCAGTTATGCAAAGAAATATAATTTGTGTAGGTTTGTAAATGCACCAAACAAAATATTTTTGACTAACCATGTTTTTTGGATACTTGTGCAAGTTCTCCCCTTCATTAGTTTAGATAATTGGGAATTTACTGTAATAAAAAAATATACAGTGCTTGTGAGTTCCATCTACAACATCTGTACTGTATTATCATATCGATTGTAGCGTAAATGATGAAAGAACCATTCATTAAGCAGTAGAAATTATCTGCACTGTTATGATGCCTGTAATTACATTAGGAAAATTCCATTTTGAGAAAAATATTTTTAAAATTGTCTTTGGTAGTCACCATTGTCTGAAGGAGATGAAAGACCTCAACATTTATATGGATATATAAAATAAAACCACCTTCCAGAATTTTTAATTTTCCACATATCACACTGAACACTAGAAAAATAAAAAGATCGCACGATGATATATTCATTTCTCATCAACACACTACGGGACAAAATCATTATATTAAGGAAGCTGATAAATCCTTTTAAAATGTGGCAAAGTTAAATTATTTCAAAACAGTAACAAATCAAAATTGCGTTCACAGGGAAATTAAGAGCAGACTAAATTTTGGGAATGCTTGCTACCATGCAGTACAAATCTTTTGTCTTTCTGTTTGATGTCTAAAAATGTAAAGATTAAAATATACAAAGCCATATTACCTATTGTTTGTATGGGTGCAAAACTTGGTCTCTCACATTAAGGGAAGAAAACAGACTAGGGGTGTTTGAGAACAGGGTGCTTAGGAGAATATTTGGATGTGACAGGAGGCTGGAGAAAACTGCATAATGATGAGCTCCATAATATGTACTCTCCAGTTAATATTATTAGTATAATCAAATCAAGGAGGACAAGATGGGTGCAGCAATAAGTATGCATAGGGAAGATGAGAAATGTGTAGAGAATTTTGGTTTGAAAACCTGAAGGTAAGTGATCACTCAGAAGACCAGAGAGTAAATGGGAGTGTAATATTAAAATGTATCTTACGAAAACAGTGGAAGGGTGTGGACTAGATTAACATGGTTCAGTATACAGAGCAGTGTTAGTTTCTTGAGAACATGGTAATCAATATTTGGGTTCCATGAAAGGCAGGGAATTTCTTGACAAACTCATCATACTATTAGCTTCCCAAGGATGATTCTACAACTTGATGGTTCAACACTTTTATTACCAAAGTCAGTCACAGGACACGATCCTGAGCCAGATCAATCCAAATTCACAACGTATCAGCCCAAAATCCACAACAACAAGAATAATAATGTTGGTCATCAAAGCCATTTTCAAGAGGTTACCCTACCAAAATTTTGTACATGTTACTTGTTTCCCTATCTGAGCAACATTCCTAATCATAACCCAGTAATCCAAGGTAAGCTGTATAAATTCTGAACTTCATTATTAATGTTCTCCAGTACAAGTTGTATGCATCCTTTAAAATTCAGAAGTTGTGTTATTCAGAGGAAAACATCTTAAAAGACATATTTAATAAATGGAGTTCACAGTAGTGGGAATATATATGAGCAACCAATAACATTCACGGTGTATGTGGCATAATTCCAGAGGTTGTGAAAGAAAGAGATGAAGCCACAGTTTGAATTACAACAGTAAATGCCGAAGAGAATAAGAGGAAGCCCAAGATATTCTGTAGGTCAAAGTTTCAGAAGAAAGGACAAGAAATTAGTTATCTTTCAGAAGGTCTGCTATGGTTGTAGTTTGCATTGTGAGGTGGGATGCCATGAATGATTGTTTTTGATACCACTACGAACACGCTGTTTGTCGCTCTTTAAAAAAAAGTACAATTCTAAAACAACATATCATAAGTTGTTTCTATTTCCTTTCATTACAACAAAATTTCATCACAATTAATAGAATTTGTCAGTCCACAAAAGCTCATCACACTGAATGACTTCAGGGTACATTTTACCTGGAAGCCAAGTGCCAAAACTGACTAATGAAAATAAGAATAATAAAAAAAGCAGAAGTACCTATTCCTGATTAGATTAAGGTTAAAGTCATCCCAATATGTATCTTCAATATGGTTTTGGAAACTTAAAAAGAATATACCATGCAAATAAGTAACAGTATCTAGTATTTACCTTGTAGTAGACATCTGGTACAAACTGCTTGTCAGTAGATTCCTTAACGTAGCCCAGTTCTGGAGCATCTTTCGTTGGAACGAGACAGTTATCCCGAACAAGAGCCATGCATTGGTTTGACACACCATACCCTTCCATATGAACTTGATTAGTGGCATCACCTGCACACAAAATTAATAATAATAAACAGACAAAATAATGTAAACAATTTTGCATTCAGAGGTTATACATTTTCAACTAAAGTGCCAGATAGACGTACCTGTCACACAAACAGTGACGAATTTGGAGCCAAAATATCCAACAGGCGAGAAACGGCATGGGTTAGGTTGCTTGTTTTGAAAGTGACCTGCCATGATGCATTCTTCTGCAGACAAGAAGTGACTCTCAATGTTTCGGACATGCTTCACCTGAAAAGAATTTAATAAAATCAGTTTTTCTTTTCAGATAAGGGCACAGCAGCTTGCTTCTTGTTGTAACAAACAAATTAATTATTACACAGATGACCGATATAATATGCAAACATTTTAAGAAAAAGCCTACATTTGTATAAATAAAATTTTTTGCCTCTTGCATCATTTTAGGTTATCACAAAGAAAATATGTAGATGGCTGTCTTCTGGGTTGTTGCGCCATACAGTCTGTTAGAAGTTTACTGACCTTTCAGAAGTGCTTGCTGCCTTCATCATCAGAGTGATGGAGGCAGCAAGCACCTCTGAAATGTCGGCAAACTTCTACCAGACTATATGGTGCAACAACCAAGAATTTTGCCTCTTACTTTGCACAGGTGTGAAACATGGTTTTCTCTGCAAGAGAAAAACAGTGCCCAGAAGTAGTCAGACACATATTTGGGACAACGGAGGATGAAATATGTGGGCGATTTAAAATATTAAAGAAGAAACCCTCTGATCTCCGTGAGTAACGTGTTACGTACTGCTAGGATCTGGAATCTGGTATTGAAACTAGCTTCCATTGCCAAAGAGGTAATTTAATTAGTTTTATTTATAAATGTCATTGTTTACTTACAGTTCCCTTCTTAATATCATCAGCTACAAGGTCTGTGAAGATCCAACCCACTTGGTGCAGACCCAGTTGTTGAGCCATTTCCTGCACCACAAGCTCCTTCTCATCGGGCAGAAGAACGATGGAATCTCTTGTACTTTCCTATAAACATTTGACATTAGTATTCCAACATTCAAGTAATGGCTATAGAATAAATTACACTTAACATAAATTCTCATCAGTGGAATTTCTCCCATACCAGATACATTTTTAATAAGAGGGTGCACCATATAAATATAAGGTTGGCAATAAGGGGCATATCCTATCCCTTAATCCATTTTATTTACAATACCTAAGTATAACCATTAGATAGCAAATATATCAATACAAAGGGACTATATTTGATGCAAAGAAGAAAATTTAAGTATGCGAGGTTCTGCCATTCAATACCTAAGTAATTCATACCTGATAGTGCATATTTAATTTCATGTATGACTGACATTTCAAAAGTTTCCTGCATTTAAGTGACGTGTAACTGTTGTATGATGTGTGTTGACATGGTGTTGAGTGACTTATAACCAAGTGCTTGTTCAATTATGAGAATGTCATGGGTAAATGACATAAAGATAAAGTAATTTACTTGAGGCGGTTCATAGATGGCAGCCACCGTGGCTCTGATTCCAAGAGGCACATCTGCATGGATCTCATATCTGCCATACAGGAACCCAATGCGCTGGTGCCCAGTACTGCGCCAATAGTTAAGAAACCGTTCCACTAGGTGCGCATTCTCAAACATCACATTGTCCACATGACGATAAACCTGCAATATCACACACAATATCAAGTACGGTGACAGAATGTTTTTTTATGAACAGGTACATTATTACTTAGTTTTTTGGTCTTACGCTGAAAATAAAACTATTTTTACCTGACGATTGAGTGTTATAGCATTTGGCTGACATTTTGAACAAATTCCTTTGGGCCATGGAGGGTGGTCCTTACAACCGGTCTTGATACGACAGCTGATGTCTTCTAACGAAACAAACTTGCCCCTGCAGATTAAACACAGACCCCAAGTGAACAGAGGTTAAATACATAACAAGTTAACAAATGGAAAATGCTTTTGTAAGCACTGTAAGAAACAGTGCTTCAAAAATATGACAAAGTTAAAACATTTGGCAATGACAGCAACAAATGAAACTGTCATTCACAAAGAAAATAAGAGCACTTTGGATAAATTTTTGATATAATGCAATTCAAAATCTTCTGTCTTGCCACTTTCTACCTGAAAATGTAAAGATTAAAATATGTGACAACGTAACTTCATCTGTTGTTTTGTAAGCATGAAATTTGGTTTCTCGCTCTGAAGGTAAGAACACAGACTGAAATTGTTCGAGAACAGGATTGCTGGGAGGGAATATCTGAACTTAAGAGGAAGGAACTAATAGGAGCCTACTGACAACTGCACAATGAGCGGTTTCATTCAGTCACTATCAGCTTCTCATGCAAAACTCTTCTACATGAAGATGGTTATAAACACTGTGCTGAATTCATATTTACATTATTTATATATCTAGGCTCCACAGTAAGAAAATACCTGAAGCTGATACATATGACTTCAGAAGACGAGAAATATTTTATACCAATTACATTTACCTATCAACTCCAGCAGTAAGCTTCCTGAGATAGGAGTGAAAAGACAAATGTTTGATATTTTGTTCCTTCAGGTAAGTTTCATCAAATGGCTCCAATGGTGAGCAATGGACACAGCAGCCATTTGATCCATGGCGACACCTGTAAAAGAAATGTTATGAGTTTTCCCATTTATACTTGTGCTTCACCTGATATCCACATATTGCCTAATTATTTGTTTCTGAAGTACTGTTACTTAGGATTTGAGGTTTTCACAGCGATGAGTCTGAAGATTGTCGTCTTTTGGGTGTAGTCTGGTAGACGTGTACTAACAGTTCAGAGGTCTTTGCTGCCTTGATGATGGAGGCACCAAGCACCTCTGAAATACTGACAAACTTCTACCACACTACACAGTGCAACATCCTGGAAGATAGTAATCTTCAAGGAATGTTGTAATTCACTTTGGTGGTTGGATGAGTGAGCTGTATGTGCCTGTCCCAACCCTGTCTCAAATCAGTAATGGAACATAATTTTATGAACTGCAGTTGATGCTTTTTGTAGAACTTGGTATGAAAATATGCCACTGGAGAAAATCCTATATGATTATCTTTTAACTCCCTGCCATAAACTATACCAAAATGACAGAAGTTGAAAATTGTGCTTTCATTGTAGCACTGGAATGTTTAGCATGTTGCCAATTTTTTGTTTTTAAACATGTACTAAAACTGACAGATTGGACATGTGTGAGCATGGAGGCACAGATGCAGTCTGTTGGAAAGTCAAAAGAAAACTTATTATAAGGGGAGCTGTACCTGCAAAACACCTTGTATGAAGAAGGAACCACAGGTCATGTAATGCAAAACTCATCAAATCTATTTCCAGGAAAATTTTCAGGTGATTTGATTCTTCCTACAAGATCAGTCAGTATAGTGACTGACCACAGACTGGATGATCGGAGTTCGATTCCCAACAGGGTAAGAGGATTTTTCCTCTGACCTCTGCATCCAGAATGGTTATGGGGTCTACCAAGCCTCCTATCCAATGGGTACCAGGGTCTTTTGTTGAGGGTAAAGCACAGCCGGGGCATGACACTAACCACTCACCCCTATCTAGTTCTGAAGTTATGAATGAGTAACAGCTTATACCACCTCTCTCCCCAAATGCCTATATAGTATGTGGTTGGGGCAGCTTTACTTTTTACTTTTGCAATTCATATGACTTACAGCTTTTCATCTCGTTTGCGCTGCACTTTCCCATCCAATTTCCACAGCTGAAGATCCACTTCATCCTCTTGAAGGGTAAATGACTGCCGCAGACCTGACTGGGTCTGAACCAATGCTAATTCTGTACTATCAACAGGTTCTCCAGATGCGGTGTTGTTTGAATGAGATACTCCACTGCTAGTACTAGGTCTAGGACTAGGATCTTGAGACCATAACATAGCTCCATTTAATGGTGCCAGATATAGCATGTCCCCATGGGAAAGCCCATAACTGCGTACAGTCTTAATGCGGGATGAGATGAGTTCATCTTTGCATCCACGTTTACGATATAAAGCAAATCCATAACCAGTAAGACCAAATGCCTCATGGACCTGAAAGCAACAGAAAGTAATTACGTATACCAACCAGAGAGAATCCTGAAGACTGGTTCTGGCCTATGACATGTATATAACCTACTCACCTTTTCAAACAGTTCTAAAATTGAATCTGTTGGATGAACATCAATTCTCTTTGTTCCTTCCGGAGACTGAATTCGTAAAGTCTGAGAAAGACATAAAGATACAAGGAAAACTTTTGATTATTACCGTTCATTTCAATACAAAGCAATAAATATTTGAAATGAAGATTTATACATAACCATAATGGAGACCAAACATGTTTAAACGAAAATACAAAATTATATATTTAAATGAACAGCCTGTAATTTTTTTCATATTAGTTCTCCATAATTTTAAAAGTTATGTATTTATTTTTATTCATAACATGTACAACACAGTGACGAAGCAACAATGAACTTGACGCTCGAATAAATTTCAACGGAATTCATTCACTAGGGTCATAAAACTTGAGTTACATAATTAGTACGAATATAATCTAAAATGATAAACATTCTTCTCATATCTTAAATTGCTTACAAGAAGTTTAGATTTTGACATATTGAGGCTTCCTTCGACTACGTCTCTGCCTTTCGAATCAGCTGTTGCCAACCCTGCTTTGGACTGTTTTTGCACACGACTGAACGGAAATACGAATACAAAGAGAAGGCACTGTCAAAGCAACTTCCTGTTCAACATTCGTGTTAAACAGCTACTAGGGTAAGTTGGTTAAATAATTGTTTGTAGAAAATGCATTACTTGAAAGTAAGTCTTCGGTTAAACAATTAAACACAAGTCATATTTATGTGTGATAAAATTGTCTTACTATTCTAATCTATACTTATTTAAGAATCGTGTGAAACACGTTGTGCATGTAAGCCAGTCACTATTGTAGAGTACTAAACTAGTATGTAGGCAACCCAACGTACATATTGACAGTGGTGGTAGCCTATATATATGAATGCAGGCGTTTACAATATGTATTGTAGAGGCGTGTGATAATTAAAGTGTTTTAGTGAGTCACGCGAAATTCTAACGTATATGAACGAATGAAAAGCACCTAAACCCTCCCCTCAACATTCCACAGTTTATAATATAGGCCTAGTACTTTATATATTACATAACCTGCACATAGTATCGGAGTAGAAAAAACGGTGATAGTGAAGATGTCTTGTCTTTTGGGATGTTGCACCGTGTAGTCTGGTGGATATTGGCCGATGTTTCAGGGGAGTTTATTGACTCTATTATCTTCGCCTTGAGAACCTGTATCTCACGAAGGTGATCGATCATGGATTGCGAGCTGTATCTGAAGCTTTAGTATTACGCATTTGAGACGACTCAGAGTAGTTCCGTAGCAAACAGCTTCCGTTTCGAAAGTTCAGAACACTGTAAGTAAAGTTATGGTGTACTAGGTCAGAGGCAAACACATCAGAATGGAAGATATACTTTCATTGTGTATAAGCTATACTTCCCCATAATTACCGCCTTAAACTTACTGTTTCTGACACACACCTTTTTCTGTATATAATTTGTAATTAACTGACTCTCTAAATGGAGCAGAGTTCTAAGTGCGAAACTGATAGTCGCTTAGCTAGTCAAGAACCAGAAGGTTCATTATAGTGTTCGCAAAAGGATGCCACCTGTCCATATCCTGAATGAGATAGAACCATTCCATATTCCCACGCAATTTTTCCAAGACCAATTTTAATATTGCCCTACTCCAAGGTAGTATCGTAGGACAATATATATATTTCAGATGTATAAATATAATGTTTTGCGTCTTGTGACCTTGGCCCGAATAAAAAAAATAAATGCTGTGGTTTAAGTGGGTCACTTTGAACCAATGGGATTGAAGTATAGGTATATTCAGGTGTGTCGCTGTGGTAGCAGGAACTTGTGTGGCGTGCCCTAATTTTCCTCCGACGTTTGGACTTACAGTGATGTCCTAGATCTTAATTTACGTTTGGTATTGTTTTTGTAACCGAATTTAGTGTTCGGTGGTGGTCTCTTGGGTTTTTTTGCACTTTGGACTTGTAGATGGGCACCAACATTTCGTAGGAACACACAACTACGTCTTCAGCCCTATGTTGTGACGCCGTGTGGTTAGTCACCAACGTTTCAGAGAAACATTGCCTCCATTCTCTGGATTGAGGCTGTGCTTTTCCCGAACCTTTGGTAATCACCAACAACATTACCCGGCGGAAAAATTCAAAAGATCGCAGTTGACATCGTCACTGCCGTAAGAACCTCGAATTTGGTAAAGGAAGATCCGGTGTAAGCAAGAAAGTAAAAATAATAGAATAATGAGTATTAAAAATATTTATTTCTCAGTAACTGTGTAGCATTAATTTCTACTTTTAATTTGATCATACAAACGACCACGTGGGGGTATGCACATTTAATTCTTTGGAAGCACGTAGCCTATGAGACGAAATATTTACATCGTTTCGAATTATCTAACGAGCAAGATTAATTGTAAAATATGGTGGTATGGTTGTTGCACGTCTTTGTTTGACCATTCTCGCTACGCTGTATCATCTGCAGCAGTTACGTAGCCCTGACATAGATGAAACCTGTTGTAACCCGGCGAGACACTTGTTCATTCCAATGTCGCTTTTGCGGTTGATTTTAATATGTGTTTATAGTCTTTGTGAATAATACCATAAAATCATCCTCGTCTCACAAGAGAGAAGTGGAATAAGAAGTCAAACAAGCTGGTTTATTAGTCGAGCCTTTTCCCTCCATGAACGCTGAGGTGCAGCTTTTTATGTGTCGTCTGCAAATTTCAAAGGTTTTGCTTTTTTACCGAGAGCGGGATGCCTTCGAACGAAATTCCAATGTTTCAATTTATCTTCCCGCTGAATTTCGTGGTGTTTGTATTTTCTTACTGAGTCTGAAGTCATGGAGCTGAAGGAAGCGGTCATTGTATGTGAAGCTACTATCCAAGCAAGAAAATTACTAAAAGGTTATATGTCTGTTGGGCTGACAAACTGGACCTCGTGAATAGGACGCACTTTTACCTACCCAAAGAATCAAGACGTCTGGTAATACAGGCAAGACAGTTATGGCTGGTGAAAGCTTTCCCATATGGAAGTGGGTTAATTTTCTGATAAGTAACGTGTTCTTATCGTCCTCTGGGATAGTCAATTCTGTTTGCCCATATCAAGCATTTCACCGTGTCCGTTATAATGTTGCGATTAAAATATCGTGTGAATGTTAATCAAAAAATGTGACGTCGGAAAGCCGCGTTCTGTCGAGGTATTATACACCTTCTCCTTCCTATGGCATAGTTCTATTATTGGGCTGCCCCCCCCCCCCAAACCTTCTGTAACTCCCCTGGGTGGCATTGCGTATACGGGAGTCATGCACCTCCACACACAGTCATCGGTCGAAATATTAGTCTTCTGTGGATAGTCTGAATTTTGTGAAACTCGTCTTCATAAAAGCATAGTCATTCTAAATGATTACATACCTGTATTCGTTCTGGCGTGCAAAAAACGCGTGACTGACTGTCATCGTGAATTAGCGATACGTAATACGTTCGACATGTGTCGGTTTTGTTCAGCATCAGTAGAATAATCGCTGTCGTGAAGCGTGTGTCGGTGAAATTCGACTTTTATAATTTGTATCGAAGAGAGGGCGGCTTTTGGAAAGATTGAACATAGTTATTCTCGAATCCACAGTAAGTAACTGTTTCCCCTCTTTTTATTCTGAGTCAATATATACATTTTCGTTTACAGTTTATCTGCATATATTTTCTTTATTTGATCAATAGAAACTGTGGCTAGTCTAAGTAATATTTAAGAATTTAGCCTTGCAAGGAAAACACAACACTTTAACATTACAAAGGTCTACTTGTTAATGCTATAAAAGGAAATAATTTCTCGGGTTTACTAAATTCTTTAACTTTGTCTATCGTCTGGTATTCAAAAGAACGACGTTTCGGAAACTGGACCTGTTTCCATCCTCAGGTAAAAATGGAAGAGGCGCGTACACAGTTTGGTCCGTTAGAAAGAGCTGACCTCAGTCACTGGTCCAGTGACTGAGGTTAGTTTCCGAAACGTGTTCATTTGAATGCCAGATGATGGACAAAGTCCAAAAATTTAGTAATCCCGAGTGTAACAGATGGATTTGAAGGCGCCATTAATTTTTTACACTTGAGATTTGAAGTTCTCACCGCGTCCTATGTTTGGAATGTTCTATATCTGCAGGTAAAATTTACTTAGGTTGTTTGCATTGAAACCGTGTGAAGGCCATTGAGCTCTGTATGTAGTGTCAGAAATAGGTGTGTGGATTATATTTTAGTAGTCTAGCCAAGATTCAGCCCCTGATCCACCATGCAGTTGTAGGCCTGTGCGGCTTTGGTCGTTGTCAGATCATTAATGGAACATGTGTCACTCATGTCCTATTACATAGCATAAAGCTTCGCCGCAACGTCGAGATCGGCTCCGGGGCCCGATCAGGATCCTAACCAATGAGAAACCGAGTTCTTTCCTCGGTGGGTAAGGCGGCCGGATCGTGAAGCCGAGCGCTCACTTCCATTTAGTGCCAAGGTTAAAAATGTGGAGCTATACCTCCATCCTCCCATACATCTTCACAGTGTGGTGCTTAGTTAAGCAATACAGACAGAAGACAGCTTTGCGTTATACACTTGTTGTTATTTCAGTAAGCACAATCATTTAAAGTTGTCTTTACAACCGCCTGTATCTTAATTTCTATCATGTTTCTTCTACTCGAACCCTTTCTCTTACTGAATTATTTTGTCTTGTGGTTGTGCCAGTAATCTTCCGGCAGAGTTTATTCTAATACGTCCATCTTGACATCTATCCATGTTTCAGCTCCACGTGACAGTGGTAGATATATCTTTTATACTAAATGATTTTCCTGTTTTTAATAATTCCCACGATGACTGATAATGCTGTCTTGTGTTCAGATCTACGACAAAAAGGTTACCCAGAGCTAGGTGAAAAACCCATCAACTTCGAGTATGGAGGAGGATATTGGAACAACAGTCGAGCTCTTTGTGTATGACCTCACAAGGGGCATGGCCCAGATGATGTCACAGATGCTACTTGGTGAGTGAGTGATGTTATTTATGTATAATTTCAGCCATGTGATATATAAGTAATCTAATCCAATCGATTTGTTGCATGTGTTATTTTTGTTATACTTGTTCACTGCTTGCAAGTAACAGTGTCCTAATTGCAGAACCATTTTCAGCTAACTTTTTATGACGGACAGTTTTGTCAGGCTGTCTTGATCTGTACATTCGCTCCTAACCTGTGTTCAGACATTTGCCAAGTTCCTTCTTTTAGGTAATGAACCCAGTCCATTTTCTGATTTGAAACTTTACTCCCGTACAGTATTTTCATATTTTATGCTAGATATTTAGCGTCAAGTTATTTCTGTGAGTCTTGTCCTCTGGGTGTATAGTCTTTCACTATATTTAACAACACTTCCGTGTATTATTCATTTCCTGGTACTTCTGCCAAGTTCCAAAACTTTTTATTTTCCTTCACACATGATACTAAGCTGCAATGCTCTTCACACAGTCTTCATCCACGATTTGCCCAGTGCCTAATTATGAAATGAATACACGTGCTGTTAAATCAACAGCTCTGTGTTAAAAATCAAACACGAAACATAAAGTCGGCAAGATTTCAGGTTCACACGATGGCAATATGAAGATGGCTGTCTTCAAGGATGTTGCTCTGTGTAATCTGGTAGAAATTAACCGACAAAATGTTTAACTGTGGCAATTTTCTCTTACACAAGAAGCTTAAGTTTCAGTGATACATCGATAATTGTCTACGAAATAGATTATCGTAAACACGTCATGGCGCTGTAGCGCATTTCATTCCTTTTTTATACTCTGTTATGCACACTCTCGGAATTCCTTTCTCCCACCCCGTTTTCGCCGTCCAACTAAATCTAATGTTTCGCAGTTTTCCCAGTTTATGACAGGCGGCTGTTGGGTTGGAAGCTGTAATAAACCGAGATCTTTTCATCCTATAATCCTTGGCTTGCGGACATTTTACTTCGTTCTACACTAGCGCACTTTCATATGTACTTACCATTTTCTGTAGTTCACATTCTTCTTTTGTGAGCTTTAAATATTTTACATGTCTTAATTAGCCCAGGCTTTAATTATGAAGCAGTACAAATATATTATAATTTGGATTCCTCTTTCAGGTCGGCATGTGGATGGAATATGGCACACCGCGATTGTTGCTTATGGCAGAGAATATTTCTTTGGATCGGGAGGAGTACAAAGTTGCCGACCGGTGAGTTAGTGCCAAATATAATAGCCATCTTGAAGTTAAATGTTTCTGGTCCTGAAAAATCAAGCAGCATTGCATTATCAGTAGTGGAACCGAAACATTTTCATTGGAGTCAAACATTTTGCTTGGCTTTTCGCTTCAACCTGCTGTAATATTTTGACAAATGCATTTTTCAGTCATACAGTCGCTGATTTTGTGTGGCGGCAGAAATATCATTTTCGTTTCCGACAGAATGGTCTTTACACTCTGTTGTGATACACGTCACATACTTCCACTGTTATTTCATGTGTCACAGCGTCACTATTTAGCAGTTTGTTGCTCATGGTAATAGGAGAGGACGAGAGTGTGTATAGGGACTTTGAATATTCCTCACCAAACCGTGGTTTCTTGCAGCTGATAATAAACTAGACCCTCTTGATGGGGACGTTGGCAGTGCAGGTGACATTTTATCACGCACATACTCTGCTGCCATCTATCCGCAGCTGTAGTGGAACTACTGAAAAGTAATTTGGTAGTAGCAGTTACTGCGTCTTGGATAGCAGACGGTACATTTATCCAGATTTACAACGGTGCACGTGTTGAAGTAAATAAGGATTTTCTACCTGAAAAAGGGCTGAATCACATATCTGTACTGGAAAGCTAAATAAATAATATATATATGCGAAGTAGCCCTCTCACCTCCAAGTGTTGTCTGCATTTGCTCCATTTACCATGGTAATACAGTTTTGTAGGAAAAAATCAGTTATAATTCCCCGGAGATGAAGTGACAGAAGGCAGGACAAATTTGTTTATATTTTCTACTCTTTACCAAGTATTATAAGGATTTTGTGGATGGGTGGGTGTTGCATGTAGCTTGTATGGGGGAAATGAGAAATAAACACAAACTTTTGGTCGGAAAACCTGAAGGGAAGTTGTATTCAAGCAAGACAGGGTGAGAGGATGCGGATTGAATTTATCTGGCTTGAGACGGGCTGGTGGCAGACAGCTGTGAACATGCTAATGAACCTCAGAATTATATGACTGGCCAAGTGTACTATTACCCATAAGCTATTATTGCACAGCATTATTAATTTAGTGTTCTCTAGCCTCACTATATCCAGGTAGATAAGCATTTCGAGGAGGTGAGTGTCATAATTGCTCCCCGTCTTGTTTTATTACGATTTTCTAAATGGGGATGTGTCATAAGAGTTACACAAAGTCGCTATATCTTGTAAATTTCCATTTTAATACGAACCTTTGAATGTGTATTATTAAATATTACCTGTTTCTTACGTGCTTATTCTTAGTACACTTATTTACACGTTGGTCACCTGCGTACATGTTTGTTGTTACTTTGTGGATGCCCTTGGGGTTTCGGCTGCTTCGTAAACTTGGTCGTCACCAACAAACTCTTCTGGGGGTGTGTGGGTCAGTTTGTTGGTTGCTGCCAGCCAGAGACATATGTGACGTCATTCCAGCAAACATAAAAACACCAGTTCTTTGTATATCGCGTTTATAAAATATGGGTATAAAGACTAAATTTGAAACATAAATAATTCAATTTCATTCAAAAGTATAATGGAACGTGAGTAAAACCCCTACGCAATTGTAGCTTTTGTTACGGTAATGAAAGATCGATATTTTCTGTCAGGTCTATAGCTGCTACATCGCCTGTCCTCCAGCAGGGCTCCCTCCTGTTCTTCCCCCATTATTCTTATCTCCCTGCCCTCCCCTCTTTAGCAGGCCATGGGCCATCATGAAATAACAGGTCTGTACAGTCCACATATCAGGAGAAAATCCCTGCTAGGAATTCGATATACGCGCATGCGCAAGATTTCGCGGTGAGTGACGACCGATCCTAAAAGCATTCGTTCCACAACCACTGAACGAACGACAGACGACAGGCTTTCATGTGTTTTAATGGGTACAGCTTTAAGATTACCTCACAGCGGCACAGTGATTTAATCTAGAATATTATCGCAACACCCGCAGAACACATTAGAGGTGCACTCACTACACGCTACTCGTAACTGCTTGATGTTTTCAGTCTGGTAGTAGCCTTAAACTCTGACGTATCACACTTCCCACCAATAGCAGCCCTCTAGTCCAGCTGATAAATAACATTCCCCTCGCACCGGCCAGAAAAGACTTCCCTCAGCAGGGCTTTTCTCCTGATCTGTGGACATTACCTCAAATTGTCTGCATTTATGCATCCTTAATTTAGACATGCCATATGATTTTGGATAATTAACTGCATTCATGCATACGTCAAGTATGTATTTGGTGTCCAACTGCTTACTTACTCACTGTATTATTAACTGAAATATTGTAATAAATAAGTCGGGGTGAATTTTGGAGGACGCGGTCATTGTCAGTTTTTAAGACGTATTCACAGCATTTTACTGGAAGGCCTGAGTCAAGGCGACGGTGACTTCAGGGTGGCTCGTCAGCAGGCGGGATTTGAATCAATATACCTTGGGTTCTAATGTTTCAGAATGTGAACAGTGTTCTTCGTAGAACTCTGCAGTTAACTGATTGTTTGAATTTTCTATGCTACATCACGTCTTATGATTTTTGTCATTTTCATTCTCGGCGAACTTGAAGAAACGGCGTTCTTTACATTTCGTGTACATTAGTTTGTGCGTGTGTGTGTTTCTCAGTATGTTCCGACCTTAGTCTACTAGCACGTTTCAGACTAGGGAATGCAGAAGAATTCAGAGGAAAAAGGATGGTAAGAAACAGGTCGAGAAAGAAGTTCTGTATAAACTACTCGTTGTCTTGAAATAGCCTGGAATGTGTCCAGGTTATAAAGCCACATACACTCGCATGAGTGAGAGTCCCTTTCACGAAGTACGCAGCAACTTAGAAGAGCTGAAAGATGTACGTGTTAGACTGCAAATATTTTCCAAATGCGTTTTGTTTGTGTGAATATTCCTCATTGGGCTAGTGTTTGTTGACTGCAGATACAAATCTGTTGGTAACAGAACACCAGTTATGAATTCTGGAGTGCTGACAAATCTAAAATGGCTGTCTTCTGGTTCTGAGTGACTCATCGCCCTGATGATGGAAGCAAAAAGGACCTCTGAGAGGTTGGTAATCTTCTGCCATGGCGCTACAGCCCAGAAGACAGCCATTTTCGTATTCAGCGCCTTGAGAACCTTAGATCCTAGTGACAAAACTAGTTCTTCTGGGTTGTAATGTGTAGACATGTGTAAAGATAGACCTCACCGTTTCGGGGAAGAGTTGTTTTGTTGCAAGACTGTCGGATATTCTGAAATGAATGGCTCTTAGGACCTATCTGTAATATCTCTGCTGTTTGCTTCGTCCCGTAAATGGCAGGCCATCCGATTATTTCCATTTTTCCCGTAAAAAATACGTACCATATTCATTACAAAAAATCAAACGAACAATTATGTCTAGCAAGCCACGCACAAGAGATTTGAACGAAACCCAGAAATCCCGATTTATTGACTGTCAATGAATGTGGTGCGTGTGGTTACCACTGTTCTGTAGCGTGTGAAGTATATTTCATAGCTAACATTGTTGTTCCTATACTGAGTTCTGGTCATTGACCATGAGACATTACAGTTGAGAACGCTACTTTGAGCAGTGACTGATGTACAGTTGTGTTTTGGCAAGGTTACAGCGCCCATAGTCTGTATGTGGCTAGCTAATGACCATCAGGAAAACGTCTGAATATCATTGATTTATTGGGCGAGCCTCTCGACGTAAATTCCACGTCATATCTGTTTAAGAACTGGTTCTATCCCCTCAATTACGAGCTCAGAAAGTGTTTTGAAGGGAGGATGTCGAAGGTGAGAAATGTGTCATCATGTGGATTGTGGGGTGAGGTTTAGTGGATTTAATACTGTTGAATGTGCTTTGTCAAAAACAACCTTTCTGTTTACTAATGAAAATTCATGTATGAATGTATGTATATACAGGGTGATTCAAAAGGTTAGGCCCAAACTGAAGGAGCTGGAATTGCATGGTCTTCGTAACTCCCTCGTCATGTACAGTAAAACCCCTCTAGTTGTACACCCCTATATCCTGGACACCGCTTGCATTTGAGTTCAGACTGTGTTAACAGAAATGGAATTTTTGTTTTTGCGATGGGGAAGCGAAAATTAGTGGAATTAACTTTAGAAAATGTTATTGAGGCTGGGGTGTAATGTGCAATGCATGGGAGTGGGATTCAAAAGATTATTATTAATACTATTGTCATTAATTCTTAATTTAAGTAAGCCTACAGCAGTTAGTATATGTAAGTAAATAGATTATATTGTCATTAGACCACAATCGATATTTCTTTTTCCCTCTATCTTGGACACCTCTGTAAGTTGGACACATTTTCGTGGAACCACGAGTGTCCAACTTAGAGAGGTTTTACTGTATTTCCCGTGTACAGTGAACACAGAAACAAAGTTTCCTCAGTTTTCAGTGTTGTCTTCAATCCTGTGGCCCATTCAGTTACAAGCAACCATAGATTAATAGCTGTCTTGGTTTGGACGTCACAGATCACATGGTGTGCCTGTATGTGCAAGCGTTAGTGAAACCAAGTCGATAGATACAGCCCAAAAAAGAAGTATAAAGTTTTCAGCCTTTCACTACGATGTGTATCTATTTTTATTTACATTCGTCTTCGAGACGTCTGGAAACTTCTCTGTTCTTGCATTGTGGCATTATCCTAGAACTGAAACAAGATTGTGCAAGACTATTTATTTATTTAAATCGTTCGACTCCAGGCTGAAAAGTCTGATCTACTGAAAGCTTCGTTAAATAGACTTTAAATAAATAATTCTGCATTCTGGTGACGAGACATGTCTCCACTGCATTTTCTTGTTGATAAGCCTGAATACGTCTAATAGATGTTTTATGTTTTATGGTATTTATTTCAGCCACTGAACCTGCCGAATGGCATATTCTAAAGCATGCCCGTGTTTCACACCATTCATTCCATGAAACTGAACATCACAATTCTGATGCTGATAGCACAAATATTTTATCGTGACTCGTAGGCACAGCTGGAGGAAGACAGCATCAAGAAACAGTGCTAAAATTTGCGCTTTGATTGAAAGGTCGTTGCCTGTGTTTGAACTTCAGTGTTGAGAACATTGCCAGGGTCGGACGGGCGTGTTGGACGATGACTAGGTGACTGTGAAGCCAGCACTCCGGACTAAATTTGGGAAGCCGGTTCTAAGTTTAGTTCTCCCGCTGTACCCCACCCGGTAGCGTCGAGGTCTTCCGACGTGTGCGACTTGAGACAAGAAGATCTGTGATATCTTCACGAACAGGAGGAAGGAGAAGTGTTTTGTAGTTCTGAGATCTTTAGTTAGGAAGATTTTGTTACATTTATTTCCCGTGAAAGAGAGAGGTAAGCTAAGACGTCTTTATATTAATGATATATATATATATATAGTAGTGTCGTGTGAAATACGTGAAGAAGGGTCAAGAAGACTTGGTACTACGGTACACATGGTTAAGAATATATAATTTATTTCGAACCTCTGAATTTTGTAAATTAAGATTTGTTTGTTTCTCCATGTGTTTGTGAACTTTAAAATGTTCCGTTGCCAACAGGATTTTTCCAACAGAATTGAACAGCTTAAAAATTATTTTGAATAAACTAAATGATATACGAAAATCATTACAGTTTTGGACAGGCTGACAGCTCTAAAAGTTTCTCATGTAGCCTCGACGGGGAACTCCGACCACATGCAAACGATACGTGAACTCGCCCAAGCTTTGCTCAAGGTATCTGTGTCAGTGGATTCTAAAACTGACGAATTGTTTGACAGAGGAGAGACATAAACTTTGTCTTCATCGCTGTTTCATAGAAAAAGTCCACAGGTGTATGGTCAGACATTCTGGAAGGCCGTCTTGGGACTGTCACGACCAGTGCATCATCGGTGCACGTTATTATTCAGGAACCTCATCACTGTATTGTGGTAGTGGGGCGGTGCCCCGCCTTTTTGAATGCGATTTTCTTCGTTGAGATAAGGCAGTAAACAGTTCTCGAACAATTCCGATCACGGTTTTTCTGCAAAAGAAAACCGACCGAATATCTTGTTTTTGGACTGTCTTGCGAATGTTCAACTGTAGCATAAGGATTTTCCTTTCTCGTATGCCGATTAATGTCGGCTGAGATGTGGAGGTTTCAAGAGAAGACTGCAGTGTTACTCAAACCACAATGGATCGTGCCTTCTCGACTTGATTCGCCGTTTTGACTCTTTGTTTTCGAAGTGCTCCTTGTGGTGACTTTCGGAACGTCGTACTTTCATAGGACGAAAAAAAAACTCTTTTTGCTTACTTTCCAGCAACTCGTATTTTACTAACAGAATTGTTTTTAAGTTTTCATTTCTGTTATAATAACCCTGTACTTTTATTTTTGAGAGTTCTTTTTTTCATTATTGACGCAGATTTGACTAACTTTCAGTTGATTAATATTTAATATTCACCTGATTAATAACTTAAAGCTACTGTGAATTAGGTTTTCTGAAAGATTTCTCCTCTGGTCCTTTAAGAAGCTAATTTATGCTGTCGCCCATACAAATTACATTTTAAACATGATTATTTACAAGATTTATAGTGTATTTCATTCTCAGTCTCAATGGATATTGATTGAATATACACATATATACAGTATTAGATGTAATTTGATTAAATTTCCGTGTCTACTTTCAACTGCTAGGAAAGGGGATGCTTTCAGTTTGAGATTCTCCCACTTTCAGTTGGTTTGGAAAGAGAAGACAACCTTGTGGAGGTATGTCAGCGGTGGACCTACACTTTTTTATACTCACTGTTATGAGAACCTAATATCTGACCTACTTAATTCAAGTTTTAGCTGGAGTACTGATTATCCGTATTGTGATTTTTACGTTTTTCTGAGGTCCATCCAGATAAATTCCATTCCAGTTCTTAGTACATAGTCTTCTTTATATTACTTGTTGCCCAGCAGTCTGTACAGCCTCATTAAGTAATCTAGGAACCAACATACCTTGGAGCATTTCTGTTAGTTCTAGCAGCATAACAAAAGGCCTTTACTGGTTTACAATTATGTAACAAATATGGGATTGTAGAATTCTAGTGAATACTAATTTTTACACTCTCTTCAGAGATTTTTGGATAAAATATTGATTATTTTTATTGGATTTGTGAAATAATATCTTATTTTTGTCTGATTATTGAAATCCTTTCATTTTACACTGCCATTATGCTATTAAATATATTACTGAAGTAAGATTTGCATGAAAGTTTTGCCTTCTTTAAGGCATAGGCAGACATTATAGTTTTCAATATAAAGATTATTTTGTTCACAGGGTGGCACAGTTTTGGGTGAAGCTACTCAAGTCATTAATCTTGGAGAAACCTTTATCCCATATCAAGTATTCTTGGAGTATGTGTTAGGACTAGGGGAGACTACATTTAGGTAATTATTAAATACATAAAAATGCCTGTGTGTCAAAGTTGAAGCCCCACTTAAGTCCAAAGGTAAGATTTCCAAGCATCTTGTGTATACAGGATTGCCTGTATTTCATATTTTGTCCTATAAATGTTTCATAACTGTTCCATATTTCTATGTCCCTGATGGATTGACATGAAAGAGGAATTATTAATCTGTGTTTGCCATTGAAATCTTCCCCGTTCTAGACGTCTCTTTCCGTCAACCTGTACTGGAACACCTGACCTGACATACAAAGTAAATACTTTTGTACTTCTTACTAAATTTTCAATTTAGTAAGCAGCAAACAAATTATTTTATTTAACACTTTGCACAGATAAATGAAGTTTTTTATACATTCATCATTACTAGGATATTGTTAATTGTATTTTCAAATACTCCAAATGTTTTCTTTTATTACACCACGTGTATTGCTGGATGACTTAGTGGGTAAAGAATACAGTTTCTGTAAGTTAAAGGCCCATACATTTTCTTCTTATGTAAGAATTTCACTGGTTTAATCTACCTGTGTCATAATAGTGAATTCATTATTGGTATATGTACTTTATTAATATAAAACCATTTTGGAAATGTTTTCAGTCCAAGATCATATGACTTGTTCAAACATAACTGCAACAATTTCACAAATGAAGTAAGTCAATTTCTGTGTGGGAAGTTGATCCCAAAGTATATCCTTGATGTTCCAGAAGAGATCCTTAATACGTGAGTATCACAGATGAGTTTCAGTTACTAATTGCTATTACTGTATTCTTTGTAATGCTAAAAATAAACACGCATTGTTAAAATGTAAAATTTTTATAATACCTCACAATATGTGTGACTGTTCACAAACTTAACTTTAGGCCTACTACTGTAAACACATGAACAAAAATCCTTTTGATGTTTTTATTTTATATTCTTCTACTTTTTATGTATAAAGAATGTTCAATTTAAAACACTCCTAAGCAATGATCACATACTTCAGTACAAAAAAAAATGCAAGCGAATGTCCCATTCTTTCCCATGATATTCGAGTCAAGGTCAGCCTGGTTCCTACGCTGTTTCACAGGAAAGAGGTGTATTCATGAGCAGAATGTGCATTCATTCTTGAACATTTTACATCACATCGAAATCATGTGCTGCTTTCTTGAAGCATTTAGCAGCATGAGTGGTCTTTATTATCTTGGAACTGTGGAGTGTGGAATTTGGCATTTTGCCTATTCCATATCTTGGTTACCACTGCTCTTTCAGTCTTGAAATATTGTCGGCACTTATTATTTTAGAGGTTTTTTCCCCCAGAAGCTACAGAAGTGCCAGGTGTCTTAATTTAATTTTTTAATAATTTATTTTTACTGTCCAGTGCAACATACCAAATTGCTGTAAAGTTAACTACAATAAATATTATTAATTACTTTTATAAAATATGTTTAATATTATTACCAAGCCATTTTCAGTGACTACTTAGTCCTTCCTTTAAGGAAACTGTTGATTACATAAAGTCAAACTAAAATACATCTGGTCTTTGAAAATTAAAAGTAATGAACAGTTTGATGGGTAATAAAGATATTTCACACCTGGCCTTTTATAGGATCAAGAAGTCATGAACTGGAACTCGCCACTTACTATAATATCTCATGGTTCATGCCAACTCACCATGAGCAAGTGTATTTGTGGAGTTAGCAAAGTTTTTCTCAAGTTATCATGCACACTACTGTATTAGAAAAGTATACTCATAAGTGACTTACAAAACACTTTCTCTCTTACTTATTCATTTCTAGGTTACGTAACAATGGTATTTTGTTGTCATAGCGTGCTTGAAGGTTCTGTCTAAGTATTTTACTGTAATTTACCCTACTAACATTTGTTTTGAACATGCTTTTCAGTAATTATCAAATCCAAAGTGTGATAATTGGAGTGATAGTCCAGTTTTGAAATATAATTAGACTATTCATGCTTTAGCCCTGGTTATGCAATTCCTATAACCAGTAAACCATCAAAGTGCGAGCTTCTGTAGTTTCAATCTTATGTTGTGTTGTATTATAGAAAAATTTAACCGCTAGTGTACAGGTAATTACATTTGTTAGCAGTGAAATATTTTGTGTTAAAACAATTGTATTTGTTTGTGGTTATAGACCGATTGGACAAACATTGAGGCCACTAATAGACAGTCTAAGTGAAGGTGCAAGAGGTGTAACATTTGGAGAGAATGCCAGTAACGGCTTAAGGGATTATGAACCTCTTCAGTCAAGCAGAGAGAGAGCAGAATCTCCAGACTTTGTTGAACTAAATACGGCTATTGACGAAGTCAGGTTAGAAGAAATACATTTTATGTATTACTGAGACTGAATGTTTTCTGTATCTGAAAGACATTTTATTACAAAGTCAAAATAATGTATTTTGTTCTGTACTGTGATGCCTGAAATTAATCTGAGAAGAAACATTCCTGTCACATACAGAGTAGAATTAGGTCGTAGCCTTGTCAAAACATGTAAGAAATTTTATTGGACTAGAGAAAAATGTAAGATTTAGTCAAATCTTGTCACTATGTACTATGCATATTTGGTAAGTCTTATTTTTAATACATTATCATATATCAGTAGGGGTTATGGGAAGCTGACTTTGAGATCACTTTTTTCCATGCTGTCAAGATGTGTTTTGTATTGCTAAGTTTTGAAGCAGGACGTAAAGAACATTGATTCCTTTTGTTGAAAGTTCTATGCAACACGACTGTAAAAAGCTATAGGAAAAGGAAAGTTTATTGTCTTATCTGTTGTTGGTTTTCCTTGTACTACAGAAAGAATTCTGTGGTTTTTTTTCGCAACGTAATCAACGAGAAACTTGCCAAAAAAGAACGCAAGAAAAAGAAGAAGAGAGAGAAACGTGAAAAGGATCGCGAGAGTGGTGGAAGCAGTTCAGCAGAACTCACTCCAGACAGCTCTAGTTCAACAACAGAACTAACACCTGACAGCTGCTGTAGCAATTCAAAGAATTCATCAAGGCGTCCCAGCAATATGGCCGATGGTGAGGCACCTGAAGTTACAGAACTCACAGCTAATGGCTCTGATGAATCCAGCAAGAAATCCACAGCAGATGTTGAAGCTGAAATAGAAGAACAAGAGGCCCGCGAAAAGAAAGAGAGGGAAGAGAGGAAGAAGAATAGAGAACCTCCAATAGTATACAAAGATGCAATAAATGTGAGTCAAATTGTGTATGAAATAATGTTATGGTGTAAGATGAAGGAGCATTTATTACAAGTTGAAAGGTTGTAAGAACACCACATAGGAATATTATTTAAAAATGTTAATAGAACTAATATATCACTGCCTCTACTGCGAATTTCTGTTATAGTTCGAGTCTTCTTGTATTCTTGCTACCATCAGCATCATTATCATCTTTGATGTGTAATAAGTGAAGCTGGCAGGAGATGGGAACTGCCCTATGTAGAAATGAAATCCTAGTGTTGGTTGTATAAAAAAGTAAGATGTTCTCCGCCAGTAAATGAATGGAATTATTTACCGTTTCCATATGAATGTTCTACGATGCTAGATACTTGAAAATAGTGTCAGTTGTATGTTATAGGTACATTCCTGTTTTCATGATTAAGGTCATTATTTTAGACATTTGTGGTTTAGATAACAATATGGTAGCACTGAATATGGTTTTGATATATTTGTGCATATAGGTTCAGGTGGACTTTGATGCACTGGTTGGTTTTGTGGATGGAATACTCTCACCTGAAGAACAACAGTCTTTGGAAGAGCTCCATCAGTATATGTTGGAGGATGAGGGTTCGTGGGCACTTGGTGACGGTTTCCTAAACTTTGTTGGTTAGTGTACTATACAGTAGGCATTTCAAACATTGCTTAAGAGTCACAATGAGATAATAAATATGTCAGGTGATCACATTTCTTTGTCACCTAATTAGTTACTGGGTCTACTAAAATTTATAGATGGGAAAGAATAGTGGGTAAGTAATTTATATTTCAATTATATGATCTTGGAGGTCTTGTTTATTTTCATAAGTGAAGGAAATTGTTTATGCATAAAGTACCAGCAAAAATTTGCACATATTTGGCATGTGATTTGAATGTTCTTGTAATTGACCTACATTTAAATAAGAATTAAAGTTTTATATGCTGACCTCACTAAAAGTTTGTTTTAAAAGTGATCCACATTGTATTTCAATGAGTTCTATTTGTAGATCTGAATCTGCTTCTTCAACATCAAAAGTATGTGGTGTAATGAACATGGCAAATTTTACTTCACACCACTTGAAATCTTAAAAATCCACTTCAAGTTGACTTCTTAACAAATCAGTATTTTGAGCATAGTCATTGAAAACTAGACATGACTCACACAGACTTAAGGATTTACACGTTTCAAAATGCATCAAATTACTCCCTTTCATTTTAATTTTCTAAATCCACCATTTTGCTTGAATGGTTTTATATTGTGAAGTTATAGTGGGAAGATAGTACTGGAGAGTCAATATTTAGGATATGAATTTGGGGCTTAGCACATAGAAGTAATGACTCATGACCCGACCTGCTTCCTTCTTACAATACTGAAAACAAGGACAGGGGTGCACAGCCCTCTGGTGCAGCTAGCTGCTTGTGACTACCAAAAACCATGAACAAGGTCTGCCATTTTGACATGTGTGTGTGAGACTGTGACACGTTGTTTGGAAACTTCATCTTTTGTATGACATTGACCATTCTGTATCAGTTTTACTCCATCCAGTATAATTTATTAATTTCCTTTCGATCTTGTATTACAATTTGCCGTTATAAATTAAATAGTAGGAATAGAGATTATAAGAAAATGAAAAACTTCAGTAGTGTTTGCTGATGATTTATTATGCAAAAAAGGACTAGTTACATGAACTTGTGGTGGAATCAAAATAGAAGAGAAAGTGAAGTTGCAATGATGTATTATGCGTACAGATTGATGGACAGGTCATTGCTGTGTTGTAGGACGATTGCTTCATGATAAATCTCTGAGGCCAGAAATCAGAGTACGGATTCTGAACGTGTTGGCTGCAGCTGCACTTAAGGATGATGTGATATTGTTGCTTCACCAGGACAGGAGAGAACATGTCCTTATGAACTATTCACATGATGTAGATAGATTATCTGTTGAAGAACAAGAAGCACTAGCATTATTTGTAAGTTTGTTTGCTGCTTTAACAAATCATCATATAATAAGGATTCTGAATGCATATGATTGTATAAAAATGTTTAGAAGTGTCTGTTCATCAGTGATGACCATGTTTCTGTTACATGAGCTTAAAATATTATTAAAAATGCAGTAGTAATATAATCATATTGCATGATAGTGTGTCAGTATTTTATGTATCATCATGTTTACGTTCTACTTGTGCATACTTACAGCCTATAAATATTGAGGTTTATGCTTTATGTTGCAGATATGTAACATGTTTGAAAACTTGAGCAGCTCAGAGTGGCTACTGTACATATCAGAATGGCAGTATTGCAATGCAACCATCAGTAATATTCGGTGCACAACTAAGGTGGCTGTCAATTCTCTGCTTTCTGATAACGCAGTTCTTCGGGAGCGGGGATCTGCAATTATACATAATCTCGCCTGCAAGGAGGTAAAAACTGTGGTCTGTATCCCCCACACACAAACGCACACGTGTGCATGCCCTCTGCTACTCACATTTCTCACAGCACTGCCATCTATTAGCCACTGGACATGACATCATCTCTTACAGGAGAATGGCTAGCATGTCTGCCATTAAAGCTGGTTGTTCTATCAATCTATCAATCTTAATATTCAGGCAAATATCAAACTGTGGTTTAATATATTATTACATTTCTCTTCAGCAGACACAATATGTTTTTCACTCCCCGAAAGCCTCGACTAGAACAAAGTACATGCTATAATCCTTTTATTTAGTACGCAATAGTCCAACTTCTTTGATCCTCCATTTATCTTTGATTTCATCCTTATAGTTTTAATATCTATAAAGAGCAGTTAGTATGTGATGATTTGAAGGGGCATTCAAATATTAGTAATCTAGAATTCTTTGAAATTAAACCTATATCTGCATAGCTGGAAATGTGGTTTCTGAATCATTCTTGTAGCTCAGTTACTGATGTTCATACCTTACCTCGCATAACATGAATAAGCGAATTCAGTTAGTGTGGAAATAAGTAATAATGTTATATTTTTAATTTAAACATATCGAGTATCTTTGTAAATACCTCATATTTGTCACACCATTTATTCCTTAGCCCTAAATTATTACAAAATAGTTTATTCTGCTCATTATTTTATTTGTTTTTATTGTAAAAATTTTAGCTACATCATAGCAGGTAGACTGGAGCTTTCTGCACCATATCATAACATTCATATATTTTATACAACGTGGAATTGTTCAGTTACCATTAGACTGGCAGTAGTTAGGTCACATGACAGGTCAGTTTCATATATATTTAAAGATGTACTTGTAGTATGAGTGATTTTTTTTATTAATGCTTTTGAAAAGTATGCTTTTTCTACAGAAAATTAAAGCAAGGTATTTGTGCTGTATTCCAATTGCATTTTTTCAGAAAATGAATCAAAACAAAACTCTTAGAAGACTTTTGCCTGCTGGGTGCATATCAAAGGTACCAGTAGCAGGAAAAATATTTGATGTTTGAAATATAAATAGAACTATTAATGATTTCTGATTCAGACTAAAAAATACTAGCATGTATTTCTCTTCCTATTCTTTTTTCTTCTGTTAGGTTATGTCATAATGTGGAAGTTACTGTTTTAGCACTTCATTAGTCAGATAAGTACGTACTCATTAACATTATATTCCTAAGGTGGGTGTAACATTTGTCAGTATTACAGTCATGTGCATGTTGTTTGCGACTAAACAAATATGTTTGTCTCAGCTTTGACTTACGTAAATACTGAAGAGTAGTATAGGTGCAAATTTTGTTGTTATCTACTTTATTGACCCAGTTTTCCTCTCTAGGCCATCAGAAGGGCTGAATTTTCTTCATCCTATTTCAGTCAACTTAGTCTTCCTCTCTATTGATCTGAATAACGTCAGTGTATTACTCTTATGTCATACACTGTTGAACCGTGAAATGTTGATGTCACATTAATGTTTCTTAGTTTCAATGTATCGAGCAATTCAAAAGTCACTGTTCACTTGTAAGAACAAGTGTTGGAATTGGGAAGTGATATATACATGCAAGTCACATGTGCCACCTAGGGGTCTAGGGATGTATGTGTACACTTTTGAATCACCCTGTCTGTTTATAGATACTCTTTTATACACATTACATAGGGCTTAATAGTTAATCAGTATCTAATATTAATAAATTTGATGATGACTTATTTTCTTGACAAATTGAGACTTCCTCTACTATTTTAACATGAGAGGGATTAAGGTATATGTAGAAGCAAAGCATAGGGAGGATGATTAAAATGTGGCAAAGCTTCCACATACTTAAATTTAGAGATCCCAGATATTTGAGCTGTGTTGTATAGAGTCTGTTTTTGGAGAAGGTTGCCTTTATCTTACATCTGAATAATAGGAATTTTGGAGGTTATTGTTCTGTGCGTGTGTGTGTATGTATGTATGTGCACATGTGTGCACACACATACACACACACATATATATATATATAGAGAGACACCTTAATATATTTATATGTATAAAATGTTATGAAACTCTATACATTACATTTTGTCAGGCTGTTACACTGCTGAAGTTTTTAAAATTTTGTCCTATGAAACGTGTCACTAACTAAAATTATTCACCTGTTTCGCATCTTCCTGTCCACCAACACATGTGCCTTTAGCAACTCTGTGTATTAATTCCATTCTACTGAGAGCTCTGTTATATTCTCACGACTAAAATTAAAATTGTTGCAAGTAAATACAGATTCTTGGCAGATTGAATGTAATTGTGCCTCAGTTCAAACACCTGGAAAACTGTTATGTCCCTTTGTGGAAAATGTTTCACTAGTCTAATGAGTGTGTTGTCTCTGCCCTACAGGTGTTTGATGATGTAGCTGTGGAGTTGACAATGGCTCTGCTGCAGTATTTCAACACCAATCCTTTTTTTTATGCATGAAGGCTCTGAATCGTTTCTGTCAAATCTCACAGCATGATGTCCCACAACTTATACAAATGATCGGCCCCGAGCCAGCTAAGTTCCGAGGAGCCTCTGCTCGAGTCGATGATCTCATTGGTCAGATCAGTAAACGACTACGTTAGCCTGACCTGAGAAAATCTTCCAACAAAACAAATGGCTGTCTAAGAAGAAATGAACTCTGTTCCAGATTATACAAAGTAGGATCTACCATGGTATATGCTTAAATTATTATATTCCCCCTTGCATATGTTAACCATATCTGTGTATGTACAGTGTGTTTCTCAGATTTGATAGGGATGTATCTTGTTGTTCAATAAAATTTGTAATTTAAAGAGAAGAAATACAGAAATCAAGAAAGTCAAAACACCAACGAGAATTGAGGATGATATCATAAATAACCATCTTCAATTATTTATTAATACTGAATGATTCATAAGGTGAAGGAACAGGAAAATAATTAATAAAATCTTCTCAGGTTGTCAGCCCTGTCAAATGGTCTTCTGATGTCCTGATCATGAGAGCAGAGAAGATCCCTGAAATGTCAGCGAGTTCTAACCATTTGACACGACTAATTGACTTAAAAATTTTATTTAGTTCACCATGATAGTTTTAGATCATACAACAGAAAAAATGAACACATGGTAGACCTCATAAAGTATTTGTAGTGTCTTTTGAGTTTTGTTCTAATTAGTGCTCTGATTCATTTTCCTTCCTTATTTCTTCTGAAAATGTAGCTGAATATTCTACCTTGCATTTTTAATTATGACAAAATTTGTAGTTAATAAGTTATTCCTTTATATATTGTTATAACACAGAATAGGTATTTAAAATGTGAAGGATAATATTTAAAAGAAGTATGAATTACATTGCAACAACTGTCCTGAATGCCTCAGAATTAAAATGGCATATCACATTTACTGTACACTCCCACTGCTCCTTGCCTCACCTCATCTTGGTTTATCACAATTCTGTAGGTTGGAATACTGTGCACCACACACCAGTTTCTTTTGTGCTTGACAGTGATCAGCTAAGAAACAGTACCAGTTGTATTCCTGTTAGAAGATGAAGAAGAAAAATAAAAGAATCATCAATATAGACATTTTTGGGTACTTGATATTTGGAGTAGTAGGGATATTTGTGGAGGGTTTGTGACATTATTTTATAATTTGTTAGAAAATGAAGCAAAGTCTCAGCGTTTTTTTTTCTGAATGAAGAGGGAAAACTTTTATGGCTTGTTGAAGATTGTGGTGCTGAGACTTGAGAGAAATTACAAATTCCAAGAGACCGATCTTGGCTATTGAAATAAAATATTAGTAATAACTTTAAGGTAAGTGAATGCTTAGTTAGAATTATATCTCAGAAGTAAACACATGAACTCTGCTTTTTATGCTGATAATATCTTTCCTTTATTACACAGAGACAGCATATAAGAAGCACAATTATTATAACAGTAAAACAACTGGTCATGCATACCAGTTAATTTTTTGAGTTTGTCTGCATTTGAACAATTAATTGATTTTAAAGCCATTGTTATTTCCTGTTCTTTAAAAGACTGATTTCTGAATAAAAAATTATATTAAGGACAACAAAAGATTTGTTCAGAGAATCCAAATAAATTTGTGTGGAGAGCATCATACCAGAAGGGCATATAAACAAATTACTTACATATGATAATTATTCTTGTATTTGTACAATAGCTTGTGTCACATGATAATTCTTTGTACCTGTTATATGTAAATTGTAAATCTGTGCTGCAAGATAATGTTTATGTATTTCATACATGTAGATTGCAATAATGTATAGATTAAACTTTAAACAGTATGGAATTATGAGAGATGTTCCAGATTTTAACAAGGACGCTGTGGCATGGCATTTATTATGAAAGACATCTGCCATCACATATGCAGCATTGTAACATTTTTTATGTAGTCACTGCCCCTACTGAGACAATTGTCCCAGTAGGAAACCAGTGCATTGAAGTCCTTCACAATAAATCCTGCCTATCATTGCACAACTGTTGCTCCAACAAATGCTGTTTGAGAGGCCCAAGAAGATGAAAGTCTGAGGGAAACAAGTCAGTTCTGTATGTGAGATGCTGTAACCTGTTCCACCCATACCACTGGAACCATTGTTAAGGTCTTCTGGACTGTGTGTGTGATGTCACATTGTCACAGAGCGTGATTACACCATGTCACATCTTTCCTGGTCATTTTGATGAACAGCGTCCATCAGTTTATTCAGTGGGATGCATTTATCACCTCACCGCTCAGACGAAGGTCTCTCAACCGGACACCTAGTGTATCCCAGAAGATTATTGCCACTTTTTCTTTATACTAATGGGACTTTTTTAATAAGTTCCTGATTTATTCACTTTGATGCCATTGCCCTTTGTACGTAGAAAATGAATAACACTTATTTGTCCATCTCTCCAGTCTTGCTGCATTTTGATTTGGTTTTCTTAAGTGCATGTTCAAACCTACTATGCTATTTTCACTTTTCAAATAAGTATGCATACTCCTTAAACAACTGTCAGTAAAATACTTTCGCTCATGAAGAACGTATACCACTTGCTGTGCTTGTTTTTAATCTACGTTTGGAACAGCCTTTGTATGTTTTCTTTTTTAAGCCTGAAATATTTTTCACATTGGTAAAATAAGAAGTTTAATGATGAAATTAAATTTAATTAAATGGGTGAATTTATTTTAGCTCTTAGAAATGTTATTTATGACTGATTTGTAGTTAATTCTTGCTACATATCTTGTTATGGTTATGTTTATATTCCGTGAAAAGATTGGATTTTACCTTTATGAATTCATACATTTGTAAGACTGTGGTAACATTTTTAAAAATGCTAATTTTTACAAATAATTTGCAGTGGTGTGTATAATATTAGCATAATATTTATGTCCCTGCCAGGCTGTTTTTGCCATACTTATTCATGTTTGAAGATTTGTATGAAATGTTATGTGCAGACATACTATTTGATAATGAAGAATAATTGCAAACACCTTTTATTATGATCAGTGTAATTTCAGCTGTAGAGGGTCTTCTATAGTTATGAAGGTGATAGAATTTTGAACTAAATTGTTCACTTTTTATACAAGTTTATTTCTACTAATTAATGATACTTAAGAAATACTATTATGCTGCAGGTCGTATTGATATTATTGAAGCAGAAGTTGCCAGAAGATGAGGCTGACATATTTCTACTGATTTTGAATATAATGTATAACTAATAATTTGTGTCTTTTCTGTCATAATATTGTTTCTTCCATTTGTAACAGAATAAATTCATTCAGTAGTTATTTTTTCATATATGTATATAAACACTAATATAAATAATCACTTTATCGTGAGATTTATGTTATTAACACAAAAAGTGTATTAAGTGAAACTGTTATATTTGTTTGTAGGTGACATGTAAAGACTTGGTAAACAATAAAGCAGGTGACGTGTTTAAATTGTCATAAAAATATGGGCTGTACATTGTATGCATCTTCTCAATGGCAAGATAAGAAATGCAGCAGTTCTGAGTACAGTGCTTATGGTTGTATAGTTATAGTTGGCTTAATGGCCTTTGAAAGAAGGTAAAGACAAATCTCACCAGTGGCACATTCTTCAGAGCTTGTAGTCATGCAACACACCCAGTGCCTCTTCTGCCAAAATATTCCATTTTTTGTCTTGTGCTAAGCCTATTCCTCCACCACTCTAAGATGTTGGGTACCTATTTGGTGACCAGTTTCATCTCATGTATGGAGCATTCAGTGACTGTGAGTTTGCACATTACAATGATCATACTGCGTCTTAAAAATCCACTGTTGATGACATTTCTGTGAAAGGAAGGAAACTGTTCCAGATTTTAAAATCAAGTGTAATAAGTGTGTACATTAGGTTTTATTCTCTAAGTAGCATTCTAATGATAAGAAGATTACTCAGTGAAACAGTCATAAATATTAATGCTAAATATGATTACTTGATACAGAAATACTTTGGTGATTGCATGTAGTGGAAGACCGACTTCACCAAGGGGAGGACAGATTCAGTTAAGAGGAAGGTGGAAAATAGTAGAGAAGTAAGTACCACATTCAATGAGATGTCAAAACTTGTGTACTTGTAATTGTGCTTGGAAAATGTGGAAAGATATTGTGACGTAGGTCGGTACGCCCTTTAATTTGTCAACCCTGATTTATTCACGTTAAATTAAATCAGTTACAGATGTCTACACTTACAGGAAACTCTCTACTATTGCAACAGTGTCTGAGTCTCTGCTCTCGACGCACGCGCGCACACACACTTGCACTGTCCTTCTAGCCTATCTGGTCCCCCGAGCTTGGCCCTCTTCACATACGCAAACACGTCGGCCCGTAGCACCCCACCGGACACACACTGACCCATCAGCCGCCACGGTCCACGAACCCGGTGCTCTCGACACGCAGCCTCCGGCTCTCAGCACCCCCACTGGACACACGCTGGCTCCTCGGCCGCCACGGTCCATAAACCCGGTGCTGTCACTCGCAGCCGACCTGTCCTTACTCAACGCCACACCAGACCGCTCGTTGGCTCCACTCACTCGACTCACGTCGCTCCTGCCGCTTATCGCTTGCCACCGCTGTCCGCAACAGCTTATCGCTTCCAACTCTCACGCACTCGGGCAGGCGACCTTTTTATAATCGCCGGCCCAGATGTAGAAGCTTCGAGGCCAGGAAGTCTGGAAAGTTCGCTTCCTGGAAGTTACGACTACTAGAAGGTTTCCCTTTGGTAGCTTTTACCATCCCTCGGGAGGCGAATACGGCGTGTAGAACTTTCGGTAGCGGCCACACGTACAGTCCTCGACCGCTAGCCAGGGAGGGGAATCCGACGGCCCTTCCCCTCCAGCGCTAGCCTTCGGGACTTAAGACGACACGTCACAATATATTTTTGCATATTTTTGCAGTTGCTTGTCAAGTTCAGTGGTCTGCCTTATGATGGTCTGTACATGAAATTACTAAAAGCTGTATTCCATTGGTGCATTCATTATGTTTATAAAATCTTCTTGGGCCAGTAGCCGTGTCATTTGTTTAAACTCTGCTGACATTAACATACTGAATGTTTAACAAGTCATTTCCTGGTAATGGAAATAATTGCTGTTTATTTTGAGAATCATACAAAACCAAATATTCCAAATTCGGAATTATTGAATGTTGAGGTAAGCTATGCATATTAATTACCACTGTGCTTTAAAGGATTAATACTCCTTTATATATTTTTATTCTTGATTTATATTTGTTTGCATTATTTGCAGATAAAATTTATGAATTCTCATTTCATCTCTCCTATGAATGTATTAAATATTTTTCGTTAATGCTGACAATGATTGATACTTTCTTTATTGCAATTTCACTGTCATGTATAGGTGACAGAAGTTACTTGGAAATGAAAAATAAATCTCTTTTGATAAGAATTAAGGGCAGATTTTTTCGTCATGTTAACATCCTCAACTGGCTGCCACGATACACCAAGGAAGATGGGATTGGGGATATAATTGCAGGAATAACAGTTGGACTCACAATGATGCCACAGAGTATTGCTTATGCATCATTAGCTGGTCTTAGTCCACAGGTAAGAGTTAGTGCTGATTTTGTACTAAAACTCAAATACCTTTTTAAACGATTAACCATGTTATACTGTAATTATTAGAGCATAGGGGATGGCTTCCACACTGTAAAAGTTTTGCCAGTAATATTACTAGAGGTAACTGCGTATTCTAGTGCAAGGAGCATTGCAGTTACTCCTGTAAGAGGAACATTTCTTGTATACATATATTTTTTCTAAGGGGGATTCATTGCATAGGTTAAGTTTTCTTTACACCTCTGTACATAATTTTCAAAATATAAATAAATAAATCTTATTTAGAGTGTTTTCTCCTTCAGTATGCCATTTGGGAGAAATGATGGGATGTGCAGTCAGAAGGATTTTGGCCAATATATTTTTGGATTATTACCATCATCATTTTATCATTATTTTATTGTTATCACCATTAGTATTGTTTTTATTGTTCTTGTTGTAACTGTCTTGCTGTTTTTGCAGTTTGGACTGTATTCAGCATTCTTTGGAAGTTACTTGTATGTTGTGTTTGGAACAATTAAAGAAGTCTCTATTGGTCCAACTGCAGTGATGTCATTGTTAACATATGAATTTGTGCATGACCTTGGTATAGAATATATGGTATTATTGACATTTTTAAGTGGCTGTGTTGAGCTTGTTATGGGCTTACTCAATTTAGGTAAGTAATGAATAAAAGAAAATGAATTTGTACTGTAGATCTATTACAAGGTATTAAAATATTTTGTTCCTCCTTAGAAGGGTATTAAAATTGCAACATGGGTAAGACAATCTATAAGTGGTCAACAGAAACTTTCAAGGATGGCTCTTGAGTAATGATTATGGAGCCCTTCACTGTGAGTCATTTTTTTATTAGTACACAGTAGGTTAGTGATTTTATTTCAATAGCCATCATCATCAGATACATGAAAGACAACACGTGTCATTGCATTATTCTTGTTTTGCTAGAACACGAACTGTCCACATTAAATGTATTTTACAAAAGGGTGCTGATGAGAATGCTTGGTACTTGGAGAAAGTAATAGGATAATAAAGTTAATTGTGTGTAATGAGCTTCATAATTTGTGTACTTTGACAAATATCATTACAATAATCAAATGAAGGCAAATGATCTGGACAGGACAGGGTATCTTCTTCCTCAGATTACCATATTTGCCAAAGATATATTTAACAAAATTATTTCCCATTTTTTCATGAAGTTTCTTCACTAATATGTTTAATACCCTATACATACTGTACTCTGCACGTGCTGTGTGCCAAACTTTAACTTCTATCATTCATTTCATTATTACTATCTTTTTAAATTAATGTGTGGTGCATATGAATGTTTATACAAATGTGCGCACACATATTCCATAAGCTGACTATGTAAATGTGCAGTAGACAAATCCCATTAATGTAGTATTTCTTTCTGTTGGCACAGGATTTTTAATTGATTTCATCTCTACACCAGTTACATCTGGATTTACATCTGCCTACTCTATTATCATCATTGTATCACAACTGAAGTCACTTTTTGGTCTACGCAAATTCAAGACAAAAGGTTTTATTGACAATATCAGCAAACTCGTGACCCATTTGCATGAGACCAAGATTTGGGATACTGTCTTGGGAATTTCCTGTATTATATTTCTGCTTATTCTCAGGGTCAGTTTGGTATTAATTGTTATTTAATAAACTTTGTACCTCTGATCCTTGGAAGTCTTAAAAGCCCCCAGTCTTGTGGATAAAGTGTAAGAATAAGGTATTTTGTACATATAATTTAATATTCTTGGCACAAATGTAACATAAATAAATGTTAAGGATTTCTTACTGAGAATAATGACCATAATTTTCTCAAAAGTGTATCAAATCAACATGCCACCATGTTTCATAAAAAGTCAGTAACTTTAAACACCCTTATGAGTGTTAAGACACACAGTTCACACACAGCTAAATTAGATGGCATAACAATTGACATAAAAATTAACATTCATTGTCTACATAATATTTTCTTAACTTAATTTAAAATTCCTTACTCAGGATATTTAAACAAACTTTTAATTTGTATGGCTGCTATGTTATTACTGGTAGAGCTAGGAACAAAACTTATCATTCAGAGGGATGTCCTTGCCGAACTTCTTCAGAAGTTATCGGAGGTAACTGAATTAGGAAACAGGATAATACACAGTATACATTTTGGAAATAATATTTTTATCTTGACAATCTAAAGGGTAATTTGACTTCAAATTGTGACATTACAAAATAACCTTCTCTTTTATTACCTTAGTTTGTCTTTATAAAACATTCAGAATACTAAAGTAATGCTTTGTGATAATTTTTGTTTCTGTCTTCATATTTGTTTACAGAAAGTGAAAGATATTCGTGTGGGATATCCTGGAGAAAGAAATTTAAGTAAACATCAACAGAAGATAAAGAAAAGTCTCTGGTTTATCTCCATTTCTCGTAACACAATTATAGTGCTTATCTCAGCTCTCCTTGCATTTTGCTTTGAAATGGTTGGTCCTTCCCCGTTCATTTTATCAGGTATAATGAAGGCATGCCTACAATTTACCTCTTTCTGATTTTTGTAAATATTGTTAGTACCCAGTACTAACGGTAACCATTATAGGGTAGAAATATCAATGTTTGTCTTTAAGAAGAAAGTACCCATGTAATAATAACAGTGACACTTTTATTTTTCATAACTATAAATAAGACAAATTACAAAATATGATAATTTTATTCAGTGAAATATGAATAAATATAAAGTTATCATTAATGTATAAGAACTCAGATTTCATGAAAGATATACATCACTTTTAACATTCTGTTTTTGAAGTAAAATTGAACTTTATGAAATATTTGAGTGGTTTCATGGAAAATTACAATGCAATTTATTTATACAAAGTTGTGTAAATGTGTGTGAAAGAATTTTATGTAATAATTATGAACACATTTTTCATCGTTTCACTAATTCCATGAAGGTAGCTCAAGAAATAATTTGAAGAAATAAAGGTAAAATCTTCATAAGAATATGGATGATAGATTCTCTAAGGACATAAAAGATGTCACTCACCATGGTTACGCATTACTAAAACACTGGTATCCAAATAACACGTGGATTACAAACTTTAAATATTTTAGATGTTTTGATACTTACCTTTGGTCTTTACATATGTTTAGGTACCATTGAGTCAGGCCTTCCACCATTTAGTCTGCCATTTTTTTCAATTCAAGAGAACAACACTACAGTGACCTTTCCTGAGATGTGTTTGGAACTTGGTTTAGGTATCATAGTGATTCCTGTGGTTGCCATACTGGCTAATGTGGCAATAGCAAAAGCTTTTGGTAAGTACTGTTATATGATTATTTGACAAGTCAATGTATTTATCTGTGTTTTTAATTTGTTTTTGTGCAATGTAACACTTTCTGTTATGGTTACTGATTTTAAAGTACAATGACTCATCAGAAACTGCATATAGACAGAACTGTTGAACATTTATAAAGAAATGACAATTTACAGTTGTTGTAGTCAATTTAAATATAATAACAGTGACTAAGGACACCAAGTAATAGACAAGAATTATCATGTTACCGAATTCTGACACTTGCAGATCTATTGGTTCATGCTCATTGAAATCTGCATAGAATGGAGGAAGTCCTCTTATATCTGGTAGCTTTATTTTTAACTTGGAAAACACTGTGTTAAATCATTAAGAAACTTCCCAACACTGATACATATCACTGAAGACCACGTCTAAGTGATATTAAAATAAAAGTTGTACATTTTTTGTGAATTATTCAGTTACTGGACCATCACTGGATGCAACCCAAGAAATGCTGACTCTAGGTGTCTGCAATATGTTTGGGTCATGTGTGCGCTCTATGCCAACATGTGGAGCATTCACAAGGAGTGCAGTGAGCAATGCCAGTGGAGCCAGAACTCCTATGGTGGGCCTCTATTCAGGTTAGCACTAATCAAACATTACGGAAAGCAAAACTTTACCTCCTATACAAAACATGGATTTAGTAACAAGTCTCAAAATTACTTTTTTTAGTTCATCTTTAATTTTTCAAATTATAATTTTATTCTTGAAGGCATTGTCTTGAACATGGAGCATTTTCTTCTTACAGCTCATCTCGGTAATTTAATATGTCAAATCAGTAAGATACTGAAAGCCTCTGATTCAAAATTCAGTTTGATGACTTGTGCCATGTACACACTTTTCATGCCTTCTTACTTTGCTTATAAGCACTGGTACTTCATGCATCATGAAAGCCCCATCCAGTTTTGTAAGAAAGAATGACATTAACTTTCCTATGTGCTCAGACTTTTACTTCTTACTAAAGATGTCTTATTTTCTCCAGGAACCCTGATTGTGTTAGCACTCAGCTTACTGACCCCATATTTCTACTATATTCCACGTTCTACGCTAGCAGCTGTACTCATTTCTGCAGTTGCTTTTATGATAGACTGGAAGATCTTGAAGACTTTATGGAGATGTAACAGTAAGTAAACAAGAAAAGGAAAATTATGATTCAGGAAAATTCATGCAAATTAAAATCATGGAAAGACATCCATAATGATCTTCCTGACCCTATAATCAAATTCTGATTTCATTTTACAAACAAATAATAAAAATTAGTGAATAAAATGTCAAAATAAGAATGAACTTTTAACTTGCCTTATTTTTTATATTTTGGATGTTAATTTCTTATCAAAAATTTGTAAGTATGATTCTTCTCTTCTGCACATCTGAGCGTTAAACTGATGTATTATGTTACACTTCTAATCAGTGAACATTTATTATGTTTATGCTTGTAGAGAGAGATCTGTTTCTGATGGTGCTAACTTTTATGTCATGCCTGCTTCTTGGAGTTGAGGTTGGCTTATTAATAGGGGTCATCACTAATATGATTTTTCTGCTGTACCTGTGGGCTCGACCAACAATCAACATCATTACATGCAAGGTTAGAAAATGTGAGATTTTAAATTCTCACAGCAATGAAGATGTCAACTGTGAGTCTTCTGGGTTGTAATCCTATATGGACATGCAGGTTGATACCAACATTTCAGAGAAACATACTGTCTCTATCCTCAAGGCAGAAGAGGGAGGCAGTATGTTTCTCAGAAATATTTATATCTACCTACCTGAGAAGACCAACATGGACAAGGTTAGAAAATGTTTCAGCTATAAACGTAATTGTTCCATCTACCTGCCAACTTCCACACTATGGATTATCTAAGTATTACCTATTCCAAGATACAGTAATTGTCATATAAACTCTTAAAGTTAGATAAATAAATTTAGTCTGATATTTTCTTACTCTTTTTAGTGCTGACATACAGTCTAATAGAACATCGTTTCTTTCAGAACACATTCCAGATTAAATGTGAGTCTCCTGGTAGCAAATTCTTATGTTTCTCCCTTTGAACTGATTTTGGTGTGACAATAGATTTTGATGGTAAAAATAGAAAATGAAGAAATTACTTCTTTCATGCATATATGTGTCAAAGACCCATTAAACTAGAAAAAAGAGAAAGAGCTCAAACTATGTTTAGTCCAGTGCTTGTAAAACATTAACTGTATTTTTATCAGAACAACAGAACATCAATCTTTGTAGGCAGCTTAACGTTTTAGCTTCCTGCATTATGGATTAACACACAAAATGCAAAAATCTTAGGAGGAAGAAGTAGAAGTTGGTGTTTACATATACATCATCCTTGTATGCACATACATAAAGTCAATTTGCACCATAGATATTACACTCTTATGTTACTTTTCTCTTGCTGTGGGATTTTTAAAATCATAAAAAGATCAATGAGATGGGCAGGTCGTGCAGTACGCATGGATGGGACAAGAGGTGTTCACCAGGTATTGGTTGGGAAGCCTGAGGGGAAAAGACCGCTGGGGAGACCTAGACACAATGGGAGGATAATGCCAGGCGGGATCTATAGGAGATAGGAGTTGAAGGAGACTGGATTTTGTTGGCTGAGGACAGGGTCCAGTGGAGGGCTTTGGTTAATTTGGTGATGAACCTTCGGATTCGGTAAGCCATCTAGTTAATTAGTTAGTTAAAAAGATATGTAATATATTACTTTATTGATTTGCTAGAACAGTATTGTCTAAATATACATTGTATTTTAATTAACTTGTAACTCACCTCTACTTTAATCACTCATATGTTTATGTCTGCAGACTCCTGCTGGCAGTAAATATGCAATGCTTATCCCAGACATCGGGATCATGTATCCAGCAGTGCACTATTTCTGTAGAACAGTAAACAAGGCAGGAATGATCCAGGGGAATAGTTCCCTGCCAGTTGTTATTAATTGCACATACATCAAGGGATTGGACTACACCACAGCTTTGGTAATATCCCAGTGTCACAAACAGGAAAATGTCTTGAGTATGTTTCAATAATATACTCAAAAATATTTTAATGTATGCATATGAAGACAGACATAAACTTTTAATAAGTAATGGAAAAATTGTTCTTGTGGATTGTGACACCATGTATTCTTGTAGGTATTACCGGCATTATGGAAGAACATGTCACCTCCATCTTCAGGGAGATTCCTCCAAATTGTTGCCGATGCCCTCTAAGACTACCTCACAAGCAAGGGTCATGGTCCAAATTTTTATCACCATGAAAACTTACTTCTTTACAACATTTACAGTACTGTTTATAGTCCTATTTAAATTCTGAGAAATGTCTCCATGATTATTGAAATGTGCTGTATGATTTTAATACTTCAGATAAGTTTAAATTTAACTAAGAAATCAGAAACAATTTTGGTTGAAAGCCTTATGTGGATGATAATATCAAAGACCCCACTTTTTGAAATTAGTGTTCAAAGATGGTAATGCTTAGTCCCCAAATAACAGACCAACATAAAATATTTTTTTTGAATATCTGTTGTTTTTGGAAGTTTAGTATGTTGTCCCACAGTGGTTCCAAATTGTATACTTATTTGGATCATAATATTTAAAAAAATCATATCTCTGGAGAAAGATATGCTTTACTGTCTTTACATTGTAAAATGAATGACATAATTTTGCAACATTGCTTTTCTTTTACCAGGCATTTAAGGTGATTTATGGGATGTTTCAAAAAAGACAGCAGCCGCTGATTCTTATTAATGTTCTACCAGAAATTAGATTGATGCTCCAAACTACAGATGGCAAGACGATACCTTGCTGTGAAACAGAGGAAGAAATTATGGAAGTTCTCTTTGGTAAGACAAACTGAAAACTTGTAATATATTACGCATATCACATTATGAAATATATATATATTTATATGCAACTGTTTGTCTTATTGCAGGTGAAACACTGAATTTAGAAAGAACAGAGACAATGCCACTCATAGAAAAAGAAATCCAAGAGCCTACAGTTACAATTGAAGATGAACCCGGCTTGAGAGATGATCTCAGATTGGACTTTCTAAAGTCAAAAGAGTCATCTGTTAAAGAATGTGCAAGAGATAAAGAACATTAATCTGTATCTGTATAAAATAAAGTGTTCTCAGTATGAATAAATTCAGGTGTAACATCAACAGATTAAAAATGTACTAGAGACACTAGAATATGGTTCTTACACTTTAACAGTTCAAATATTTGTTATTTGTGGTTTGATTTGCATATGTTTTAGTAACTGGACAGAGCCAGGTTCTGTGGACTGTTAAAGCAATTATTACATAGGTAGAGTGACTTATTTACTTCAAATATCAGTCCTTCAACGTACACACAAATGTGTTGCATTTGGTTAAAATATCTTACTGAAAAGATGTACATACTCTGTTAATGAATTGAAAATATTTTTGTGAAAAAGATATACAGTAAAAAAAATAATTATTTTGTGATACATACTGATGCTGAGATATGTGTACCATGAACTACCCATGTTACTAAATTGTGAGGTCTATAGTTGCAATAACTTCCTGGGGCTAGCTTTTTCTAAGGAACCTGATTAAGTAGGTGCCCCTTACCTTTTCAGTTGAAGACATAAACAGATCCAGTTTCCAAAAAGTGTTCTTTCAATACCAGACGATGGACAAAGACCATGAAAAGATAAATAGATGGCAACACGACTTCTTCGGCTGAAAGACGTGATGGGCAAACATGAGTGGGCCCATAAGGTGTATTTCCCTTTGCTGTAGAGCAAGGAACACCTAAAACACAACATTTGTTTTATCACAGTATAGAATGAGCAATACATGTAAATATAAAGACAAAATACATTTAAAAACTTCACATTAAAGGATGCAGAACAGACTGCTGCCAGCTTAAAAGTGTAGAATTTGCACTGAAATATAACAATATCCCAAATTATTTAGATTGTATGACAATCAATGAAACCTTAAATACGTGAAAGGTCGAATACTCGGTTTCCGGAAACACAGGTCCAAACAAATATCCTTACATATATGCATGTTGTGATCTGTGCTGTAGAGGCAACAATCCTATCAATGACAGGCAATTGATGCATATAGCATGGAAAGAGAATAGCTAATCGATCAAGGGCTCACAGAATCTGTTATATCAATCATTTCTATTCGTATTTAATACGAAAGGGTGACATTAAAATTAATATGATGGGAAACAACTTTTACGGTTTCGAAAAATCGCGCCACAGAAAACAACACAACAACATATAATCAGCTGCGTGTAGCAAACGAAACGAAGATGGCAGAATACGTCGCAGTTTGTTTGCGATCGAGTTTTACAATTCAACTATGCTGTTTTACTATAATGATCTAGGCGGAAGTATAACTTAAGTTGTATATCTTCAATTTATATCTTGACAAAATGGCTTGTATTCTAGACAATAATCACAACGCAGAAGAAGACGACAGCAGTATTGACTGGCAGTTACCAATTTCTTTCGTGAAGAAGCGTCATATAGAGAAAATAGAGGGTGCAAATGCCATAACACAGACATGGCGAATGAAAGAAAGGGTAGGTTCGAATACTACGTTATCATTCCATTTGTGTCATTTAAATGACATTTATTGCTACAGTGCTGTTGACCTGTTGATTCAAAGTAAATCATCCAATGTACCTGAAGGTATCTATGTATTGCTGCTTGTGGGGTAGGTACATCGTCACAGCAGGGTGACCAGTTACTTAGGAGTAGGTTGCATTAATTTGTGTTTAGGATAGTAACCGTAATTTAACTCCAAAGGCATTTACAGGTTAGGATGTTTAGGTTAGAATAGTTGAGGTGGGAACTGTAAAAGAGCCCAGTTTCAAAAACTGTTATAACTAGTAAATATTGGGGAGTTTTGTCACATTTTGTTTCTAGTGAGGTGTGACATTATATATCTTTTCTTATACACAGATGAAAACAGTGAGCGTGGCCCTTGTTTTATGCCTGAATGTTGGTGTTGATCCTCCCGACATCATTAAAACACAACCATGTGCTCGACTTGAATGTTGGATTGGTAATGTATATTTTATAACTTATGTACCTGTTCTTATGAATGTGAACTGAGGAGAGCAGTATGTCAACCATTCTTATTATTGTCAAATGTGAAATTCCATTTTCACCTTATTGAACTTACCTTGAATGAAATTACATTAGGATTGGGCTTCTTTTATAGCTCATTCTTAAATAACTACACAAAATTAATACAGTCTACTTGGAAGAAGGCTGATGTTTGTACCATTATTGCATTACAATAATGCAATAGTGCTTTAATATGAGCTCATTGGCATTAAGCTTAATAAGGCAGGAGGTGAAGTAAATGTACGTTCCTGGTTTTCGACTAATATTGCTTCCTGGTCAGTTATGTTGATGTTTGTTCCATAGACATCCGGAATGGACCATAGCGATGAACAGAGTATATGACAAATAGCTTGGTGAAATGGATGGCTAGCTATGGATTTTTTTTTTTTGCCAAGATAACTCCAACACACAAATTTTATATTTCTAGCATGATATTTTTTGTTAATGCATTAATAACAAGATAAGATGTGTTTTATTTGTGTATTTAGTATAAATATTTGCTTTTAACACTTTACTGATGCAATATTGACCACCATAAGAGTTAGTCTATTATGTTAGGTTAGAGGTGGAATAATTGTGTTGTTATTAATATGCATATTTTATTTTGTTTTTGAGATAGTGAAATAATAATCATCAAAATTTGGGTTTATGAACTGTTGTGCAAAGCAGTCAGTTGAATGCTGATTCCAAGTCATTATTATGCTGTTGTGTCATGTGATGTTATGACCTGGATGTAGCATTATTATGTCATGCATGAGGCATTTCTTCTTTATTCTTCTTTACAGATCCATTATCAGTGAGTCCTCAAAAAGCTTTAGAAACAATAGGAGCAAATCTGCAGAAGCAGTATGAAAGGTGGCAGCCACGAGCTAGGTATAAGCAAAGCCTTGACCCTACTGTTGAGGAAGTGAAGAAATTGTGCACATCTCTCAGACGTAATGCCAAAGAAGAACGGGTTCTGTTCCATTATAACGGCCATGGTGTTCCCAAGCCAACATCTAATGGAGAGGTTTGGGTGTTCAACAGGGTGTGTATGCATATGACAGTACAGTTTGATAGTTCTACCATATCCATGAATGTTTTTAAACTAGTGCAAAAGGTTGTTTTATAAGGATATTGTAGCATATGAGGCAGAGCAGCTACATGAAAAATATTTTCTTCATTATTATTTATTATACTTTAGAATTTGAATTAAAGTAGATTATTCTATGGGATAGGATGAGTGAAATAAGAGATGATCTTCTAGGTGCCTTAAATACTTGTATATTACTATTATTTGAGAATAATTTTACTGTGTTAAAATGGTTGTGCTCTATCAATTTTGTTATATGAATTATTCACAAATGATAATCTGAAATTTTACTATCAGTTAAGAGGGTTTTTTACTGCATGGTAGATATGTAAGTGGCCAGCAAATTTGAATCTAAAATTATGTATCAATAGTACACAAAGTGTCACAAATTCTCTGATGTTTTATTAATTTTTAAGATTGTCTTGAGGATTTAATTAAATTCTTGGTTTTGTTTTACTGTCTATCTGTCTTGATTCAAAAAGCATTATTGCTACCAAGTCAAGAGATCTCCTGGTTCTAAAGAAACTGTGAGTTAAGTATGTCAGTTAAGTAATGATTTAAAGTGATAGGTATGCCAATGATAAAAAAATAAATATGGCATTTGGTGATTTTGTAATAATGCTTTATCTACTGTTCTTTGTTTCAGACATATACCCAGTACATCCCACTTTCAGTGTATGACCTACAGACCTGGATGGGAGCTCCATCCATATATGTCTATGACTGCTCCAATGCTGGCATAATTGTGGATTCATTTAAACAGTTTGCTGATCAACATGAAAAGGAATATGAGGTAATGAAGCCTTTATATAAATATATTGCACTTTTTGTATGGTTACACTTTTGTTTCTTTGTTTTTCACTGGGTAAATTTAAATGAATTCTGTGTTTGTTACTTAATATGAAAGAATTGTCAGCGTGAAGAACTGCGTAACTCCGTTTAGTTTAGGAACCATAGGTCATGAGCGGACAGAAGTTTTATGTGAAAAGCCGAATTTAAAATTTTGTGTTTCCAGAATGGCAAGAGGTCGTGTTTCAATGTGAAGAAACATGTCCATTGTTCTTGGTTCCGTGTGTTTTGATTCTACAGAAACGCTGAACAAGTCATGCTACACACCCATTCCATTACAAAGACCTGCCACATGTACTTTATTTTGTGCCCATGAGCATGTTGGTTGTAGTAACTTTTAAAATCACATTGATTGAATTAATACCACACATTACATTTCTGGTAAATATTTCCTGGGTAATACATGTACAGGATTAAAAATGCATTTCTTTTAAGTCATTTTACAAGTCATTAATTGTTTATTTTGCAGCAAGTAGCAGCACAGAGTAGGGGATCAGTGAATTCTCCACCTACGTTCAAAAACTGCATCCAATTGGCAGCTTGTGCGGCAACTCAGATCCTGCCTATGAACCCTGATCTCCCTGCAGACATATTCACTTCTTGCCTTACAACTCCAATCAAGATTGCACTTAGGTGGTGAGTGACATTGAGTTAGAAAATCAGTATTTTGAACTTAGTACTGAGTATTAAAACTAATTTTGATTTTAAATGAAAATTTACTGTAATTCTCCTGTAACTCAGCAAACTATTATTCAGTTAATTTTGTATAATGTATTTTCATAAGAACTTGTAGTTTTGCATTATTAGGATTGAGTGTATAATTGCTCTCACTTTGCATCTTTGATGAAATTGAATGCACTCTGCTTCTTCAGCCGATTCATCAAGCAATTAGTAGGTTAGAATTGAGGTTCTCATGGCTACAAGTATCACTAATGCTTCTCTACAACTGTTTATACTTCTTTGTTGTTCTCAAAATCTTCTCATGAGCCAGCATAGCTCAGTATAGTGATTGGATTGTGCTTACTTTGTTGTGTGTTACAAAAAACAGGGTATGTTTACTGTTGCTCATTGAAAGTTCTTCATGTGTGGCATGAGCATAAGTATCCATTTTGGATTTGTTTTATGTCATATTTTGCTGGAGATTAGTGTTATAAGGTTCTGTGCTTGAAAGTAACAAGTCGCATAAAATATGTGAATGAGAAGATTTCTGCTAATGTTTCAGTTAGCTTTTTTTCATATATTTTATAATTTCACCTGTTCTTAACAGTTTTTATTGCATTTTAGGTTTGTGATGCAAAGTACTTCAAAGTTGGTGCCCAAAATTTCAATGGATCTTATAGACAAGTAAGTGCTTTGATTTTATATACTGAAAGCTGTTTAGAAAAATAATATGAGTTTTTGTTAAAATTCAAATTTAATAAAGATTTCTGTCTTCTGCGATGACAGAGGCAGTATAACCTCTGAAACGTTGGTTAACATCGACCAGACTACACAGCACAACAACCCAGAAGACAGAAATCTTCATACTCACCGTTGTGAAAACCTCAAATCTTACATTCAAATTTAATACTTTCATAGGAATGGGGCATGTAGCCAGGTTAGCTCAATGAGTATAGTCTCATCTATGTCTATGGCTCCCAAGTAGTCACTTTCTTTCTGAATTGTTGACCAATTTTTTAAATGTATTTCGCGTATCTCGTGTGTTTGTTACATTCCCCGCTCATTTGATTCTTCTTTATTTTATTATCCCAATAAAAAATTGTGGATGAAACAGACCAAATCTAAATTCACATTGCAACAGTTAGTCTGAATCCCAAATATTAATTTTAATTAAAAGTCATTCTTATTTTTGGAAATGCAAAATGCAGACAGTTGAACAAATTACACTGTGTTCCTTTCTATAGAAATGTGTCTGGCGCTGTGTTCACTGGTCCTTTTGACTCGTGATGTGTGAAGCTTTTGTATATTCTATAGCAAACCATGTCGAGGAATGCCTGCATGTCGATACCTTTATCCAGATGACTTTTTCCATGAAACCGGAATGTTTATATTACTCTGCTTTTTGTCAGAATTCCAGGCCAGTTAAATGACAGAAGAACAATGCTTGGAGAACTGAATTGGATCTTCACTGCCATTACAGATACCATTGCTTGGAATACGTTACCAAGGGGTCAGTATTTGTGCATAGTTCAGCTGTTTCTAAAGAGATCTATCTGTTTAGTAGATCCGCTTATGTGGATTGCTTATATGTCTTGGTTGTAATAGATCTGTTCCAGAAACTCTTCCGACAAGATCTCTTGGTCGCAAGCTTGTTCCGAAACTTCTTACTAGCTGAGAGAATTATGAGGTCATATGATTGTACTCCAGTTTCTTCACCAAAGTTGCCTCCAACTTACCAGGTAACTATGAAAGCTAATGATTAATGTTTTATAAGCAAGAAGGTTTCATATGTCATGGTTTATTCTGCTTATAAAATTAATTATTATATTAGTTTATAGAAGTAGCAAAAGTATTTGTCAAAAATTACCATCTCCTTGTTACAATTTTATTTGTATGAAATTTTCTAAAATAAACATTTTCCGATCAATATATGATTTTCATAGGGGAAATTCTTCGCAATCAGTACCTGTGGATAGGACACTCACTGTGGGCATGTGTTTTGTTTATACCTAAAATGTTATTTTGTGCATGTGATGTAGTAGAATAATCTTTAGGGGCTGTTAGTTGTTTTTCATCCTTGTATCTCTCTGCCTTCAGTTTTTTACAGTTCCCATTGGCTGCCTCCTTTTTTCCTTGTTTTCATTGGCTGCCTTGGCACTGTGTATAGACCCATATTTCCATAGTGTCATTTCTATAGTGATAGTTTTCTCTAAAATGTTGGTGATCACCTACAAGACTACACAGATCACAACCCAGAATATCATAATTAACATTGACACCATTTTGAAAAGCTTCTGATTACTATATTAAATCAACAACTAAATTATCACAAATAGTGGCACATATTATTTTTCAGCATCCGATGTGGCAGGCTTGGGACCTTGCACTGGATTTGTGTCTAGCGCAATTGCCAGCCATTCTGGAATCTGAAGATCAGTTTATTCATTCGCCATTCTTCGAGGAGCAGCTGACAGCATTTCAAGTGTGGTTGGCACTTGGGTCAGAGCAGCGCAATCCTCCAGAACAGCTTCCCATTGTTCTGCAGGTACAGTATCAGTATTCAGAGATTTATAGTGCAGGTTTGCCACCAGATAAAGTGAAGTCTGCCCGATATCCTAGAATTGTAATTTGGCAGAGGGAAAAGAAGATTGCTTTTCCTGTATTCTCTTATAGTATAATATAAAGACCTGTAATTGTATTGTAAACATATTAAGAAACTGCTTGTTTAAATTAAAAATATATAATACAAAGTGAAGCATGTTTCTGGAAATGTTGGAAAGAATTTTATTGCAAAAGTGTTTAATAAACAAATATTTTGCTTGTTTCTAATGTCCAGTAACTCATCTGCATGCTTCAGAAATTAAACACAGGTTTTCTTACAATTACGGTGGAACAAACATTTAATGTTTCTTGAGTTAATGCTTTCTCCCGTTAAACTTAATTTTTACGCAAAACAGGTATTACTGAGTCAAGTGCACAGGCTGAGGGCACTGGAGCTACTCGGAAAGTTTCTGGACCTGGGTCCTTGGGCAGTGAACCTGGCACTGTCTGTCGGCATATTTCCCTATGTGCTGAAATTACTACAGAGCTCTGCAAGGGAGCTCAGACCACTCCTTGTTTTCATCTGGGCTAAAATTTTGGCTGTAGACAGTGTAAGTTCGTGTTTTTTAAGCTCTTACTCCCAAAGTTTTGCATAAATCAGATACACAGTATATGATAAGTCATTCACTGTTCTTAAACAAAAGGAGATACTTAAGCACCTCTTTAACTGAACTGAAAATTATTTATTACTATTTACTTTTAAAATTAGGTTCCAGCATTGTTTGCTGACTTCTATAACCTTATAAGTATATTTTCAACAGATGTTCTCAAGAAGTCATATTGGTAAGAACATCACTTTTTTTTTTATTTAAGACAAGTGTAGTCAGAAGTGAATGTATCAAGAATGTTTATGTATGTTTAATAAATAATTAGTTGGCATGGGTTAATATTATGGTTAAGACTTTCTCACTATGAATGTTCTTAAAGCTAAGTCTAATGCATTTTGCCTTATTTCTAGACATGTCAGGCCGATCTAGTCAGGGATAATGGACACAAATACTTTCTGTCCATCCTTCAAGATCCTTCAATGCCTGTAAGTATGGAAGACTGGAGACTGAACTTCATTATCTCTTGTATTGTTAACTTACACAGTGACTTCTAGCTCATCCTTTCTTGTAACAATGAATTCATCGCAATACCTATGCCTAGCTGATTATAATAAAGACGAGACAGTGTCCGGTAGTCCAAAATTTGCTGCATGATTTTATGTTCGGTAATAAAAGTGTTGGACGGACGACTTCCTGCTGGAGTTTGCAGAATTTCAGAATATAAGCACTGTATAATTTGAATGTTCAGTGCCTTTCAGTATTTTGTCTTGCAGATCCACACAACTTAAAAGTATCTTATGCTGCTATTCTGCCGAGCGCTTGGTATGGAAATGTAGCACCACTGCAATGGGTGCTGTGCATGCACTAACAGTAGTTGCTGGTTTGATTTTGTATAACCTTCGTAGAACATTGTGCTTGAATACAGTCATGTTCAGAAATTAAGGTGTGGAATGAGTCGTAGGATTAAGGAATAAAGAAGTACAAGAAAGGAGTGTTTTTTAAAGAGCAACAGTAATTTAATGATACTTCATCAGATGGTATTTTTCAGGGTGAGGACAGGACATTGGCTACGTTTGTGCTAGCAAGTATTGTTAACAACTACCCACAGGGACAGGAGGTGGCACTGCAAGGAAGCCTCGTTTCCATCTGTCTAGAACAGTTAGGAGATCAGAATCCTCTTCTTCGTCAGTGGCTAGCTATTTGCCTAGGCAGACTGTGGACAAACTACGATAAAGCTCGATGGTGTGGTGTTCGAGATATTGCACATGAAAAGTTGTATAATCTGCTATCAGATCCTGTACCAGAGGTAAGCTGTACCTTTATGAATCATTTGTTAGTATTACCTATAGTAATGCTTGGCATTTATTGGTTGAACTGTCACTTTGCTTGAAGGGAGAACATAAATTACAATTTTTTGAAAACAAAGTTAGGGAAATATTTGAACTCAGGAAGTGGGTTGCTTAAGATATTGTTTTGTGACTTGTATGGCTCAGCCAGTATTCTTAGGTTAGTGATCAAGAAAGGTATACTTTTCTTGATCACAAATTAAATTAAATTTTACAACTACACAAAATTGAATAATTAGAAAATAACATCCAGGAGTGTAGAAGTAATTTCTTTCGACATATACATAGAACTGAATATACAGTTCATGAACCATTACCTGATTGTAATATGGTTTGGCTGCACATGTGAGACTATTACAAAATCTGACATGTGAAGCTTAATGGTCTGTCTTCATGACAGTGTACGATGATTGTGTTCACGGTCGATTTGTATTACAGGTCAGGGCCGCTGCAGTGTATGCACTTGGGACGTTTATCAGCTCAGTAACAGAACGTAGTGAGCATGCCAATAACATTGATCACAGCATTGCCATGACCCTCATTAATACTGTTTCACATGACATGAGTCCACTCATAAGGAAGGTGAGCTCAGCCCTAATGTAGAATAGAGGACAAGTTTTATTTAATTTCAAAATTTTCTGCTTGTATGGCTGTACATGTATGGTTTAGTAGGATATAATTTGAAAATGGAGCTCCTAGTTTTAGGCTCTGCTAACATAAAAGAAGGTTTGATTGATTTTGGTAGGTTCCAGTACAGACTTAATGGTGACTGATATTAGGGGTTTGTGTTGGTTTGGGGTAGATACTGACTGGGTGCTTAGGCAATGTCCTACGTAAGCGATAACAAGTGAGCTATGCGAGCTGCATAAGCAGCATGGGGTGTCATATGACATAAGGGAATCGCTTGTGTCCTACGTGAGAGAAGCACACGGCGTTCCTGCGCATGCACCTTCCGTGTACTGCACGGTCAGAGCTTTCTTGCGCATGCGCCTTACTGGCCAGCGCAGCAATTCGCGCGAAAATATCAAAATATTTGATCTTGGACTTTGGCCGCTGACCGCTTCGCTGTAACCTAGGACAGCGCCACACAAACAGCTAGTTTGATATTTCCGCTTCACCCACGCAACTCGCACGGCTCGTATTTAATCGCTCATGTAGGACACCGGGTTATTCATTGTCTCTTCATTGTGATAAGCTTCTAAAACTGATTGCTTCTTTTATATGTTTCTTTTAAGGTTCTGTCTTTCATTTTAGAAATTTGAAATGTGAAGTCATATTACGTTCACATTTGTATGGCAGTTTCCTTCTGAATTTCAGTTGCATTTTCTATACAGGAACTTGTTGTTGCCCTGCAGTGGATGGTGCTTCTATTTGAGAACTCATTTCTCTCTGTGGCTCTCCAGGAGGAAGGCCGGACTTCACAAGCTTTGGCAGGTTGGATACTCCAAAAATACGACAGAAATATTTTACTGTAGTACCATATATAGAAATGGTATTTTTAAACAGCTTTTAAAGTTATACCCCTCTTAATGCATTTTCCTTCCATCAGATGTCAGCATGTCTCCAATCATGGGAATGAGACGTATTGCTTCACGAGATAGGCTGAAGATACTCTCTCCTGGATCTCTTTTTAACCCAGATGGCGGCATCATTCCTGTTACAGTAGCAAATGCTGAGGCCTTCCAATCAAATTCTGACAGAATTAAACGTGTATCATCATCATCATCCATTAGCAGCCTTGGTATGATATTTTAATTTCTGGTTCATGGATTACATTATATGTCTATTTCAAATTTTCTGATCAATGCTGAGTACGAGTAACCCATCACACTCAATTTGTGGTATTTACATTCATGTGTAATGGAATACAACAATACATGAAACAAGTAATTAACAGGGAAATGAACGTTACCTGCAAATCACAACATACAGAGAAGAAGATTTACAATTGCATTTATTAATATAAATTAATCTTCGGTGCCATATAAAGTATGAAGTGAAGAAAACAAAGCAATGTTGAATAAATTAAAATATAAACATGCTGAACTAATTCTATATATATATAATACCATAATTATACCACTGTATTTTGTTTCTTAGGGCATGGACAGCTCAGTAATTTACCAAATCTCTCCTATGGCAGTATTTACATGAAACTGTGGCATGGTTTAACAACATTGGATGTGGACCCACACCCGAGCATTCGGCACATGTCACATATAATCACCAATCACATTCGTGACCAGGTCAGATTCTGTATTAGAATCTCTGTGTATTTACAAGCGCTAATATAGTACCTTTATACTTTCTTGGCTCAAGCACATGAAAGCTCCTCCCTCCGGTATTTCCAGTACCAGCTGATGTCTATAAAGCTGACTGATGTTTTGATGCTAATGGTTCATTACAAGTACAGATCTGTATTCTGTGTTATGAGAGTGGCCACAAATGAAGAATCCTGTTTTTGTGAAGTGGTTTAAAACATTTGACCATATGGTAGTAAAATAATAAGGGTAAACATGGGGGGAACTTAGGTTTCAGGATGGGGGTTTAAAGGGTTGAAATAAATCATGACCACTACCTTCCCTCTTTTCCCCAGTTTATCATTTCACAGTAAAGTAAGAAAGATAACTAGAAGGATTCTTCAGCCCTTTATATTATAATTGTGTCTTCCCTTCCAGTTATGAAACATGAACATCTGTTTCAAATTTAGGTTTCAGCATTATAATTGTTAATGTGAATAATGCTTTGTTTTATTGTCTGTTTTTGATACTTTTAATGCTAATACAAATTCTGTTATATTTCAGTATATAAAATTGTGGTGTTGTTGAAGTGTTATAAAAATATATTTTCTTTTTAGGTGAAAGATTCCTCAGTTCCGAAGGAAGTAAATGATACTAAAATAACATCATCTTTATCTCTTCCTCCTTCTCCGTCTGGTCGACCAACATTCTTAGCGTAAGAAGTGTTTCAGATTATTTATGTGTTGGTGTAATTTGTAACATCAGCAATGAAAAGTAATTACATAAATACAGTGTTTCTTTGCAGATTTCTCACATCCCAATTTTTTATTGTGAAATTTAGAAAACATCTATCCCTGTACATTTTGCTTATGCTGAAGACAGCAATCTTCAAGCTCACCACTGTGAAAACCTCAAACCCTACATTTTCTTATTCTGTTCATATCTCTGAAAAATTAAAAAATTTGGGATAAGGAACATAGTTTAGCCTTGTGTTAACATATATGAGTTGATGTACCGACAACTCTTTATTTGAACACGTATCAGATTGTTTCATTTTGAAATTTATGCTTTCCAGAGGTGAATCTCCACCATCTACGATTTCAGCTACAGAGCTTCATCGCCTTGCAGCATCCCGATCATCACATCTAACATGTCGTACTCGTAAAACTCTGCCAAATACTGTAAGTTAGAATTAATTCACTTCATATTTATTCAAATATTTTGAGATGGATATTTGATTGAAAGTTCATAATTCATAAACCTTAGCCCTAGGTCCACAAATGACAACATACATTCTTGCAATAATAATAAGCTAAAGAGAAACTGGCAGTTGTACTTGTGGAAGTGTCAGACAAAATTTGGGGTTCACCCTGCTTCCTCTTTTAATCCGTACAAGGTGCTCTTTAACTGGGCATAAAATTTTAATTATAACATTGCAGTTATATTGCTCCAAATCTGTCACACTTTTAAGGAACCACTTAACAGTGGATATCAAGGATTGACTAGCGTCTAAGCAGAGAATTGACTTGACCATAAAACAGAAGTACCAATCTTTTTCAGGTATGCAGCCATTCGGATATGTAGTGCAGAAATAGTAGCTCGTGCTCAGTTCTCGTTCTAGCTTTCTAATGTATACTAATATTTATAGTATGCTTTATATAGAATTCAGTATATTAGTTGGATCACTGGTAACATACCCATAGTATCAAATATCATGCAGATTTGCTGCAACATTTCAAATGTTTTTAGAACAGCATTCAGCATGATGTCATGGCTTCAAGGCTGAGTCAATTGTCTGCTCAGACAGGCAGCATTCTGTAATTTTTTCAGTTACTATTGTCTCAAAATTATACTTTGTAGAGTATTAGAGATCGATTACTTACAGATCTCTGAAGAAGAGAATGACATAAATAGCGGCCGTAAACCTCTGGTAACAACTCAGTTTGTTGACTGGAGCTGTAAATACTTTGCTCAGCCTGTGATGAAGTTCCTACAGGACAATGATGTGGAAAGCAGTCTGCATTATGAACGAGAATGGAGGTATCTTTGTTATATGAATGTTTAGTTCTTTTACTGAGTATGTTAACAAATATTAGATGTAGTTTACTTTGTTATGAACAGCAAGTTGAGCGCTGAGACTGAAGTTACATTTCCTGCCACTTGTCCTTTATAGAAGCACTGTACCAAGTCTGCTGTTATTTAGTGTTAGATAAGTTTTCTCCCGAGGTAAATCAACATTAGTGATTTGAAGGGGTTTAGTAGGAGTTCAGAACTAGTCAGAGGTAGTGACGTTCTCAAGTCTGATGTTTTGGTAGATAGTATCCATAATGCAGGTGTAATTCTCTGTTTAAGATATGAATTATTTTTATTTTCAACAGTATGAGGACTTTTGTCTAATAGTTGTAGATTAACTTATTGAGGGGTATCACGGGAGGGCAAATGAAAAGTAATGTGGGTGTATTGTTTTAATTAATACTGTTACCATTTTTGGAAATTCTCTTTATTACATAACAGCATAAAAATCCAGAAATATCCCATGTTGGTACAGTAAGCGATTAATTAACTGTTTGATTTAAGGTATCAGCGCAACAGTGCACTTCGCTGTGAAGCAAGGGATGAACAGCGGAAAATAGCGACAGGGAAACTGGAGTCTCAGGTTTTCAGTGCCCGATGTCCTAATCCTCCATCAGTCATCCAGTTCCATCCATATGAAACTTATGTTGCTGTTGCTGGCAAAGATGCTTTCAGGTAATTCAAAGAACAAATGAAGTTCTATGAAATTTAATAAAAATGGGGAGAGTAGGGTACATTTCATACTTTTACAGTAAAGGTTTTTTTATTTTGAAAGCTGCAAAACATAATTTAATTTTTATCAGCATTGTGTCATGGCATTTGTGCACAGTCGAGGTACTCGTGTATAACAGTAGCGTGTTGCTACGACATTAACTTTGTAGAGTTGAATTTGAGCCAGCAACACTGTAATACAGTGAAGGTTAATATCAAGTCATTAAGCAATAGGATGGGTTTGTATAACTTCGTTTGAGAATTCATACTCCAGATCACTTTTCCTGTTGTTGCTTTAAATATTCTTGTGTTGATGAATTTTGTATTACCTTACCTCACCAGGTATTCACATTTGAGTTTTCTGTATTTTATGCATTTTATTAAGGGTTCATTTATTTCATATTTCTAGTATCTGGGATTGGCTGTCTGGATGTAAACTTAGTTACTGTCCAAATCATGGTTCAAAAGCATCCCGCATTACATCGCTGCAGTTTGTGAATAGCCATGATGTATCACTTCTCCTGGTGGGTTCAGATGATGGAACAGTGCGTCTGTGGAACAACTACACGTTGGCACAGCACGGGCTTGAACCTGGGCTGGTAACAGCGTGGCAGGCCCTGGCTGATGTCCAGCCTGTCTCACGCTCCCTCAATGGTAATTTAACTGTCTTAGATTAAATTAATTAAAACTTCGTTGATTTTGAACATATGTTTCTCTTGCTCATTACATGAATGCCTGTTAACAGCAATTAACTAGGCAACATTATTTGAATTTATACTCGCCATGATGAGAACCTCAAGTCCTACATGCGCTTAATACTTTATTATGACTGATGTTGATGTAGCTGGTGCTGGTTCAGTTATGTCGTGGGAGCAGCGGGCACAGAATGTGATAGTGACAGGTGATGTGAGAATAATCAGGATATGGGATGCAGAGAGTGAACTGAAAGTGCAAGACATTCCGACCGGTGCTGACTGTTGTGTCACAAGCATTTCCACTGATGTATCAGGTATATTAATATTTCAAAGTACTGTTCTGAGTAAAATGTTAGTCCTGAATATTATTATGTTTGATGAATATTCATTATGTCTTTGTGGGTGTAGTGAAGTATATACAGGATAATGGATTTTAATCAGAACTGAGGAAAATCTAATGGGTCTTGAAATGTAAACTCTGCATAAGGGAATATTATGTTCTTTTTTTACATTCTGAACACGATTTGATTATCATATAGCTTTCTTCATCAGAATGTTGATTATATGGTCCTTTGGTGAATGACAAGTTCTGTCTGTGTCAGTTTAAAGACCTGGCAAGAGGAAAAGAACTGAAAAACTGGCTTTCCCACCTCTAGTGTTACTCAAAATGAATTATGTGAAGAAACTATATGTTCAATAAGAAGTGTGTAGAAACTGAGTAGCTGCAGGGTGTTATGTTGTTTTCCAGAATCCTCTTTGATAGTAGCAGGATGTGGTGATGGCTCAGTGCGATTGTTTGATCGCCGTCTGCCACCCCAAGAGGCACGTATTATGACATGGAGGGAACATTCAGCATGGATTGTAGATGTTAACCTTCGAAGTAATCCTCAAGGAAGTGGGAAGGCTATCACTGGGTGGTAAGATCAATCTGTTGATCTCTTTTTGTATCGGTTGGGTTTTTGAGATTCTGGGTATTTAGAAAACTTTGGGATCAATGAGAGAATTATTAAGACAATTTATTCTCTTAAGGGAACTAACACCATATAACAGAGTTCTTCTTGAGAAGCTGTAGTATGTTCAGCTGGTCAAGAAATTCCATGTCTTCTGTTTTACTCAAATATTCAATGCTCAGTCAGAAGCTGCAATTAAAGCATTAAGCACATACATCAATGTATGATTTATCTGACAGTCACATTGTGACTTTTTACGCAATTCCTTTATATATTAAATTCAGTCTCAAGACACATTTTTGTTTTAGTGTGGCTGGTGATGTAAAATTTTTTGATCTTCGGAGGAATTCTTCATTAGCAACTTGTGAAACATCTCAGGGAATGACAGCAATGGCAGTTCACAAAGCTGCTGACACGTTTGCTTGGTACGTTAAGGCGTTCATTATGAAGTAGACTCTGGTGTGTTTGTGACTTGTATTTACTAACAAAGTTAAGTACCATTTCTTTCAGTCATCTTTGTTACATTCACTATATGATCAGTTGTCATATTATATTATTTTGTGGCAGCACTTGCTATATTCCAGGTACTTCATTACTTGCTTAGTTTAGACATGTAATAGGAAATAGTTAATCAGAAGAGAATAACTGATAACAAATAAAATTGTTAGAACATGTTCCAAGAATATTCATTCTATGATCTGGCAGATGGAGGGACCAATTTTGCAAATTTTATTAGTTCTAATAGGATCTTTAGGTGTTCATTATACTTCAGTGAAAGTGAAGCATGCCTTATGGGCTCATCCATGTCATGCTGAAATTGTTTTCCTTTGGTTGCCCTTCTGATGTCCATCACCTGATGTGGCATGAAGAATGCCTTTGGAATTACAGTGTACTCCAAGGAGTGTTGTTAAAAATACAAGGGTCATTCATAAAGGATTGGGACTGGCAACTAGGTGGCTCCAACATTTATGTTCAAGATGGTTGTAGCAGGCATCAGCTGTTTTGCAGCAAATATTTCTGAGTTCAGTCATATTTGTTGCTTGAATGTCATGCAAGGGAATTATCACAGGAAATTTTGGACCACATGGTTCCTATGGTAGGAAGGCATATCAGCATAATGTCATTCACCATCAGCTAAAGGCAGTTTGTGGCAAAGCAGCGCCTGGCCACGGTAGTCTTCTGGTGGGTGGTGGCCTTCAGCGTGGAGAAGGGAGACAGCCCGGGCTGACCTGCAACAGCCTACAAGCTGACAGTGGTGCATTGTGTCTTTATCAGAAAATCTAACAACGATGCAAAAACCATACAGACACTGCTGTCCCTCAGGTTGTGTCCTACCACATTCATATTCTCCAGTCCCATCAGATTTTCCCATTTAACAAGATGAGGGATCCATTGCATGGTCATTGATTACCTGACAATGATGACTTGCAGAGCATTGTTTGCTAGTTGGTTAAAACTATGCTGAAAGATTGGTTTGCTGCACCCATCAGGAAGTTAAAGAAAGATGGCAGTGGTGCATTGACCTTGGTGTGAAGTATGTGTGAAGAGTGATTATGCAGCTGTCACCATCTCTCTGTCTGTATGCCAGGCAAGTCCCAATCATTTATGAATGACCCTTGTGCAATTTGTAGAGCTAGAACAGTCTAAATAGCTTAATTTATGAAATGATGGTCTGTTTTTTCAGTGGCTCTGTGAACCAATACATAAGTGTCTACAACATGGAAGGGTCACCTCTTAACACTATAAAATATCATGAAGGTTTTATGGGGCCAAGGATTGGACCTGTAAGTTGTCTGGCATTCCATCCTTACCGAGTGAGCCTGGCGGCAGGAAGCATGGACAGCTCCATCAGTGTATATTCAATTGACCCAAAGAGATGACCTGCCAATCAGCTTTCTCCTGTAACCATACAATTTTGGTGAGGCAGTGGGGGAAACTGGTAACAAGTAAGTGTTGAACTTGCTGAAAAATGTTCTAGTTGTTGCTTGAACCTGCTAGTTTTAGCAGTGGCAGGTGCTGTTGTCGTTGAGTTTCGCTTATAAATATTACAGGGTGACTTAGTCACTGTTTTTCCTCTTGTTAAATTGTGTTATTGAACACATGCTGCAGCCAGTGGATCGCTGTACAGATTTGTTGAAATATGCATCTGTCACCTGACACAGTTGCGCATCGCACCTGAAGATAAGGCATTGTGCTCTCAATATTATAGGTTGAAAGAATTATAGTAATTAGACACATGAATTACTTTTAATCTTGAATGGATGTATTAGATTTTGAAGTGGCCCATTTTAGGTGTCTCATTAAAAAATGTGGAAACCCACAGAGAACAAATAAATCAGTAAGTATTCTATAATGTAACAGACTTCTAGACTATGTTTATCCAAGTACAAGTCATTTTTAAAATGTTGTGTTCTAAATTCTATGTAGTCGTCTTGTATGTGTTATATTATACATTTATAAGTAAATTGTTATGAAACAGTGTGAGTAAACAGGCAACAACCACTTAATTCCAGATTCTCTGTGATTTGTCATTCAGTACAATCTTTATATCATTCAGTAATGCATAACCTCTGTTTCTTATAATGCCAATGTGTGTCAGTTGCCCATACTAAATTTGATTCTTTTCTGTGAAAGGTGACATTCTTCTAAGTTCTTGTCCTAAATGTATTCAATAGAAAAGGTTACATTTTTAGTGGCAAAATTATGGGCTGGTAGAAGTTTACTAATCACCTCATCTCATCGCCTTGATGATGGAGGCAGCAAGGACCTCAGAAACGTTGGTAAACTTCTACCAGACTACACGGCACAACAACTCAGAAGACACCCATCTTCAGACTCACTGCCGTGAAAACCTCAAATCCTACTTAAAAATGTAATAACTTAAATGTCTTGCTTCTTACTGAGGAATTGCTCAAAACTGCAATTTTAATTGCAAAAAGTTTTCTTTAATTGCCATTACATTAAGTTGATTTATTGCCATAGAAAATGAGGTATTTCCAAAATATACAATTTGCATTAAATATTCTATTTTTAAAACTGTTGTTCTTCAGAAATAATTACAGTACTTTACTACAAGGTCCTTTATGGGGGGAGACAGATTTATTCTCATGCACACTGAACAAAGTTTTATGGAACATAATCCAACAAATAATTTGATTGTCATTTTCTGTGCCAAATGTTACAGAATCAAAGCTACAACATTTGTGACACACTGATAACAGAATTTTAATATTTAACGCTTCTGTAACACAACAGCCTACCCCAGGATTCGACCCTTAGCCTGCTCACATTACCAGTGTTTCTTTCCATGTAGTCATTTTCCAAGAGATTTCCTTACTAAAATTCTGTGAACACATCTTCCTGTTTCTACCATCAAAGCTGCATGTCCAGCCCATCATAACTTGCATTAGAAGAGTAAAATGTAAATCAAAAACAAACATTATTTTCTTCATTTTCTCATTTCTCTTGGGTGCAAATATTTTCTTAACACTTTGAAATACAGGTAAACCTTGATTTGAGCCGGTTCAATTTGTGCCAATTCAGAATAACGCTGCTTTTGAAACCAGCAAGTCAAAAAGTGAAAAAAATATATTTTACTATTATTTATAACGTTTTACAATGTTTCTCGTACTGATTCTTATACTAAATCGTAATTCTTACATCCCTGATTTTTAATAAAAATTATACAGTCACCTCTGCACTCATTGCTAAGTAGTTGCGAGATAATCTCCTAAAAATCCGCCAACATTGCACAACAGTCACGTGAGCATTGTTTGGTCACTCTTCACGGTGATTCATTTGCGTTCAGCCTGATAAGGGAGTAAGGAAAAATGAGCTCAGTTCGCTTCTTGTTGACACATTGAATGTGCTGAAAACTGTGTGCTAAACGTGTTTGTGTTGTTGTTCGACCACTATTCTGCAGTAGCAACTGTTTTATATTTATAAATTGTAGAAGAGCCACCATGTCTGGTAAGAGAAGTGAATGTGTTGCTAAAAAGTTGCGTACGTCTATTGCGTTAGAAGATAAGATGGACGTAATTCGTAGAATAGAAGGTGGTGATACCCATTGTAATGTGTGCAGAAGTATGAAGCTGCCTCCTTCCACTGTGACCACCATAATGAAAAATTTATATAAAATAAAACAGTCAATACAATGGACTACGAGAATAAGTGCAACGCGAGTTATAGCAGGAGTAAACTTTCAGAAAGGATTGAGAAATTACTGTCGCTTTGGGTGGATGACATGAATTGAAAAAACATTCCCTTGACTGAAATTGCCATCACGGATAAGGCGTAGTCACTTTTTGGGTGCCGGGAACGCATGTCATTGACTTCCCATTAATTTACATTATAAAAAGAGTTTCAATTTACGCTGGTTCGTCCAGGAATGCATCCCCTGCGTAAATCGAGGTTTACCTGTACTTAGTTTATGTTCTTCAGCATGAGAAACCACACCTCAGTCATAATACCATGGACAGAATATTCTAATATACATTGTTTTTAACATAAATAATCATAATTCCCATGTGAATTTATAATTCTCATGCATTCTGAACGTACTTTTTAATTGTTACTGTTGTCACATACTCAGTTCCTGACACATTTTCAAATATTTCAGTATCTCTTGTTATGTAATTACCTTCAATCATAACATGTTCATAAAGTACTTAGTTTTATCAACAGTAATTCTGGCATTATAATGATCACACATCTTTATTTATGCACATAAGTACACAAAATATTATTTTTATATGTGAATTGTAATGTAAAAACATAAAATACTATACATGTTACCAGGGCAATGTAAACAGTTTTTATTGCAATGTAAAACATGTCAGAGATCTAGGTGCTAGTTTATAATTATTTCATTATTGTATGTATTTGATCTTTATTTTTTGTGAAGATTTTTGTTATGTCTTCCTAATGCACATGTTTCCACAACATATATGATGAATTAATTCTGTGTTGTATTAATTTCAAATTGATGGCTTCTCATGAAACATGTTATGGCCATCATAATATTAGCTACCACCCCACCTGATGACTGAAAACATCTTAGATGGGTTTGGCACTAGTGCTACTTAAAGCAGTTTATGTAAACATAAACTTGTCTAGAATGTATAAGTGTCTGCACAGAATCTGTATTTATCTTCGTGTTTCATGAAAGTAACTAATCACTGGAGTTAGGCATAAGACATTTTATATGAAACTAGACCATAAACATATCTATAAATTCCATATTAATTTTTTGTGTGACAACACTTGCCGGCATGGTAACGGTGTGAAAATTGCCAGTTGTCTCACAAATTTAACATAATTAAATTCTGTATCGGTGGAAACTGTGCACAGAAATGATCAGTCACTACATTGTGCAATTTTTAATGTATAGTTCTTGTTAGATTGAAGCATTCAAAGGAAAGAAGTTCATCCCATAATTTATTGTTTAATTCTCATTTCAAAGACACAATCTTTTGAAAAAATGTTCTTTTTTAAGCAAAATGTCATTCTATACATTATGTTATTCCACTTAGAATGAGTATTCATCACAAGGTGCTGAGAAGAATGTCTGGACCTAAAAGAGGAAGTAACAGAACCTGGAGAAAACTGCATAATGCATAGTGCTGTAATGTAAAAATATAAATTTGGAATCTATGGAGCTCATGTAACTTGGCCAGTACATTTGAGTCTAATGTGCAGTTTCTTTGGAGAAAAACAGTCGTACAGTGAAGTAAAAATGGTGAACTATTAAATTGTCTTCAAAAACTTCTTAGTGCACATTCTTTATCATTATCACTATGAATTCTACTGATTTTTAAACTATGATTAAGAAATATTGTAGTACCACAAGTACAAAATAATGCAATAGTTGATGCTTTAATATTAAATATGTAATTTTTTTAATTATAGGTTACTTTTTTGTTACCTCAATTCACATAATGCACAGGAAGTGTAACTGAGTACAGGCCACAGTGCAACAAAGCTTAAGAATTGCTATTATTACTTCATTGCATTTCCACTGAGTATGTTGTACTTAAAGTGTAATATATGCTACAATGCTGTGAAGTACATTAACTTTTCACATTATTTTAAAGCTGTCACGCTGCAGTCTGACTGTACATAATGTACAAATTCCAGAAGCTATTTGGTAATGGTGTTACTACCTGCAATTGTACCTTGCCAGATGCACTTACCCTGTCATGTTCATGAGTAGAACTGAAATTGTGAGTAGTTCCTTATGAAACGTTGCAAAAACTGGTCAAAGTTATGTTAACCAGCAATTGTGTTATATCTAGCAGCATTATTGTTTCCATTATGGAAAATTTGTAATATCATATTGAAACAGATTCTGGTTTATCAATTGAAACCTGTATAGAATAGTATATACCTGTTCATAAGAGTTTGAAAATGTAATTAGCATAACTGTATATAGTTAGCTGTGTTTATATATCAAAACTTTGATCCAGTTCATTGTGTATACCATCAGTACATTGTCATTGTGCATAGTAAAGCCTCATTAATGTTAAAACAATATAGAGCAGTACATTTATTCAGATTAACTGAAAGTTTCTATCCAGAAGCACACTGTAATCACTGTTTAATGTTCCTGCAGGGGACAGTGAATTTTAACACTCAGTTGAGGTAAACCTTAAATTTAGGAAAATGAAGGTCTGTAATAGATTTAGGGCTTCAAAAACCAAATGTTAAGTGAGCAGAAACCTTGGATTCTTGTTTACTTGCTCAGAAGGAAACCAATTAGGCAATTTATTTTATCTTATAAATTCCTTGTAAACCAATAGCACGGAAACAACCAGAGTAATGATTTTCTGTCAGTACAAGGAATCTTGCATTATTCTAATGGTAGAGTATTTGTAAGGCAAGTTAGTTGTAGGCACAAAGTGCTAATTTGTAATGATCCTATAATTTGTCATAACTATGAAGGTTGGTAGCTACTGTATTACAAAGATTGTGATACACGTTTTTTTGCGAGTATACTACCGTTAACATTAAGGCACTTATAAAGATGACTGTACAGAAAGCGCTTGAGTACTTGTCTTGTTGATCTCTTTTATTATTAAACAGCTTGCATTTGAGTGTTTAAATATTTATTTCTGTTTTGAAGATAATGAATTATGTATCAGAGGTATTTTAAAAAGCAAGTGCATGTCTACATATGCAATATCTCTGGTTTGGTAATAATGCAGCATTGCTTTATAGCATTGTTACCTCACTCTGAGCAGCTGTAACATACTTGCATAATCGTACATGGCAAGACACCAACAATATTTTATACTACATTCCACATAAAATAACATCCTGTCACTGAATATGGATTTATCAAATAGAAATGATACATATAAAAAATGAACAAATGTACTCCCTGGTATAACTTATGGAATCTGATGGCAAATGTTAAAAACATTATCAGAAGGAGAATAAAGACAGCTATCATCTTAATGCAGAAATATATCGGTGATGATGATACTGTTGAAAATTATATTTTTCAGTGCTGTGACTGCAATTCTTCTGATGCCAAATAATAAAAAATGTACCTTTCTCAGCTATAGACCTTGTTTACAGAAGAAAATATTTTCCCTAATAACATTATCATTATATAAGGTTATTTATTAAGATACATCTGTATTAACAATATTTGGTAGAAGTGGCACAGCATATGGCCTAGGAGATATTTTTATACAGAAGTAAAATCTCTTGTAGCAATTCTTGTGACAACAGAGTCTGTCAATGTTGACACTGCCAATTCAGAGTCTTTAATCTTGTATGTTTTCTTAATCAATGCTGTATCAGAAAACTTCGGTAACTCCTCAATTGGAGAAATAATTCCCTTGAAATGCGAAAGTACATTGTCAGTTCTATCCTCACCACTCTCTTCGATTACGCCCACTAACATGTTCTTATCAGACTCTCCAACTCCAAATTTCATTAGCGATTGGGTTATGTTTCTAGAGGTCGATAAGTTGTACAGAATCTCTGTATGAAGTGTTTTTGTAGTCATCTTGTCTTGCATTTTGCTAATGACAGCTTTGTTTGCAGCTACAGCAATCTGAAAAGGGTGTATGATCAAAGTAGGCTTAATAACACAACAATCTAACGTGCCCTTCACTACCATTTCTTTAATTTCGGCAGCATTCTGTACATCTTTGATCAGAAAGACGGAAAGATTCTTCCTATAATCAGAGTCGAGTTCTATCTTATATGTCATTTTTTGTCACTTCGAATCTATCTTCTAGTCCTTAACCTCACATATAAACTAATTTAACCTCAATCAGGTGAGTTTTCTAACACATCAACAGTAGCATCAATATCACGATTGTCACTTGGAGTGGGTTCAGTACTGCCAACTGCTCAAATCTGAACCCGGTTGTCGACATCCAGCATATTTGAGATTTCAGGTTCTAATGGCCCTGATATCAGGGTGGACTGGTTGTGACGCTATGTAGACCTGTCATCTATATTTAGAATTTACTCAAATTTTTATTGCTTTACGTCTAGCATCGGTAGCTCGATCGAGTGATGGCGCAGTCTCCATTTCTATCCAGGTAATGGATATTCGGAACGCATCACCTTTATAGCAAATTTTCCTTTCTATCCTACGTTCTATCTCTTGAATTGGTTAATGACTCTGTGTCATGCAAAAAGAACTCCAAAGCAGCAACAGCGTTGAAAATAGGTTTGAAACATTTGGAGTTCAGCTATTGTGTCTAAATGATTCTAGTAATTTTTGTAAACACGAAATTAACTTAGTTAGCAAATGCATCGTACACATCGAAAAGCTTCACATACAATTGTGGAAAACGACCACTGTTAAAGCTAATGGTCGTTTCTCATCGGCTACCTCTATTCTAATTAAACTACGTCCTTTCATCATGAAAACTGTCAGATTGGTCGAAGGTTTGAACTCGGTTTTGTACGGTCCATCCGTCCTACCTCCCTCCGTGCCACGTGTATTTACTTTCAGGGAGAAAATTTATCAAATTTTGTGTACGTATTTAGTTTTACTGAGATGCACTAGATTATGTAAGAGAAGTTACCGCACTCCCTTGCACATAAAGTATCAGAATATTAAAATTATCAGATGTTCAGTAAGTTGTCTTTCTGTCTGCATGATGTTTTTCTTTTTATATGTAATTTCCTGGTGTACTGATTTATTTCGATAATGGACATGTGACCCAAAATGGGTTGCTGCACCGTGTAGTCTGGTAGAAGTTTACCAGACTACATGGCATTACAATACAGAAGACAGCCATCTTCGTAATATCTGTTGTTTATAAACGTTTTTATTTTTCCGCTACCAAACAGATAATATTTATTATCCATATCAATCCCTTCCCCCCCCTTTTTTTGTCACTAAGATAAAGAAAGCTTACTATTTTGAGGTTACCGTAGTTATGTATACCGTAACCAAAAAGAACATGATCTTCTTCGTCCTGAAAGTCACAGATCTCACTAAAATAAATTATTCGCCTGTGTCTCTAGACTGCGTTGTTGGTAAAAGGAAAGCAACTTCAACAATGTCTATCTGTGAGCGTGCTGTACGGGTAATTACAATGTACGTGTCGAGTTGCCTGATAAACCCAGTGCTATGTGTTCCGTGTTGTGTTACCGCATCTACGAAGTTTGTCAGTTCTACTGACCTGAAAAAGAGAGTCGGGTTAAGGGGGTCACAAGGTGTGACGATATAAAAAAACTAGGGATGACCATTACAGCGACGATAGTCCCGACCAAAGAGGAGCCAACACACGAAAACCAGATCTGTCTGTACTCTGATTTACGACACAACCACACTGGTTACTTGCGATTATTAAAATATAAAGCAATAATTTAACCTATTTAAACGTAAGTAGTGTCATTGTCTCTATCTATATAATCTGCTGTTAAGGGAATATGAGCCTTACAGGATAATGTGTATGAATGTTTATTGCTTGTCCTAATGGGTCCCTGGCCGAAGTTCAGTGTAAAACTTCGATTTTCGTGAATGGGTCATGTAATATCTCCCACCACCACCATTATAAATCACAAGGATGATGTCAACTGTCATGAAATTAGTTAAAATTCACAAATAAGAACATGAGCTTAGAATTTCTCTGTGTATGTGCCTCATTACAGTTTAAGCCGGCATATCCGCTGACCCATTTCACTGCGAAGGTCACAGCATCACATTATGGTACTAGAACGCTAAAAGTGGCCCAGAAAACCGTCTGTCCACTCGGTAGTGGTTCGTTGACACAATGATTTCACCTCGTAACTTGTTCAAGATGTAACAGTTCACGTGCCAAGACACCGAATGCATATTCTACTTTTATATGCATTCGTAACATCAAATTTTCGATGATTCAAGTAATGTTTAATAAGAACAAATTATACTGAGTGTTGGCTAAAACCAAATTATTAAATACATATATTTCTTTATCATTGAACAAAGTAGTGCAGTCGTACACACTTAGGTACCCTATTCGAATCGCAGCCTCTCCAAGCCAACACCATCCGACGCAAAAGAATCTCTCGTCATTTGATAGTATAAGAATAAAAATGTAAATTAGCACAGTTCATACACAGTTGTATCCGATAATCAGATGAAATACCTTCGCCGCACTTTGATGTAAGATATCAGTAAGTACCTGACAAGCAAAGATTCCAAAATTATAAGCGGAAACACAAAGTCAAGACAGTTGTGCGTCATATAATATTTTGCCTTGAGCTGTTTTACAAATATTCGGTTCCAATCTGCACACACTACGTCCGTTAGAAGTAAAGGCAAGAAGATCAGGGAACTGAAAGGGGTAGCAGATTGTATCATCGCTGCCGTTTGTCATTTCCACGTGCAACGATTTCATAGCACCGGCCCAATCGCACACGAAAATTCCCGCGGACTGTCCTTTGACTTGGCTAGTCTTCTGTCGAACATACAAATTTTTGGACTAGACTGAGTTTCAGCACATTTCGGTTTTTTTATAAGTCGCCCTGATGACAAAAGCAGCAAGGACCTCTGAAACGTCGATAAACTTCTACCAGATCACACGGCACTGCAACCCAGAAGACAGCCATCTTTTAATAACAAACTAACAAGTAATTTCGTGGGCCTAGTTACAAACTGCGTAGGGCTAGATGTAGTCCGCAGGCCTCCAGTTTTATAATGTTTGCCAAGAAGTGTCGAGGAAAACGACGAAAAACCTGAGCCGGGATATCCGGTATCCAGGTCGAAATTTGAAATCGAGATCTCTCGAACATGAATCAGGAGTGTTAACCGCGACGTTCGATCAGTGCTCGACAAGAAATTGTCAGTCGATTGCAGAAACCGAAGATTCACAAGATCGAGTTACAGGTCAGTATCTTGAGTGACGTTAATCCAACTCACTCCCTTCTATCGTATTTGAGATAAATTTTAATATTGTTCTCCCATCTACTCCTAGGTCTTCAATGTAATCTCTTACCTTTTATGTTTCCAAGTAGTAAGTAATGAAATAAACACGACCGTGACCTATTTAAGAATTAATTCAGACTTTGTTACAAGATGTGTTTGTGCTGTATTTGTAATCTGCTTCGAGAATGACAAATGGAGAAACAAAATGTGATCCAAGAAGCATTTATATGCAAATTATATCGTTGCATGCGAATTGCTTTGTTTTACACGAATACGCTCCTTACAATGCTGGTAGGTGTTAGCGCGCAGGTCACCACGTTGTGACGTCACACAGTGTTGGCGCTATATAATGAAGAGAAACGACAGCTTCGTTCTATGTTGCGGTAAACAAAGTGCAGTGACAGTGATACGGTTCTTCTGGAAACGAAGGCTTTTGACCAACTCGGTTCGTATTAAACAGGTAAGAAGATCACAACAGAACTTGGATTACAGTTCCTCAGAGGCAGCCGAACTGGAGGGAAAGCGAATAGTGTGTGTCTGTATAAATTTTTCTGAAGAAAATGATGCTGTATCCGAATTTTAAAGCAACGTTTTGTTGTTAATGTCAAAAAATTGTTTCAGCCATCGGACGTGTAAAAAAAATTCTATAGTTTGATCGTGGTGTGGAAAAAGATAAAAACGTCTTATATTGTTGCAAAACATTACATCTTACAAACATAATTCAGCATACTTCGCCTTGAGAAGCTTATTTAAGACCAATTTTAATATTATCTTGTCATTAATGCCTGAGTCTGTTGCCATTATGTTTGATGTTATCGCTTTAATAATAATTCAACTGCGTCTGACTTTCTCGTATTAATTTTATGAAATTACGCGTGTGGTCGCACTTGGAGATCCCTGCTTCAACAGACCAATCAGGTAGGGCCAATTTATTATGCTCTTCTAAATATCGTTCGAGAACTACGTATGTGTAATTATTTCTAGAATTATGAATGAGAAACAGAATTTATTTCAGGCAAAGAACTTACATTTTAGTACTTAGAATGTTTTTATGGAAATTAAGAAAAATTATTACAACACACTTCAGCTTCCGAAACGTTCTATAAAAGTAAAGATAACATTCTCTTTAATAAAGTAAAGTAAAAAAGCAAAGCTGTCCCACTATACGCCATGTAGGCGCTTGGGAGGAGAGGCGTTATAGCTCATGCTCATTCTTAAACTAGGCGCTAGATGGGGTGAGTGGTCAGCGTCACGCCCCGGCTGTGCTTTACCCCCGGGAAAGGACCTCGGTACCCACTGGATAGGAGGCTGGGTGGGCCCCAGAGCCGGTCTGGACGCAGAGGAAATATCCTCTGCCCTTGTTGGGGATCGAACTCGGGTCATCCAGTCATTATACTGACTGAGCTGATGAAACTTCCAAGTGTGATTAATTCTAAAACTGTGGGGAAACGTCAGTGTTTAGAGTTGAAATGTTGTCTTCCTATCTTTGTGTTTGGTCTTCTTCTAAGAAACCTGCCAAAAAGTAACATTTCCTCCTTTCTTTTATACGAGGTATGTACTTTCTCACTCTGGTGAAAGATAAATATTTTTTGCTGTCCATTGTAACATTGCACCAACAGATTTGTTTTCAGCAAATTAACACTAGACGAATGAGCTTTCTACACAGAATATGAAGTAATACATTTAAATTATTGTGAAATACGAGTTACTTTCCAGTGACGGATCTCAACTGCATTGATTATTAAGCTGTTATTATGCCCCGTGATATTCCTACACGTATAAACATAAAGTATGACCAGTCTCTCATCTTATTAAATCACTTCGCTGTGGGGTTAGCAGGTCTCCAGTGGCGTAGCATTTTGCGTGTTAATTACAGTCTCAGAGCTTTTATCCTAATTTATCTGGCGAGTTACGCCCAAGATCGCTCTAAAAGCGTCAGTAACAGTCTCCTTTTAAAAAGTATCCCCACGTAAGCACTACGTATTATTACTCACTTACTAAATTATTTTTGTCGTTAGTTATTTAATGATTAGTTTGGGCGGGGCTATTTAACAGTGTCTGTGAGACAAAGATTCTCAAGGGCATAATTCTGTATTAAAAGTCATTAAATAGCCGGTATAAAATAATCTCACTGTCTCAACATACTCTGCAAATACGACAAAATACATTAAATAATTAATTCTAAAACATTTCCGAAATTTGTACAGGCTTTGTCATTAAACCGTATCCACAGTGGCCTCAATGCAAGTTTCAATTGCAACCTTAATAAATTAAAATAGGGATGGCCCCATAAAATGCATTGTTTTCAAAATATCGATGTTTATAATACATCTTCTATTACACACATTTACTATTATAATAAGCCTTTATCATCGATATTGTGTATGAAACAATAAAACTATATATTAAATGATAATATATTTGTAATATATTATATAATTATACTTGATATTAAGTCGAAATAGTTTTGCTGGCTGCATTTTACCGCTCGCCCAACTAGTTGGCTAACCACACTACTTATCGGTTCTACTGTATTACAGTATACGCATTAATACTGAACCACGAAAGTAAGAAGACTACATATTTTCCATTTTTAAAAGTGTTATCCCGATTAACACGGTTAACACATATTCTGGTCCATAGCTTTAGAAGGCGGCCTCTAAATTTATTGGAAATTTGTGCAGGCCTGTCCATTAATTTCATGTTAAGCATTTGTACCTGACATGAAATCACTTGAGTTTCCTCATCAGGCAAGACTACAGGAAAGTCTGTCTGTACACAGAAACTGTTAATTGCCAATAACACGTGATCTAATATTATCTTAATTGCTTAAAAGTCTTAAATTAGTGGGCTGGGCGACTAACGGTTTGGTGTTGAGGTTACTTGGTCAGATTCATTCCTGTGTAAGTAAGAATGTATGTATGTATGGCTTTCCGGTGTTAACAAGTTTACAACTTCAACGCCAGCCTTTCTTCAAGCTAGTACCGTGGATGAATGGCGGATACATTGTTGTATGCGACCTTATACATTTTTACTTCTTTAGTTGCATTTCTCTCCGCTTGGCATTCGGGGTTCCATTTACTTTTCTTCTTTTATTCTTATTTTATAATTATTATTATTTCAAAATATGAAATGTATTTTAATATATTTTCGTTGATTTCATGATATATTAATCTGTATTCGGCAAAGGATCAAAACTTTATTTCGGTTCTTAGCCTCTCCTTGTATGCTCTGCCAGAGACCAAATATATTCAGTGAGCCCAAGGGGAACATTTTCGTCATGGCTGTTGCCACCGTTGCGTAGAAACAAGAGACGAGATAAAGCGATGACAAACAACTTGACATAATTGGAATGTTGAACTTGGCAGAATACTTCCAGCATGCCACATTCATAGAACCTGTTGAGCAACTGTACGCTTTCTTCCATGCAGAGTAGACAGCTAAGTAGGGAATATGGAATGTGACTTCTGTTATTTGATACTTCCTTCGAAATATACATGCAATTTATTTATAATATACGATTATTTATCTAGACCCGTGAAATTTCGTTTAGTAATTAATATTCTTCTTATGGTATCACGTTTGACAGTCATACACAAATAATTGCAAACATCGTTTTAATAAACGTAATCATATTTGAATTATTCCAACCAATCAGCATTGACTGTGTCTTCATTACTTCTCTGTTTTATAAAATTAAAATATGTCATCCATCACTTAAGACGTTTCTAAGAGCGTGTTTTATGTGACGTATTTTTAATGTCGATTTCCAAACATAAAAATGTTAAATATACTGAAGAATTTAACTTTTTAAAACCGATTGGCAACTGTACGTACAATCTGGGTTTTGCAATCAGTAAATCTACTTCTTGTATTTTAGTATGTTTCTCAGAATAGACAGAGATTATTTACTCAGTCATCATTTACCAGTTGATCTTTCTAATGGTGGGGGGTTGTGTTTTCTTTGCGGTGAGGACTGAATTCTTAAATATGATTTAGACGATCTTCGGCTTCGGAGGGTTAATGATGTCTTAAAACTTAAGTTTTATTTGTAATTGTTTTCTGTAAATTTCAGCCACATCCTGAGATGAAGCTGGCAATACTCCTGGCAGTGTGTTGCCTCATATTTGGCGTCCACTCGTCTCCGATCGTCACGGTAAACTCGGATAGTCAGCCGACCGGCGATGTGTCCAACAGCGGCGAAGTGGAATCAGGACGACAGGCTCCGGCAGACGCTGGTCCGGCTCCAGTGCCTGCTCCGGACGATGACGACGATGACGATGATGATGATGACGATGACGTAGACCTAGACATTACTGAGGACGACGATGACGACGAGGACGACGAATCCAAAGACGATGATGATGATGATGATGATGATTATTTCGAAAGATTCTTCGATGATATTTTAGGAGGTGAGTTGAAATAAATTTGTAGTAATACAGTGTATATCAGTGTGTGTCACGACCTCATGCACGTAGCAATACATTAATATAAGGGATGATTTAAAAGTCTAAAGTACAATGTTTTAATAATTACTCTACTTTCAAAATTAAACAAACGGTTGTGATACGCGGGTGTGTCTTTTATTAATTTGGCTGGAAATGTGTAGATTAATTTAAGATGGCTGTCTTCCGGTTTAGCTACGTAGAATAATTCTGACAAAATCAGTGAGAATTATTGTGAGTGACTACTGTAATAATATGAAACCGCTTATAAATTTAACCAGTAATACCACCACGACACATTATTGATGAACCGACAATCTTGACGTGGTTTATTTCTTAACTCAGATGACGATGATGATGATGATGACGATGATGACACCCCTGTTCAGTCGCCTGCAGCCTCTGCAACACCCGTTGCCCAGGCAACGCCCCAGCTGGTTTCTCAACAGGCCGCAAAGCCGATAAACACTGTAGTGTCCGCGGACTATTCTTCTCTCGACTATACAGCCCCTGGTGAGACATTGTCTGCAGTATCTGATTCCTCCGGAGCCAACGCCGACTCCGGAGTCGCTCCCGTGTACGACGACGTCGGCCCCGAAGAACAGGCGGTCGGAAGCTTTTCCCAGAACGACAACAACGCTCCCGGAGGACTCGACTTGACTCCTGACAATACTGACACACTGAAACCGGAAGCCATTCCGCCAGCTAGCAGTGGCGCGACATCTGACGAGGACGATGATGACGATGATGATGATGATGATGACGACATTGATGTAGATTTATACGATGACGATGATGACGAAGATGACGATGACGACGACGACGATGATGATGATGACGATGATGACGAAATCGAGGATGTTGTTGGTGATGATGTCATTGAAGCTAAGAGATCACGTGAGTCTTCCGAAAATAACCATCTTATAAGATAATTAATTGCCTTCTTCGGATTATTTATCTAGTAACTTATTGGCCTCGACAGAGGCTCGAATTATTTATTTAAATTAATTATATTTTAAGGATATCTCAGTTCAAAATTTTAAATACTGAATTAATTGTTCTATTGGCTGTAATGTGTGTGAAGTTCGAAAAGTGAAAATACATGTTAGAGGAGTATCAGTGCAATATTTGTTGTGCGAATGTTAAAACACAAACCGACAAAAACACCCACAATATGCATTCAGCACAAAGCTATGCAAGCATTAAAACAAACTTTATAGACCGTAATAATGTTTCCGAACATTAATTATTTTTTGACGTTTTTATCTTTGTGAGATTTAAAAGCTTTAAACTTATAATATTATGGTGAATTCTACAAAATGTAAATTTTCACTGGATAATTTTTATATACATAGTTCTGCCATTGAGTTAATTACGTTAAATTCAGATATTGTAATTTACATATTTTAGAAATATTTATAAGTCTTACATAAGTCTGTCTTCTTGACACTTTAGAGCTTTTCTAACACAGGAAATACAGTTGCATATACAAGAGACATTTGAATTCCGGTAAATGTCACGTTGTAAAGTGTTTCGTTACCATGGTTACTGTGACAATTGAACTCAGGGATGAAGTCATTGTGTATGTATATACAAACTAATTGTGAACCAAAAATATATAATATATCATTCATTTCATTTCATAAACAATTTTTATATAAATTGCATTTTTTATTTATTTCACTTAAAATGTCTGCCACGCTGATAAATTTATTTGTAATATTCTTACCTAGTTACGATGGCTACCTGAAAACAGCGTGACATCTACTCACCCGTATGTCAGATATCCTTGCATTTTCTGAAAATACGACAAATCACTAATATTCTTCCCTGCAACAGAATCTAACGTCATGTAACAAGCTTAATATCTTTACTGAATCATAACAAGGTTACTAACAAATCCTAATGGAGTATATACGAGGATTCAAACCATCAGTGAACATTTCTGACATTATACTAGAAGTAAAATCCGTACAACTTACAGGATCTCTAGTAAATGAATATGTAAAGATGTGACCATAGCAAATCATGTTGAAAATGTTTGAACAGTATATTTGCTTCTAACGGCTTTCGTTCTACTATTTAAATAGTACCAGCAAAACATAGTTCCTATTTGTCTCTCCGGAAATACTGCAGAAAATGCTGACGAAATATCGCAGGAACTTAATTGCACAAGCTATTCAGAGAAATTTGTTTTCTTGAGCAACGAATTTTAATTTACGAAATTTGAAACGCATTTATTATTTGAGACATTCGAAAAATATGTTGTTTTTCTTTCAGACAAAATATCTACATATGTTTATAACCTTTCATGATTTAACATTGATTTAATCTACCATGAGCTATTACACTTAGTTACGAAAATATTTTTTTGTGTCTTTAGTGTGATTTAGAGCAAAAATAATAAAAATTATCATATTTATACATTAACTTTCGTTACATAGAGACTAGAATATTATTAGGATCTAACATACTGATAAACAAAACATTTCATCCTATGAACATTTTAAAAAAAGTGAGAATGAAACGTAACTTCAGTGTCTGGAATATCATGTTACAACAAAGAACAAATGGATGCACGTGTTCAGTTAGTACTCGAAGTTTAAAATGAGAGTGTTGTATATTCACCTAGACAAAATTAGAAGCTGAAAACTGATTAATGAAAGTACAGCGTTAAGATTGAAAAAGATATCAAACACGTTTGCGTAACCACAATCAATTTTCTATTTATCCGAAGTTTGTTATGTAATGAGTAATTATGAGTTTAGAACATCTGTATGGTGTTTTGTAAATACTACATTCCAAATTATAAAATAATAGAATAATTATAAAGTAACGTATGGTTAATAGTACACACATTCTTCAACCATTTCATTTACTTTCATGGTTTGCATTTGACCTATAAGACTAGGGCGAAGTAAAACGATTTCTCAGTTTACAGTTAGGAACAAGTTTTCTTCACTGAACTGCTAACCCAATTTAAGTAGGCAGCTGAGGAATGAATCCGAAACCGGTAGACTCACCTGCTTCGAACTAACGCAATTTCTTCGCGAACTCAGAGCTATAATTAAAATGTATTTGATCAAGGCTTCCTCTGTAACGTCGGAAACTATTTTGGTTGTTATTTAGAATTACGTCCATAACTAATGCTATCAGACAGTGCCCACGTGAGAAGCCAAAACTCGTTCAACTGTTCAAGAATTTTCCCCAACTTTTATGGAACTCGGGGGTTTATTGCCTTGTTTACAACCGCCCGGCAATGGACGACATCTTGAGGCAGACAAAACTACACTACCTTCCTCTTAAATACATTTTAATAATATCCTCTTTTCCCAGGTTTCTCATATTGTTTATTCCCGTCAAGTTCCCAAATTAAAATTTTGTATGCATTTTTTTATTCCCCATGTATACTACATGCTCCTTAATTGGCTGTCACAGTGAAGTGTATAAATTACGTAACACCTCGTCACTGAATTTCTTCACAGATGAAGCCTTGTTCAGACAAATACTAATACGTGCAATAAAATGTCGAAAGCACTAACCAAATAAATATGTTACTAAGCAATGAACGCTTTAGCTAAGAAAGCTACATTATATTAACCAATCAATGAATCCGCTAACAACATGCATGACGAAACTAACTGATGCTTTTGTTATTAATGTGGACAAGGACATGTGACACGGTTAATCAAGACTTGATGACTGACCGGACAAATATTTAATATTTCTTCGCAGCTCTGTGGTATAGTACGCATGATGCATGCCATAACTTTGTATCAAGTCTTCATTCAACTCAGGCTGTGTCCAATTGCGTAGCTCACACGTGTTTCAAACCAGGTCTAGGTGACGGCTTCTTCGCCTTGCTACAGGAAATGGTTAACCTCTTAGTTTTACTCGCGTTCCACATTTCTGCCGCCAGTGCTATGTTAATAGAAACTGCAAAGATGGTACATGGCGCATTTCAAAACGATGCCACTTAGATCCTGCACACAAATTAAGGCGCGCTTGAACAAAGCCGAGAAAAGTTTCGGAAAAACTAAACCTCTATTTGACGCGACAAACAGAAATGTAACATGTGGAGTCATTACACCCCAATAATATTACGTACTTACTGCCTACATCATCACTTTTTTATAATGCACACTGACCGACAATGCGACTAGAAGCATAAATTGTAGAAAACTAAATGATCAACAATGTAACATGAAATGAATTCTTTTATATTGGAATGGAAACAAAAAATAATGTAGATTGTCAATAATTTGACACAGCCTGTTTTGAACTCGGATTATTTATATAAAATAATTATGTGTGTAACAAACTTCTAAGGTAAGTTGACTTATTTCTTGTAGGTTCTTGTGTCTTTCCAACAGTACAATGGTGAGTACCCCAAACTTTCAAAGTGAATTCTGTACTTCGTTTCGTGACGTGCGGTATTATTACCGTTTTAAATGTTGAATGTCCATAGTTTGTGCCCAGCTGGTTTCAGAACAGATTAGTGGTGACCATTGATGAAACATAACCCGTATCAAGGGGTTAGCCCATCTCCATTTTACAGCTAGTCCTCGCTTTACTACGATTCGCATTACGAAATGTCGCTCATACTTTTATAACGAAGTACATAACCTCTGCTCGGGCTTTTATCCGAACGCGAACTCGCTCGCTCATTCGAAATCTCCGGAACAAAATCAAAAACTTGCTAACAAAGATGCAAACGACGCAACGTCACCCAGCCAGCTCGTGAAATCAGGGGAAGCAAGTGAATCGGGTCTGGTCTGCGCTGGCTGTGCTCGGTGTTTTAACACACATTTTTGTATTTATAATGTATTTGATACAAAGTAGATTTCCCTACTTGTGTGTTTCGTTTCAGGCAATAAAATGGTTATTTTTTTATATAATTTTTATTTCGTTCGGGAACATAACCCTCAATTATAACATTGCGCTTCTGGGAAATAGTGAATCGCTGTATAAACTCTCACCAGGGACATAAATATTTGTAAAAGATCTTTCAGGCAAAATTATAAGGTATAATATGATATTATTTCATACGTTACATGTTGGCATACATAATTATGAAGCATATACAATATCATAGGTGGCAGAATAATATTAAAATGGGTTAGCTTCCCAAGAAGAATAATGGTCGATGGGATTATATACAGTGTTCACCAGAATATCCTGTACGTGTTTTGAAATACATAGGAATATTTTTCAAGTGCGGCAGATTTTTCACGATTCTGATAATTCGACTTATCTTAGCAGCAATGCCGGAACATGACTTTGTGGAAGAATATTTATCTTGAAGATGGGGTCTGACTGAGGCTAAACATTTCACTGCGAGTTGCTCAGTTTTTCCCACGGCATTAAACCACTGAACATGATCACAGGTTTCGTTTTCTCCGCATTGACCTAGAAAACTAAAAACCCAACTCCGTAGCCCGCCACTTCCTCCTGGAAATACGTCACGAGGATTAGGCCCGCGAAAACCAGGCCAAAGTTAAGCGGCACATGGTAATACAACTCTTCAAAATTCAAATAACTAAAAATATATATATATATATAAAATGCAAATATTTTGATATTTTTCGTAGCATACTAGCATTTCAGGCACATCCGTTTTTGTAACGATTATAATAAAAAAAATCGAAGCGCAGAAAATGCACGTCTCGTCTGTTTCATGAAGAAAAAATATTTTGTTTTACTGTTGATTGCATCTCATAGCCGTTCTAGAGCATTATGTAATCAGATTCACTAACCTCAACTAGGACGCACTTCAGAGTACTAATTTATTTAGATACTGCAGGAAACCTTTTTTTTTTCCTTTCATCATTTGTAGGACAATTTCACTTCCTAAACAGTGTTATTCAGAAACAACTTTACGACGTGTGTCTATGAAT